AATTCTTGTTAATCTTCTCGTTGATTGCGGAATCGTTTTTACGTAAGGAAAGTTGACACCGAGCCCGGTGATCAATTTGAATTTGTCTTTCTCAAAGAAATTTGTTAATAGAAAAGAAATATTTAGTTGAAAAACGATTCTTCGAATGAAGACCGCGTAAGAGACATCGCGTACTCCTGCGAGCAGCCCTCTTAAAACTTTTCTGCATAAAGTTCAATCAAGTGCAAGGGCTGGAAAATGACTCAAAAAAGCAGAGATTTTGAGCCATTTTCCAGCCCTATAGCACTTGATGAGCTTTATGCAGAAAAGAAATAAAAATCTACGAGGAGTAGATGATACTCTTTACCCGGTCTTCTATTCGAAGAAATACTAGACATTTACATGAAGAAAACTGTAGTTGAAAAAAAGAATTTTATTTAAAATTTAGGCCAAAATCTACATTTCTTGGAGAAGAAAAGAATGATTTAAGTGAATGGATGACAACAAATTTTCCCTGATTTTCACACGATAATTCATTCATTTTTGTGCATTCTAAAGATTTTGTGCTCTCTTTTTTTCTAAAGATAAATCTTATGCGACAAAATTTTTGTTGTTTTTAAGAAGATTCGATCTCTTTTTGAAAAGCAAAGCATAGACAGTCTGGAAAAATAAGGGAATTTGTTTGCTGAATCAAAATTGACATTCTTGATAGAAATCAATCGAAATTGATTACTTTCTAGTGCAGTAAAACCCGTGAACTAGTACTAGACCCATTAATTTAATATTAGGAAATGCTTTACGGAACAAAATCGGTAAAGTGTGCATTTCAAAACAAATTAGACAGACAGGCTAGACAGCGTATAGTGCCAGCTGACTCAAATGGGTATCGTATTTGTTAAAGAATGGATTTTGCAATGTAAAAATCTAACACTATAAGTAACTAGAGCTAGAGCAGTAAGATCATTACTGTTCTAGTACTATTGTTAAATCCTTTTGGCTCTTGTACAAGAAAGCTCTGGAATAACAATCAACCAGTTCATAGACTCGCAAACAGCTAACAAAAAGTTGAAGTGTAATTTAGTTCAAAAAACCAAAAAGCTTTAATAAAGTCAATTCATTTTCCATTCTTGGCATTGTTTGGATTGAAATATTTCCACGAAGTCAACCATTTTGAAGAAAATCCATCTAAACTTTACTTGATTTGGAAATTTTGATGGACAAACCTGTTCCTTTTGAGTTCCCGAAATCGAAATTGCTTTAAATAATATTTTTAGTCAAAAATCTTCAAGATTCTTGAAGATATTCATGTCATGGAATGTAATAAAAATAAAAATTGAGGACCTAATCCGGTCATTTTTCTCAATGAAACCCTTGAGTTCTATCCCGAATCTCGAGGGGATTCGCCCAGAAAATGTGAAAATAAATAAAATACAATATTCTAACTTTATTTCAAGCAGTCGAACTCGATTGCTTTTATTAACTTGCTTTGAATATTTGATTAATGATTCCTCGATAACTTGAACTTTCTTGGGAGCATAGAAATTTGGTGATTCCAAATGATTGCCCAGTGATAAATGAGAAGTTTCAAGAAATCGAATCTGATTTCTCAAAAATAAGCAAATTGTCGTGAAGCTTTTCGGAAATATCCAAATTATATAAATTTCAAAGTTGAATCTTCTAACTCGTCGATCCAAAAAGTTGATAAGCGCTTTTTTTTGGTGATTGCTCAAAGTAATCCAAAGATTTCAACCCAAAGCTTCAGTTTCCCCAAATTTTCCCCAATCCAGAACCAATAAAAGTATAAAAATATAAAAATATAATATGAGATCTTTAAAAAAAAGCTTGTTTTCAAGAAATCTACCTTGATTAGAAAAATTCATTATATTTCTTGCTAGCTGGATTGTTGATCAAATCCAGTAATAACAGTCCTGCAAAAATCTCTGAATCATCAGATTTCAGGTGATTTTCCAAAGAATCTATCCCAATTCTTGGATCAGTTGAAAAGACTCACAAATTTTAAACAAAAACAAGATTGTTTTATCACAAAAACCCTTGCGATACAATTCTTGTCAAACTGCTCAACTGCTTTTTTAAACTGCTTTTTTTACAGAAACGATCAAATAAATCACTGATTTTCTTCGGAAATTTCTACGGAAATGTCTTTCTTGTATCAAATACCGAACAAAGATCTGTAAATCACGAATTTTGATGATTTTCCAAGAAATCTAATCCGATTCTCGAGGATTTGTGAATTGTGCACAAGCTTTTGCAATCATTGAATGGATTTTTTGTGTTTTCCAAGGGTATTGTTGATTTCATCTTGTTCTGAAAATCTATAGTAAAATGAGAAAATTGTGATATATCGATAAAAGTACAAAATTTGTACTTTCTTGTATCATTGAATCTTTTGACACAGATAAACCTTTTGAATAGTGCATCTATTTCGCTAAAATCATGAAATCAGAATCGATTTTGATCGTTTTCTTTGAAATGTCTAGCCCGACATTTCATTTAGAGGTAAACCCAATGAGATAAATTGGAATAAATAATAGAAATATACAGATAATCAAATACAATTAAATATAAAAAGCCATGAATTTTCAGAAAATAACTATTGACCCTACATTGAAAAGAAATAGAAAAATTCTTCTTGAAAAGAAATGAGAAAATGCTGATAGTTTTTGTCTGATTCATTCCTTTTTTGCTCACTTCACACTTTTCCATTTTTTTCTTTTCCCAAAATCGATGGATGATTTGTATTCTGGATAAGATGGGGGTTTTTTTCAAATATTGATTGGGTTTTGTAGGAGCATTCGTTGTGATAAACAAAGTCAAAAGGGGCACGATTTTACTTGTCTAATAAAGGGCGTTCTAAACAAAAATAAATTCTGTGCGCATTTCTGTGCTCACAATCACTTAGATTCAATCCACAATCAGTTCACAAAATTGTTACCTAGAGTTTAACTTTACTTCCTTAAAAAGCTTTTCCTAAGTATGCCTCAATGAGATTTGTGAAAATACCTTAAACTTTTTGAAATTGGATGAAAGCCTTGTTTTTTCGTTTCCATGCTTCTTCCCTTTTAAAATCAATGAAACAGAAATCATTTGGCTTTCCAAATTGTGAGAATCCACCGTTTTTCTTCGTCAAAAATGCGTCATAAAATTTCGCGGACATTGGGAAACACATGGACTTATGTTCTTTTGACAAACGCATTCAAACACATTGGTCATTTAAAAAAGGGTTTTAGCCTGATTTGCCGAATGTTTTAATCTCTAGTTAACTATTCGCATTGTCAATAGCAATTCAATTCTAGCTTCTAAAATTGTTCAACCAATAAAACCCGAATTCCCGCCATTCGAGTACGGGTTGGCAACTTTCCAACCGTTCCAACAATTCTAAAATACACTTAAGCACCGTACTCGAGACGGTCTCCCTTTTTCGCCTATAAAATGAAGTCCCATCCCTTCAAAGATTCATTTTTTTGAAGAACCGTTGCCCGGTCCGGCGCGTCGCCGTATCTTTTGCGCGTGTATTTCCCCATTTTTCTATCCCGTTATTGTTTATTGTTAAAATTTCCCTCCTCCTCTTATTTTTTCCGCACCTTTTCTCTTAAAAATTGTTAAAGTTTTAGAGTTTTTGCGCTTTTCTCGGTTTTTTCCACTTTGGTGGTTTTCGGACCCGTGTCTTTCATATCACTGATAAAGTATTAAAAACCTAAATATCTTTCCTCTATAAACCCCAGTCAATCCAACCCAGCCGCGAATCGTCTTGTTATTCCTCTCGTTTTGGCAAATCATTTAGAATTGGTGTTTCTAGGTTAAAAGATTTAGTAGTTTGGGTAAGATTTCGACCCAGAGTTTGGATGTTTAGAACCGTAACACGTTACTAACAAGCGTTTTCTCATTTTTATTTCAGTATTATTTAACAGTAACTTTAGAGTCATTTCCATTCGAAAATTATTTACTTATTTGCTTCGTTCATCTCTTTGAGTCATTCTGAGTACTCATTTTGACTCAAATATTGTAGCTAATTGAACTAAACCTAGCTGGACTCCCAAATAAGTTGGTTCCCCTAAAAAAACCCTCAACACCTCCCGAGATCCTCGAAATGGCTTTATATGTTCTGCGGAAGTGGGAAAAGCTAGGCTGGTTGAAGTAAACGGCAAAAGAGATCGAAAAGATGGGGAAAGGGGTGAGGCAAGGCAAGGGACCCCTACCCCAATCGATAGACTTCCCCTCACCTCTTTCTATAGCTTGAAAGCTGTTCGGTCCTCCTCTTCCCCCATTTTTCCTCATTTTCTCAATCCTCTCAAAACCCCATCATCTTTCTCCTCCTTTTCCCATTTTCCCCATTTTCTTTCCCCAAACATTTCTATGAATTCCCGGTCTCTTCTCCATTTACGCAAGCACTGAGCAAGCTTTTCTCCTTCATCGATTTTGACCCTTCTTCATCTTTTAAGAGCTTTTCCTGTGTTTATACTTGAACTGTCTCCTTTTGAAATCCCCTTTCCTTCACAAAACAAATAAACTTTTGCGGTGGCTTGGTTACCGGCTTCGAGAGTGGGTGTGAGTGTAGGGAAGTTGAGCGTCAAGGAGGGTGTTTTTGCCATGTTTAGTGGTGTTGATGCTGGTTTGTCTTGTTAAAAATAGAGCTAGAATTGAGCTATAACAGTCCAATTATTATGCCAAAGCCTATCTGTCTTCAAAGTTTTAGAAGGATTTTGATTTGTCGCCCATTTTTGCAGCTTACTTTCTACCGGGTATTTTTGCATCTCCATTCCAAGCTTTTATCTAGAGGGATCTTTTTATCCAAGTTTACAAATCTTCAAAAAGTTCTACAATTTTGAATCTAAAACGTGAAAAGCCTTGAGAAATATCTTCAGAGAATGCTTCCAAAAACTTTTCACAGTCATATCTTGGTCCATAAATCAAACCACTTTTCTCTAGCCCTCAAACTTTTTGTTTTTCATTTCGCATGTTTTTTTTTCTGATTTTCTCACAATTTCTATTTTTCAGCAAAAATGGTCGATTTGAAGCAACAGCTCAACACCCTCGACTATTTTGGAGTGGTTGCTGTGTGAGTTTTTTTGAAAGACTTCCGGATTTAAACGAAAATATTAGCTTATAATGGGGTAGGTTAATTTCCGCCATTTTATTTTCGCAACTGGGTCTTTTGGGTGACTTCTACGCAACTCGCCATAACTTTCTAAGTGGATCAATCTATGATTTTGGTGACATTTTGTAGATCTCAATAAGTGCAACAAAAATGACACCAAAATCATAAAGGTTAGCCCACTTAGAAGAAAGTTATGGCGAGTCGCGCAAAAGACCCAGTTGCACAAATAAAATGGCGAAAATTAGACTATCCCGTTATAATTTAATAAAGCGTTTGAAAAGTATATAAAACTATATTCAGTTGGGTGGCGTTCTTCTCGGTTGTGGCAATCATCTCAATGACCTGTATCTTGTGGTGTTGTGTGACGAAAGATGATGATGTGACTGTTTTCCAAAAAGTGAGCTGTTGAATTTAATATAATTAATACTGGTAGTATTGCTAGAAAGCTAAAGCCAATGACTACATTAGAGAAGCAAGAAAGAAACTGATTGGAGTGAATGAGTTTATCTAATTTTTAGTGATGATTTTGCTACTTGCAAAGTTTTTGTGTTAGAATAGTGTCTTGACAAACTCTCGATCTTTAAATATATTAGCAGACTTTGAATACAAATACTTTCAAGATATTAGCATTAAACAATATCTATTTTAGTGGGGAATGGGCCCTCGTCGCGGCACGTCAGCTGGTCAGAGGTACGAGCAACCAAAAGAGGCCTAGATGAGAGAGAAAATGAATTAAGTGGTAAGAATGGAGAAATTGAATTAGTTTAAAGGATGCGTTTGAACTAGTTTTAACATAGAAACATCGAATGGATTACTGACAAGAAAAGAGCTAATCGACTTGTAGAATCTATAAAACCTGTCAAAGGCAGAGCCAAAGCCTTTTTATGCTTAAACTGTAGTATTTTAAAAGTTGATAAGATGGATTCGTCTTTCAATAAATTTTATTTTCTTTAGTAAAAAGCTGTGCGAGGATTGTTGACATCATCTCTTCATCTAGAAAAATCCTCGTTCTTTTTCCGCTTTATTTTTAGGCATAATTTAGTTTTTTTTTTCCTGTTTTCTGCCTTATTAACCTGTCAGGCTGGTTTCTGAACTTTTAGAAAATAGAAAATCAAATCAGATTCAGAAACCAGTCTCTTTTTAAATGCAAATTACAAAGCTTTATCCAATTTTCAGTCGATTACTTGTGTCAGCAGCTGTCATCTAATTTCGCGCGAATGCTACTCAATTTTAAAAAAAAAAACATTTTCCGATCCTCAGCCCAGTTGGTGATTTGACTTAAAATGGGAATGGGGGCAGTTTTCTAATTTGGATATATTACATAACAGCTTTGTCAGCTTGTTTTCTCGTGCTTTAGCTCAAGAACAAAAACCCAGTCTCTGGTGGCACTCAACTCTCCATTTTCAGTGATATCAAAATGTTGATGCAAAGAAAACGCAAGAATTGAGTGCACTAGAGGATATGCGTTCCCATTTTGAGCACAAAGTACACTGGAGGAAGTTGACAGCAATCACAATTAGAGCAATTGTCACCATTTCCTTCAAAATTTAGAGTTTAGTTTCCATGTTTTTCCAAACCTTACCCCTGAAATAGTCATCATTTTGTTTTTCCAGTCGAAAATTTGCATTTCGTTAACTTTTCTCTCATTAATTCCTCGAATCGAGTATTCGATAGATTTCTTTTGACTTTAAAAAGTGGATTTTAAGATTCACGAAGTGCATTTTATTCTTTCCCGTTTCTCTCGTCAAATCTGGTCATTCCCTTAGCTTACTTACCGATTTTGCGTGTTTTTTTAATAAAGCGATTTTCCCGAGAAATTTGTGAACACAAAGGAACAAGCTGAAAGTGATAAGAAGTGAAAAAGCGATAAAAAAATGAAAATTTGAATTGGTGGATCCAGATAAATCCATTAACGGTACTATAATTTTAAAATTCTTGACATAAGAATTCGAATAACGGTTTGCTACAGTATCTAATCCTGTTTTGCTGGCCTTGAACAATTTTAACAAAATTATATTAGCTTTAGGATCATTCCAGAGGAGTATCGAAGGTTTCTGAAAGGACCCACTATAAGAACCAGCCAAAAAGTGAGATTCTAAAAGTGTTCCTAGTACAAAATACGAACCTATTCGTATTCTAGAAGATTTAAATGATTCAAATAGACGGATTATACAAAATAATAGTCGTTTTTCTAAGCATAAACACTAGAAATGCCCTTGTGTGAACATATCTGACAGTAGCACATCAAAAATTGATCAACTCAGCCATTTGTTTGAAGCCAAGCCATTCGTTTGAAGTTGGATAAAGTTTATTCAATTAGTTGGATAAACTAATGTTTATAAAAGAAAAAAAACAAAAACACATGCAGAAGTCAAAGTGGATCACTTGATAAAACGGTCTAATTTTTTTCTTTCCTTGAAGAACTCTTTTTCTAAGTTTGGAGATTATATGCTAATGAAAAATGCTGAATTTACATGTATTTTTTATAAATAATAATCGGTTTTACACTGTACAGTTTGAAAAAAGCTTTTTTTGAGGGTGGGTCCCTTGATGTGAAAACCAAGTGACACACTGTATGCTACTTTTCACTACTCGTCATTTCTGACTCACTTTAACTCAACTCAGTCAATTGATGGATGGCAGAAAAGTTTCCTCGATGAAGTCAATTTAGTTCGATCACTTTTCTCTTCATTCTTTTTCTCAATGTCATGCCTTGCCTCCTCTTTGCCCGTTGTTGCGCAAATATACAGGGTTGGCCTTTTTGCCCTGTCCTTTTCTCCTTTCTGCTCGTTGCCCCACACTTTTTCAACTCTTTTCAATCTTTTCTTCTATTTTCCCAAATCCTTCAAACTTAATCACATCGATCTTTCACCCTTTAGCGCTTTTGTCAAGTGATTTGTGAGTTGAGGGCCTTTACTTGGCCATGCTTGAGATCAAAGCTCTCATACATGGACTGTTCTTGCGTTTTGGTCATTCATTACTCTCATATTCATACTATTGTGTTCAGAAACGATCATCATATGACCTATTCGAGGAGTTTCTCTCCAAATGGACTTCAACGACCGAATCCTGATTATTTCAAACAAATTGCATATAGTTTTTTGGATATTTTATGGCTAGAACTAAGCTGTATCAAGTTCAAAGGATTTCTTTTTGAAAAGAAATCGTTTGAGCTTCTTGTTGAGTAATTGAACCAGCATTGATACATAATTTTTCTAGATTGAGAAAACCCATCTTATTTCATTGATCACCTATCTTCAAATCAAAAATTTGACGTTAAAAATCACTTTACGAATTAGTTAAACTCTCAATAGACTTCTCTTCTCTAATTTATGAACCACACGAGTCGCTTAGGAACATTACGGTGACGAAAACAATTTACAGATCTTTGCATCATGTGTTTTCAATTTTACCACTTGATTGAATGATCTTTCACCCTTAACAATTCAATTATTGTGTTCAGAAACGATTATCATATGACCTATTCGAGGAGTTTCTCTCCAAATGGACTTCAACGACCGAATCCTGATTATTTGATGTGTGGAGGGACTTTTCATGCAACGGTAAGACTGAAAACGAATCGATTTCAATGCAGAATTGTTTAATTTGTATTTTGTTTCAATTAGTTCATCCAATTTTTCAGACAGCCGCCAAAATCTTTGCCGTCTATCAATTTCTCGCTTGTCTCGTCTTTTCTGCCTTCAACTTTTGGGCTTTCGGCTCCGATAAAGTGAGTAACTAAATAAAAGCTTAAAAATCCAAAAATTTTAGTTAAGTCTCTTCTTGTTTTGCATCGCTTTCACAATGTATTCTGTGATCGTCATTTATGGGGTTTTTCTCGAGAAGAAATCCTTTCTTCTACCGTTTCTCTTCGTTCATGTGAGTCGAGCAAAATTTTAAAGCTAGAGAAACTCATTAAAAATATACTCCTATCCATTGTTTCAGTTTGGTGTGGCTCTCGTCTTTCTCCTTGTCACTTGTACCTATGCCGGTCTTGGCGCATTCACCGATTTCATCGCCAATCAACACCGCGAAAGTGCGCCGTTGAGGGATCTCTATGGAATGCACAAATTGAATCCAGACAGTGAGGGAAGTGAGTGTATTCGTTCTCAAAATTCTTGCAAAGCTTCATTTTTTCAGTTCAAACAATCACCTCATCAGCTGTTCTCTTCTTGTTGATTATCTCAACGATCGTTCAAATGTTCTCATGGTTAGTGATGCTGAGAACATATCAATGTTATCGAGATGCTGATCGAACGATCGTCCCTAAAGACGGGTTAGTTTGACAAAAAATACATTCAAATATTGAGTCAAATTTAAAACTTATCAACATTCAGGGACATTTGATAGACGCCTGCCCCCTTTGCCATTAGCAATCCAACTTTGAGCTCAAATATCTTGGTGTTGGGCTGTTCAATTTAATATTCTTGGCATCATTGGATGCACCAAGTCTTTCTCTCTCGATTTGTACAAAAACTATCGGACAGCCCAACACCAAGATATTTGAGTTGGATTGCCAATGGAAATGGCAGTCCAAATGGCGCTCCGCCCCATTTGCTATTGACAATCCAACTTTGAGCTCAAATATCTTGGTGTTGGGTTGTCCGATTTAAATAGTTTTTGTACAAATCGAGAGAGAAAGACTTGGTGCATCCAAAGATGCCAAGAATATTAAATTGAACAGCCCAACACCAAGATATTTGAGCTTGAAGTTAGATTGCCAATGGCAAAAGGGGCTATCAAATGTCTAATAACCTTCAGGTACAACCGAGGTATTATCGCTGACAACGACAATGAGTATGAGTAGCCAGCTTACGAAAAGACAATGATTTTTGGCTCCTACTTATTTTTTTTCTGTTTTTCAAGTCGTTTGGTCACAATAAATATTGAAAGCCATCATTTTAGCTAAGTATTCGACACAACATTAAAATTCATACAAATTGCCGGAGGGGATTTGCATAATTTTCTTTGTAACAGTTTGTGCATTTGATTGGAGAGGGTTGGAAGGACAGAATTCGTTTAGATTTTGATTTTTCTGAAAACTCACTTGCCTAATTCTTATTTTAAAGGTTCCAGACTCAAAATCAGATACTAAACATAAATTGTTTAGAAGTTAGTAGTTAAAAACACAGCCAGAGTGTTTCAAAGACTACTTTTCTCGGCAAAGTCAGGCACAGACAGGTTCTGGCCTAGACTGTAGAAGCCAGACCTGAACTTGGTCTGAATCTGACTTGATTTACAGATCCAGATCCTTAATTAGTTAGGGTTTGTGCACAATCGAACAATGTAAAAGTGAACTGAAGCTCCCAAAAGCATCCCTAGTTTTTTAGTTTAGATCTTGCAGTGATAATTTAATTAGTCGTCTCACTAGCAAGTTTCTCCTCAATCAACAATATCATGCTGAATCCGTTTTTCTGTTCTGACAAAATTTGCAATGTGTTTCACTCACTTTCACATTTACTTGTCGCCGATTTCGACAAATACTTGACAATACCCCTTTCTTCAATCTTTTTCTTTTCCTCACACTGAAACATTCTCGCATGTCATTTTCTTTGTCAAACATTTTTTGAACTCTTTACCAAATTATTAATCAAACTAATCTCGTTCAGTTTCAATTTTGTACAATTCTGCTTCGCTACTTGATAACTTTTCCAAAGCAACTTGATAACTTTCTTGAAATCTCTCCTGAAAAAGAAATTCCCTCTTTTTTATCGGATCAAAACTGGAACCGAAATTTCTCCTCAAAAAAAAACACTAATCTTGAATGAGTCAAGCCCAGCAAAACCCTCCATTTCATGTGTGCCGATCTGTGTTTTTTCAGCAAAAAACCATCAAAGTGACCTCTTTTCCCCTCTCTTGAAGGTTTACAGCCGATACGCTCTGAAATTCAAAACTTTGAAAACTTTCAGCTTGAAACTTTTGCTTTTAAATGTATTAACGTCTTCAGGCTTCAACTTTGAGGTCTCGAAATTTGCGTGGAAAATTCCGATCTACGAGCCAACACCGCCACTATGCACACTGTTTGTTTCGATCCAGGATCCGAATGATCCGGTGGGTTTAAGAATTCAGAATTCTTCTGAAAAAGAGAAATTTATTAAGCTAATTAGCAATATATTTTCATGAAAGTTGTATGATAAGTTTTAAGCAAGTAATGCGTTTGAAATCCATAGTCAATTTGTGTTCATTCAATGCGCCAAATACTTTGTAAAGACTGGAATGTTAACGTTTTTGATGTAAAAGATTTTCAAATAAGCTAAGCATCATGAATGTCTTAGCCAATCTGATTCACAGCTCATCAAATCCATTCTCAGTCCCTCCATTTCCCCTATCGACCAATCGAATTCCCCTCCTTGGCAAATATTGTCTCAAGTTTTTTCTCTTTTTTTTCTTTAGCTATAACTTGTCCCGTTAGATCTTCTCACATCAAGCATGACCATTGTTTTATAAATCGATTGAAGGTTTAGTGAGTTTTGGCTCGTTTTTGTATTAGCTCAAAAGCGTACACGAATTTCTATCTACAAATTCAAGTCCAGAACAAACTGAATCAAAAATCACCAACGCAATCAAATAAAACTCATAAAAATTGCTTTTTATATAACTTTTTCTCAAGTTTAGCTCGATTCTTATTTCAAAATCAATCCCTTTTTGTTTACCGATTAACTTTTTCCTCAATGTTCTTTCTGTTTGATGCATTAGACAGAGAAACGACGAAAAATGTTCTTGAGTGTCCGTTGTGTCTCTTTAGTTTCTTCCCATCTGACCATCAGCAACTCAAAAAAAAACTTGGCTTGAACAGAGAAAGTAAAGCTAAACAGAAAGTCTCTAGAACTCGTATCATTTTATCTAAATTATCGAAAATTTTGAGGATATGTAATCCTCATCTATTTTCATCATTCAACATGTTCCCAACGATTAGCGAAAAGCCATGACTGTTCTCTATTTTTCGAAATCCGTTCTTCTCGTAAGTAAAAAGTTTGGGAGAACAAGAAAGATAAATTTTAGAAGTGAAAAGCTTTGTTTCAGAGCTAGATTAGGTTTTAGATTTTAAGCTAAATAAACTGTTTTTGTTTGAATTTTGTTTTAGATCTTAGAGTCTCAAAAAACTTATTTAATGGTGTACTTTGTCCCCAAAAACACACCCCTTCTGATGCACTCAATCTTTCCCAAGCTTTATTTTATTATAGAGATTGGTGTGTTCCTATTTTTGAGTACATCTGAATAGTGATGAATTAACGAATTTCAGGAAAAGGAGGTGACGACAAGACACACTTTCAACACAACAAACCCTCGAAAATACCCACAAACAAGGAAAGTCGTCATCAAGCCAACACCAAGAAGTGAGTTGTTTAGAAAAATGACTCTTTATTCATTGAAATCTTTATCTTTATACAATTTGTGCTTGATCAAGTGAACCTGATTCAACTTGGCAAAGATCCTCACCGGCTAAGAACTGAAAATTTGAATTCTTACTAATCCATCAAGTTCAATACCCGAATGTATCCATTTTCTCCCCATTCCTCTCCATACGAGTTCCGAATGAGCCAATATTGACGGCCATCTTCTTCACCTAAAACAAGCTTTACTGTAACTTCTCTGTACCATACTGTAGCTTCCACTTTATTATGAGAGTACTTTAAACTTTATACTTTTACTAGTACTTTATACTTTATACTTTTACTAGTACTTTATGCTTTATACTTTTACAAGTACTTTATACTTTATACTTTATACAGTTACCTAGCTAGTATCTTAAAGTAGCTCTTTTCACTGACCCCATCCAACCATCACCATCGCATGATTTCCTAAATCTTCTTCTTTCTCCCCATCACATGTCGCATCAAAAATTCCCCCATCATAGTACATGAACTTGTTGTTGGCCAAGATTCCTAGAAATTGAATGCTCAATTTGCAATTTTGTAGCTTAAAATGAATTTACAATCACCCAACTACCAACCAACAGCAATCGGTCCATCATCATAAAGTGCTCGTTTCACCGTTTCAATATCATCAACTGGCACCAATCTTTTTGTCGATTTCACTCGGATCTTTGGAGTGGACTAAATTTCGTTATACGACTTAAAACTTGTTCCCACTTTTCTGCATTCCCTATTCTCTGGGTCATACGGCGAGCTTGTCTCCAAACCGATACCATTCTTTTTGATGTATCTAAAAGCTTCTTGTTTTGCCAGAAATGAAAACCTTACTTGAAAGCCTCAATCGGCCATCCACCGTCACAAATTGTGTTCTCATAGCCTTCCATGCAAGCAAGTTGCTGTAAAGGATGTCGTTAGCAATTCAGAACCATCAAGTTAACCATAGCTTCTTTATATAGTAATATTAGTCAAGTTCTAGTAGGTTATTTAGTATCCAAATATATCATTTTATTGAAAAGAATGAATTTTAACCCTTTTGACATTGTGTACCTGTTCAGCGAGGTCAATTTTCGTTTTCTGAAACGCGAGATTCCGTCTTGCGTACTGGATCTCAAGTACTGCAGCTGCACTAAATTGAAAAAGTGAAAAAAATTCTCAAAATTGAAATAGGTTCATTGCATTTCGTTACCTGAATGCCCAACAACTTCCACAATCACCTTGATCTCGAATTCTTGGCACAACTCCCATATCTCTCCAATCAAAGCTTGTCGGTAACTAGAATCACTTGATTGAGAGAAAATCTTTTCCAATTCAACCTCGTCACTTTCTTTCGTTGTTGTCTCTGTGTCTTCCTCTTCACCACCTTCTTCGTAATCTCCACCTTCTTCCGTTTCTCCCGTTTCTTCCGTTTCCTCCGAGATCTCACCGATTTCTTTGTCAGACGGTATAAACAACTAAAAGTAAAAATGAATAAAAGTTTAAACTTTTTCTCGTACCTTTTTCAACTCATCCACTCCCATATGCATGTACGGATGCATTGAGACTTTGAATCCCAGCCCTTCTCCCGTTAAATCTTTTAGAAAATCATTGTTTGAGACAAAATTGCTTGCTGCTGATTCAGCTGCTTTTGCGTTGATCTTCTTTTTGAATCTGAAAATCGAATCGAATCTTTTTGAATCGAAGTTCTTATGTTTATAAGTCTTCTTACTTTTGTCCAAACGATACAAAGGCATTTTTGTTTTCGCCGAGAATTCCCAGAACATTTGGGGGCAGATTGTTGAAATCGAGATATGTGATCTAGAAGATAAAATAATTGGCAATTGATTGACTTGGGCTTTTTGTTGCTAAATTTGCAAGTATCATTTCATTTCAATAATCATTTCACGTAATCAAATATCATTTTCAAATATCATTTTTGACCTGTAACGAAGAATCTTCTGTGTGCTCGCTGTTGAACTCAAATTTCACGTGCTGCTTGTTATGACTGTGGGAATTTTGGAGAATATTCAATAGTGAGCCAAAATTCTGTCCATTGACAATGAGAATAGCATCTAGCAATGAAAAAACAAATATACAGCAAAACTTTATAAACATTTTCGTTTAAGATCACAAGATTTTTAGTCAAACTGTGCTTTCGTTTCTTGTTTTTTTTTCGATGACCTCGAGATTAGACCACAAAAAAAGTGATACTAGTTCTCTCAATTTCCTTTTTTTGAAAAAATTGAGATCCTTTTTGCTAAAAGACATTTAGATATGTACATATGATGTGTTTTGATAAAAGTTTGAACTTGATTACAATTTATTCAATTTGAGCCTGAGTGAGAAAGTAGGATTCAACGGAGCAGAGATTTTCACCGGCCCATATCTAAAAAGGATAACTGTTTTCAGGATTCTTACATTGAAAATTCAATGATATTAAACTAAATACTCTATTCCAATAGAGTATTTAGTTTAATATTTCAATAATAAATTGTATTTCAATAATAAATTTTACTATTCTTAATTAGGTTGTCGGGTTTTGAAAGCGAATTCTTCAAAAAAATATTTTTCCCAAGAGAACGAAGCTATGAAAATTAGTCCGATTTGTATCATTGGAAAGGTAAATCTGTGTTCTACATGGGGCTTTACAGCGCTTTTGAAAAGCTTCAGTTTTGGCAATTTTTCAGGGATCCAAAGACAGTCAAAATCGTCAAAAATCGTTCATTTGGCAACTTTTTCGATGGAAAGTTAACATTCATTTTTCGCTCAAATGAAAGACCAAGCATTTATACATTTTCACTCAAATTTTCAGTCAAATTCGTCCAGCCGTTTTTTCTAAATGTTTCAAATTACTTCGAAAAGTCTCTCAAAGGAGTCTCTTATTTTAATGCATTCTTCAAACAAACATTCGGTAAAATCGGCTGAACGGATTTAGCTGAAAATTTGCTCACATATGCAAAAAGAGTTGTTCAAAAGTTCGAGTAAAAAACACTTTAAATCGTTTCCAAAAATAAGGTCGTTGTCGGCGAGTTTTGATTTTTTACGATTCTGATTACTTGTCTTTGCGCCCCCGAAAAATCCCCAAAACAGAAGCTTTTCGAAATCGCTGAAAAGCCCAATGTAGAACACAGATTTACCTTTCTAATGATACAAACCGGACTAATTTTAATAGCTTCGTTGCAAAAAATTCGCATTCAAAACCCGACAATCGAATAGTGATTTCACTTGCCCTGATGTATCCATCTTCATCCCACTTCGGACCAAACGAGTTTCGACATAGCCAATATGGATAACCATCTTCTTCACCTAAAAGTAAAATAGTTTATAGATTTTATGACGCATTTATTCATTGAATCTGGTTGATTTTTTGATTTCAAAACCTTATTCATTAAATTCCGCCTTGGGGCTTTGGCTCAGCATTTGCAAAAGCGATTAAGCTCAATAGCAAAACAATTATCTTTTTGGAGTGAAAACTGATTCCACCAGTTTAACAAATCAAAAATTTGACATATCGAGACTGACCTTGAAAAAGACAAACGTGAATCTCTCGTTTATGGGGAAATTGGCAACGCAGAAATGAGAAAATTGAATTTTTCCGGGATCGAGGATAAAGTTCTTGAGCAAAGAAAACGAACATTTGGAAGATTTTGGATTTCAAATGATCAAGGAATACTTGTTGTCCTGAAAACATCAAAACACTACAATCTCTTTGACCATTTCGAGATGTGATAGCTTTTCCTACGCTAATTGTTAGTCCTACACTACACTAAGTTTATCTAAAACGCTAGCTAACTGCTTACGATGTATTATTAGGTTGAGGAAAAAGTAATGTCGGGTTTTTTCACAAAACTGTTTATGGCTAAAAACATAAACAAACGCACATCAATCAATGAGATATTTTCCATTATTATTGATGATTTATTCCCATCTTCGTCGCAAGTCCCTGATCCCATCCTCAAAAAAAATGGGGAGTTTTCGAGCCAAAATAAGTGTCGACTGCTTTTTTGATCTGTGCATGATTCTCGAACTTTTCTCGCATAAGAAAAATCTTCAAGGACCGAAACAAAAAATAATCGGATGGGGCCAGGTCGGGACTATAAGGTGCGTGGGGCAGAAGTTTCCAACCAAGCTTGTCGATTTTTTGGTGAGAGATTTTTGCAGAGTGAGGCTTTGCGTTATCATGCAAAAATAGCACTTTTGATGTTTCAACGCCCAATTTCTTTAAAGCCTCGTTAACTCTCATCGACTGTTTTGAATAAAGACCAGCGGTGACAGTTTCTCCCGGATTCAATAACTCATAATACACCAAACCTTTTGTATTCCACCAACAGCAAAGCATAAGTTTCTTTCCATGAATTTCGGGTTTTGAAGTTGGTTGTGGGGGTTGACCTAGGGAAAGCCACTGATTTTTGCGCTTCACATTCTCATATTGAATCCATGTTTCATCAGATGTTAGAATTCTTTCCCAAAGAAAACACGAATTGTTTTGTTGCCTTGAGTCAGTTCATGAGGAACCCATCTTCCGCAGTGAATTGTTTTTCCTAATTGATGTAAGTGGTTGCCGATTGTTTTTTGGTCAATCCCAAATTGGTAAGTCTGACTCACAATTGGTAAGGGTTGGATTGAGTTCAATGGCATCAAGCAAATCCTCATCTGAAATCTCTGGAGCCATCCAGACCGTTCCTAGTCTTGGAGACTTTCATCTCCATTTTGGAACCGCTGCAACCATCTTTGGCATTGTCTTTCGCTAATGCTGTCTTCCCCAAAAACTTCAATGATTGTCCGATGCGATTCAGTCGCGGATTTCCCTGGTTTAAAATCATACCACAAAGCGGCTCGAAGTCGAAACTTTTCGTCTTGCATTTTGTACCTGAAAAGATTGTTAAATTTGTTAAAATTTGTAAAAGTCAAATATAATATGAAAGTATAGAGTGTCTAGCTGATATTTATTTGAAAAAATCGCATAAGCAAAGAACTGGAAAATTGCCAACAACGGGAATTCAAAACCGACGTTACTTTTTCCTCAACCTAATAGATTCAGAAAAATAACCTATTTAGATCGAAATGTGTTTGTTTTTAGTGACATTTAGGCTTTACTTGAAACTATAAGAATTGAGATGTTATAGGTTTTAAACAAGCACTAAACCAAATTTTACAAATCCCATAAACATCGCTCACTAACAGCGCTTGAGACAATTTCTTATAAAGATTCATTTATTTTGTCCCATTCAAAGTGTTTTTAATCAATTATACAACTTTTCTAAGAAAAACTAAAAAGATTGCCCCCAGGCAGGATTGAACTACCGACCTTTGGTTTACAAGACCAACGCTCTGCCACTGAGCTATAGGGGCGACGCGGCGATGGGAAAAGGAATCCTTTACCCCACTCGCCTCTTTTCCCCCTTTTTCTCCGCTTTTCTGAAAAGGGAAGAGACCAAATAGTCCACAAAAAACGATAAAAATGGATTTTGCCTTTTAAATGGGTTTTAGCGGTAAATTCTGGTCGCGGTTTCAGTCGCCTCATTGGCTCAGTGGCAGAGCGTCTGTCTAGTAAACAGAAGGTCGCTGGTTCGATTCCAGCATGAGGCAACAGCAATTTTTTCATGAGAATTTTTATAGATTTCACAAGTGGAATGGTGCAAATTATAGAATTAAAGACTTTTAGCTACATCAAAAGCAGGTCCTCAGAAATTTTTGTCTATCTATGATAGAAAGCTAGCCCGTAACAAGATTCGATTCTATCTTGCCTAGATATCAAAACTTCTCCTTTTCGTCTTTTTCCTTGAGGAATCTTCGAGAATTTTTCCTTTTTGGCTTTTTGTTAATTGTCAAATCAATGAATTGTCATTACTAGCTTTTAGAAATTTTTTTATTTCAAAAGTTTAGAATAAAACTTTCCCCTTTCCCCAATCTTTGATTCCTTTTTTCGGTAGTCCTGTTATCTGAATGAAAATTCTTCAATTGATGAGTGGAAAAGAAAGCGAACAAAGAGGAAAATGAGCCAAGAAAAGTTGATTGGAAACACGCTAAAACAAAGCTACACCCATTTCTATCAATATTTTTGTTTAGCTCAATTCAGAATTTTCTTTGATGCTATCGGTTTGCTTTTTTTAAGAGCCCTGAAATCTCAAGAATTCTTGCGATAACGCGCATTCTGAGAAGCTTTTGCCCTCGATAAAAACACTTCACACCCATTTTTGAGTTCTGGGTAATTCAGAAAACTTTGTGCTACATCAAAGCTTGCCAATTAGATTTTGAACAGCCTAACGTTTGAGATAATGAAAGCGAATGAAAATACTGTTACTAGTATCGCCTTCAATTTTCTCTACTTCCAAAGAAAGCTCTTTGGACGCTATTTTAGCTTTATGTAAGAAAAACTTGCAAGCTTAATAGCTTGTAGCCATTAAATCCTAAAAATTTGCATGTTATTACAACAATAGTCATACAAAAGTTGCATCTTTACGGAGGTTAAATATTTCGGGATCTTCTACGGAGCCTCTAAAATGTCCCGAAGCTTTCAAAAGCCTGTCACCATTTTTACTACGTCCCAATCAATACCAAAAAGCGATTTGTCTTTGATGACTGATTCCTTTTGATTCATTATCTCAAAAAGAATGGCGAGATTCGACAGTATAGACACTTTTTTTTGTGTGTAAAGGTGAAATATCATGTCAAATTCTTTTCAAAGTCTCCCTTCTCTTCCGAATTATTTGATTCGCTCTCTCGTTTCCCCAAAAAACTCTCCGAATCTTAACCAAACAACTGAAACATTTTTGAGTGAAAGGGAGACGGTCTAACTCTTTCATTTCATTGTCAATGAAGATCCCAATCAGTTAACTTCTCTCGAAATTCTCTAAACGATTCTCGATTTCTAAAGCGAAACCGTTTCATGGCTTTTCTATGATCCAATACTTTTTCGGAATCTTGCCGATTTTTCTTGGTGGTAATCAATTCAGTTTTTTCAAATTCACTTGGTTTGGCCTGATTCTAGCCTTGCTTGATCTAGATCTGAGTCTTGGCTCAGATCTAACAGATCTAATCTGTTAGAAATCTAACATTGTTTAGAAGTTTATCAAACAAAAATCAATATTTTTTATAAAATAGTTGATTTTGCTTTGTTGCAGAACTTTATAGTCTCCAAAAATCAATTTCAGAAGACGCTCCAATGGCCGATTCACCGGCGTTCATCGACGACAGTGACACAGAGAAATCACAACGAATCAACATTAAGGTCAGCTTTAGTATCTTGAACAATATTTTATTTGTTTTAATATTTAATTTAAAGAAGGTATTCTAAAAGCTATATGCTTTATATTTTTTGAAAAGTTTAGTTAAGTTTTATCTGAAAAAAATCGATTCCTGTTCAATTGAATAACTTGGACTTTTGAACACAGGTCAATCCTGAATTTTAATCCAAATCGACAAGTACCGTGTAAAAATTTTGCCAGAAAAAAGTTTATAATTGGTCTTTGACTGAGAGAAGGGATAAGGGAATATTGTGAAAAAAAGAGAAAGTGCAAGAAAAAGTGGGGTTGATGGAAAAAAGGGAAAGGAAGAGGTCTCTTGCCTTCAACAACTGAACATTGACCACTCGATCCCTCGCTTTCTCTCTTCCTTTCCCTATTCGGTCGATTACCACTCAATACACCAAATACATTCTTCTTGTCTTGTTCTTTTTCTTCTTGTCTTTCTTTGCTAAAAGTATCCGTTTACTGTTTTTGGGTTTAATTAGAAGTAGAACTAAAATAAGCGAAGAGATTTTGACTTGATTGAGAATACTTCTAATAATAAGATTACCATTGATCTAGCAAGGTTTAAATTAAGAAAGCTTTAAAGCTAAATTTCAAGAAAAAATCTTCTCTTGTTCCTTTCTGACTTTTCATTTGTTTTGATATAAGGTTTCAATTCATTTTTGATGGTTGATGCTTTAAAAAAATCCCTATTTTGATTATTTCTGGCTACGGCTTTACAGAGTGCAATTATTAATCAATATTATTGAATAGTTGGGTTTTTTAAATGAAAATCTTCACAAGTATCTTGCTAAATCGTGGAATTGTGAGTGAAAGAGAAGAGCTGTCAAAAGCTTTTCAGTTTGATCTTTTCACTGAAATTTTGATGGGAAACTACTGGCAAATCTGAATTGGACAGTGTTTTGTTTTCGGTTTTGCTTACGTTTTTCCGAATGTTACAAAGAACGAATGTTACAGAAGTAGTCACATTCGGATTCACATTCACTCTTTGGATTTGAATATTTTCTTAGATTTAAGTAATATTTGAATACTTAATCTTATGACTAAGAAATTCAGAATTCAACTTTGAAGAATACTTTAAACGCTAGACTCTTGTTTTACGATCACCTAAAGCTTTTCAATAGTAAAAGTTAATCTTTCAAGATTTTCAATTCTTTATCCTCCAAATTCTCAAGAAAACCTTGAAATTTTCTCTCTGATCCGAGTCATAATCGAGAGCAGATTTATGCGCGAGAAAAGAAGGCGAAAAAAATTCAAAATCGTCTCGTGGGAAATGAGAAATGGTGAAGAGATCAGAAAAACTTGTCTTTCTTACTCAAAAAGGAGAAGAGACTCACTTCAAAACCCATCTGTATCTTCTTCTCTCAGCTGAGCTTTTTGTGCAGGATTGTTTTGCCAATTTGGCTTTATTTAGGTTTTTTTTCAGCTTGCTTAGAAATATTGAAATTTTAAGAACTTCTCCAATATGATTTTCTTTTAATTATATCTTTTTAATTATATTTCTTTCAATTTATAATTATTCTATATTCTAAAGTAGGATAGGAATCATTTTCATTCATTTTCATTTTCATCATTTTTCAGTTTTCGCTAGATCTAGCAAAATTTATTAGTTTCATCCCGAAACTCGCAATCTTAGGCCAAAACTTCTTTAAAATTCTAGCTGTTTGTTTTTTTAGAAACTAGATCCAATTCTACGTTTGCACATATAAAATGATTTTGACTGGATGACAGACTAGTACCATATTTTCTCTAATAGTAGTGCACCGCGGCGAGCCGAGTTGGTGACTATTTTACGGTTTCGAAGCTTTTGCAGAAGCTCAACACTTTAATCCCCCACTAGATCTCATCGTCAGCTACACTTTCCAACCCCACGTCGATAGGTTCTGATAAGCGCTTTTCGAGATTTCGAGAAATTTAGGCGACGCTCAGGGTGCACTACTATTAGAGAAAATACGGTAACCAAAATAATCCTAAACATTGATCAATTTTGGTACTTGTTTTTCACAGAAAATCGATAAACGCTGACTGGAAACGGCTTGATTTGCTGGATTTGCTTAGTATCGATTTGAAATCTCGACCATAAACTTTCCTGATTTTTCTAGTTTAGTTTTGTTTTCCTGATTCATTTAAAAATTTCTAGATCTTCGAAAATCATGCACTTTAACTAAATCCTATTCCAAATCTCTCAATTCTGAATGTCGATAGCTACAGCCAGACGTCAGCATACGATCAGTGCAAGAAATGTTTGAATCCAAAAAAATTAAATTTGTAAAAATATTAGTAGTCTTTATTATCACTGAAAGCTTTAAACATTTCATTTCAGCATGTGGGGAATGGCTCTTCGAAGACCGGGTACTCACAACAATCAGCGAAATCGATTGTGCAAGAAGTAAAATTTTTCTAAAAATCTTTTATTTCAAAGCTTTTCCCTAAAATTTTACACAAAACCTTTGAAAATCCCTAGCAATTTTTTGTTTGACTCCAAAATTCCTTGCGAAAGGATTATTTCCGCTCTTAGAAACGTAAACAATCCCTCAACTCGAAGAAAACAAAGAAATGAGTATGCAGAGTTGAAAATCAATAATAAAAGTGATACAGATATCAGTGAATTACACGGGACTCCGTGGCGCCTCACCGCCACCCGTTCAACAAATGAGAAACGCACAAATGGAAGTGACAAGACCGGTGATTGTCGAGAAAGGATCCGCTGTTCCATATCCAACTTCTCGTGTCCCAACAACAACCACTTCTGCACAAAATGCATTCACAAGTATGTCTTTTAACTTAAGATAATGAAAGTCACATTATTGCATTAGTTTCTTCTCAAAATGCTAATCAATGGTTTCAATTATGGGTTATTGTAGGTGCTTTGCATTTACTTGAGCATTTAAAGAAGAAACATCTTGCTACTAGAATATTTTTGTTAGCATATGACTCTTATCTAGATCAAGAATATACCGTATTTTCTCTAATAGTAGTGCACCGTGAGCGTCGCCTAAATTGCTCAAAATCTCGAGAATCGCTTATCAGAACCTATCGATGTGGGGTCGGAAAGTGTAGCTGACGACGAGATCTAGTTGGGGATTTGAGTGTTGAGCTTCTGCAAAAGCTTGGAAACCGTAAAATAGTCACCAACTCGGCTCGCCGCGGCGCACTACTATTAGAGAAAATATGGTATTTAACTACAGTGAAATCTATTGAATGACCCAATTTGGGACAAATGCTATCTTTTTTTTTGCGTACCCAGCCCATTACCGCACTTTTTTTGCTTTTGCTTTTGCTTTTTAACCCATTCGAAACTTCTGCAGCGAATAATCGCTGCAACAAAAACTCAGGAACGGACCGCTGCAGCGATTATTCGCTGCAGCGCTAATTGAGCTATTTGCATTCAATTAATTGCTTTTTTTTTTTGCTGTTTTTCAGCATTACATGTATATTCCAATTGTAGCAGATCTACAAATTACGTGGGCAAAAAAGATGTTTCATATTTACCCGGAATCAATGCAGTCTCTGGTTTGGCATTGAAATGTACCATAATAGCTCTAATCTTATAAAGCCGATCTCCTGCAGGATCCAGTTCATTATCACAAAAACGCAGGTTGCGAAGAATAGATTCAAATTTTGCTCTTGACGTAATGTGGGACATGTGGGAAAATCCTCCTAATCCAGGCCTGCTACTCCAGTAGTCACGAATAATTTGACGATTCCCATTTGAAGCCAGGAAGAGCTTGAAAGATTTTGCATCGAAATCCTGCCAGTTTGTTTTCCTTTTTCCATGTTTATTAGATTCGCCTACTAAAATATGGTCGTCGATAAAATAAGAACAATAATCGATAGGATCTTGAAAAGTACTGAAGTCAAATCCAAATCGTTCTTCATCAAAAATAAATGGTGTAGGAGACTCTCTTACATCTTTCCAACCATAAATAAACTGCTTCGGAGTCAAAAATGTCAAAAAAGGGCTTGGTCCGTAGACGAAAAAAAAGAAAAAACGCTGCGGTTTCGAATGGGTTAAAAAGCTCTAAAAAACTCTAAAAGCTAATATTAACTAATTTCTATTCCAAAAGTTGTTTTTTAAAGTTAATTTTAAGGCGTAGAATTCAAATTTTGACATATCAGTGCTTGTAAAAGCAAACGGACGGAGTTATACATAGGAAAAAGCGACAATTTTCTGTAATTTGATCTACCCTTTTCACTTTGAAATTGGTTCCACACGCTCGGTTCCACATGCCAAAATTTAAATTCTACGTCCTAAAATTACCTAGAAAAACAACTTTTAGAATAGAAATTGGTTAATATTAGCTTTTTAGAGCTTTCTTAAAACGCGAAAAAGGAGGCGCGCAAAAAAAATCGCATTTTTCCAACTCTTCCCAATTTAAATCCTTAAGACATTGTCTGAAAATGTTCAGTTTTTAGTTTAAAAACTGATCCAGACTGAAATCGTCAGTCTTGTAATTTCTTGCCGAAAAACCCCTTCAGCCAAACCCATTCACTCAAATCATAAAAACGATTAATTTGTATTCACTTTTCAAGAATTTTTGAAAAAGAAACACATGGAAGTCCATGAGAAGTTCAAAATCATTTCAATTTTACCTTTTTGATGAATCAATGTCTATCTTTTTTTTCTCAGAAACACTTCCAATTCCTTCATTTCTCTTTCCATTCACACAAAGGGCTTATCGTCTTGTCCTTTCTTTCTTTTTGACTTTTCAACCCAAGGCAAATCGTTTTTTGGACAGTCATAAACCGGGGAAACCAGCCTGAATGAAATTTTGGTGAGTTGTGAGTTTTAGGGGTTTGGTGAATTTGAAATTCACCAATAGTAAGAATTTAGCAGACTTGATTCTGATAAAAAAACTTGACTATGGTTTTGATACACGGAATAGATTTATTCTTTTGCATACATCAACATACTGAGAGTGAGAGCTCAATGAATGAGAGAGTAAGTATATCACAAAAATTGTTCGACAAAACTTTTTCCTGGGCTATCCATATCAAACATACAAATGTTTTAAAGCGGTAACATCAATCGTAAATTAGAATAAAGCTAGTAAAGAAAGATTTCTTTTGACATCAATCACCTGATTTCAACTCGTAATCTCTCAAAAAATGAGTGGGCGTTTGTGCATTCTTGAAACCCCAAAAAAAGAGAAAGCAAATATTAGTTTTCATTTCTGTTTTTTGATGGAGATCATTTATTGAGGAAAGGGACAGTCATCGCTTTTCTCTGTCTGAAGATCTTTTCCTTTTTCCAATCGACATAAGAGGCTAAATGCTCAATAAGGACGCAGTGAGTAAGCAAAGGAAAATGAGTGAAATAAGAAATAAGAAAAGGAAAGAGAAAGGAAAACTTCAGACATGGGTCCCTTTCAATGCATTCAATGCATAGAAACTTGTGGAACTTTTATTTTGAATAGAACACTTCTTTGTACTAATACAATTTTTGGCTATGGATTGAGAATCTCCTAAAATTGTCTTAATCCAAAAGTTTAGTTTTAAATTCTAGACACCTTCCCCGGCTATTTGGCCCAATACGATCAAAAAGTCTATCCAGCTGAAGCGGAGACAGTCGATCGAATCACAAGATCGGGAAGACACGAGACTGAGTTCCCAGGTTGGTTTTGAGAACTTTCAAGGCTTCAAACTCATGTTTTTTTCTTAAAGTTCTTCTCTTTTTTCCAAAAGAACGTTTTTAGCGTCTCAAAATTAGCTCAAATCAGAGCGGGAAGCTTTTGAAAAAGTAAAGCGTTCCAATTTTTCGAAACACTTGTTCACTTTTCAAGTTTACCAAATATAGGGTGGCTGAAAAGTTCTGTCCGTTCTGTCCGCATTAATAGACGTATCTTTATAATAGGATTTCATCGAGATATAGTAAAATGGTACTCAAATTTAGAAAATTTGATCATTTTCATCTTTTATAAATGTTTGTTTTAAAGAGAAATTTGTTTTTTGAAGTGTATTTTTAATGTTTTTGCAATCGAGTCTTACGCAACTTCTTTAAACTCCCTTTAAAGCGATTTTTAAACCCAACTAATAATGTTTGAGGCTCTCAAAATCGATAATTTCATAAGCAATCTGACTATTTAAGGTATAGTTTTAAAGAAAAATCATTTTTCTTTCAGATAGGTTATTAAAATTTGCTTTTAAGTAAGCCAAAACTGGTTTAGAGAACGAATTGTAGTGAATTGACACACGATCAAACTGAAAAACAGTCTTGGCTTAAAGGAATTAACAATAAAAAAGTTTTTGAAATCATACTTTTCGTATCTCCAGGTTCATATGGTTGGTGTAGAGTAAAACATTGTGTAATCATTAAAATTTAAGACACTTTAGCCTTTTACAAGTTTTATTATAGAGACAAATCTACTAATGCGGACAGAACTTTTCAGCCACTCAGTTTTTACTTGTTAAAATAATGTTTTTCACAAGTTTTTGAGATCTTGTATAAAACTTTTCCAAACTTTTCTCACAAAGCCGAGCCCTGAGCGGCTTATCACGGGGAATTGACTACGAAAAAAGGTTTTTTTTTTCCACAAAGTTAGTGTGAAAACGTTTTCACGGATTTTTCCATTGTAACCTGTTAGAATCGGGGGAAAGAGAGGGAAAAAAACCCATACCAAAGCGGGGAATCACTGTTCGATTTGGAAAAGAGTAGGCTTGGAATTGACTGACTCCAGAGGAAATTCCAGAGGAAATTCTCCCACAAATCCAGTCCTCACCAAATCGATATGGGTCAGTTTTCATGGTCATTTATCTAGTTGAAAACCTTTTTTTAGCGTACTTGTGCCGAAAAAATAGAAACGCACCCTTCTGGCGCATGAAATTCCCAGGCCTCTACGTTTAGAGTTATACTCTGTGTCCAAAAATGTAAACACACCCTTTCTGGTGCACTGAGCTCTTTAAAACAATGATATTTAAGCAAAAATCTAGAAATTAGTCTGCTAGAAAGAGAGTTTTTCCATCCTTGAGTAAAACTGTATCTTTTTTTAAACTGTACCCAAACTTTTCACTTCCTAAACAGTCACCAATTCCGGTCCACAAAATTCACTTGTCCATCAAAAACCTTTCCTTTTTTTCTCTTTCATTCAAAAAAAGAAATCGCCAACTTTTCTGTAGGCTTTGGCGGGCATTTTCTTTTCTTTTTCCTTTTCTCAAAAGTCTATTCAATATTTGTGAATCGGGTGTCAGTCTTTACAGTTCTCCAGTACAAACTTTGATTCTCTCCTTTCCATTTATGGTCATTTATTAATATTTTCTGTAATGGATTTACAAAAGAGAAAGGGTTTGATTGGGATAAGAAAACGATTTTGAATTGATATTGTTTAGAGAAAAGAAAACGGAATATTACAGTGAGAATTGCCTATTCTGGAAGCTCTCCTCTTTCGCCAACATCCACTTATTCGGTGCCCATTCAACGATCGTCGGCTGAAGCCTCGAGGTGAGATTTTAGTAGATTTTTCAAATCTTTGTACTTGTAGCTAATATTTTAGTAATTGTAGCCTAAGCTTTACAGGAAATTACATAGATTGATTCTTGTTTCAGAAATCGTCTTAAACAAGTCCAATTTCTTGCGTAAGAGCTTTTAGAATTTTTATAATTAGAGCTTTTTGAATCAAAATAGTCGAATATTAGAATTATCAGTCATTTAAAAAATACATTTATTTAGCATAATAATGTGGGATAAATACAATACGCATAACATACAACTCAACGGTGCGTTGCCCTAGCCCTAAATGTTCGCAAGAAAAACCAATCTATGTGGCAAAAAAAACCTACCGTAAATACTGTAATAGTACCCCACCCCCATAATGACGGTGCGGAGTGTTACGTAGTCTAGCTTTGAGCCAGTTTTTCCTCGACGCTCGTTTACGCTACAATGCGCGCTTAGGTATCAAAAAATAGCCCTGAATTTCAGCTATTTTTTGATACCAAAGACGCAATTTTTGAAAGTACGGGCGCTTTGAAAAAAATGAAATACTAAAAAACTACATGACTGTACGAGGGGGATGGGGTACTATTACAGTATTTACGGTCGCTATTTTAGCGGCAAGATTGAACCCTTGGCCGTCCGATTAGAACACAAGACTCCTAACTAGTCGGCCATGACCGTTGTTTTTGTTTCCAATCTTTTCAATTTTTAGAAAACTCGGCAGCAGTCTCGGCTCACTCATCACCGAGACCACCGAGCAACATTACGAGGCGTACTCAACCAGGTAAATAATCCATAAAATTTAAAAAAAAACAACTAGAACTGATTCAAATTTAAAGCTATATCAATTTTCTCATCAGAATTGCAAAAAATTATTGAAAGTCCTGAGTGTTTTTAAAGTACAGAAAAACAGCACGATTCTCTTCCAGGCTTGGAAGCTCCTATTACGTGTTACCTTTGTTTTACAATAAAAAATCACGATTTCTTCCGCTCGAAATCTTCGCTTCGGTTACCGTAGTTCAAAATCTCCGAATTTAAATCAAAAAATCTCCGACATTTTAACAAGTCTATCAAAAATGATTGATTTATGCAAAATCCCGCAAAAATATGTAAATCTCTGGAAAACTGGAAAATTTGCGAAACTGCTAAACTCGTGATGGATTGTAAAACTCTGAAAATTTGAGTACAACTTTTTGATTGTTGCTAAATTCTTGTTTCTTGTTCAGTTTCTTCTTTTAATAACTTTTATCCGAGTCAAATCTTTGGAAAACATTAAATTTTGATAATATTTACTAGACAATCACTTTTTTTCCCGTTCATTTCAAGAGTTGCCCTTTTTTGTCTAGAAAAGATTGTTTACTTTCTCGAAAGTGATCCATTTTGGTCAAAATGAATTTTCTCCTTACCAGTACTTTCTATTATCATTACAAGTAAGTGAAATTTAAAGCTCATGAGATTATTAAGTTCATTTTCTAAAGTCTTTAGCATTGTATTTACTTGAAAATTGAAATGAGTAATTTTCAAAATTCAATTTACAATAAAAAACAAAGCTAGAGAATCTTCCAAAACATTGCTGAGTGTCCTTTACGATCCGTTTTCTAACTTCAACTTTTGCAAACTACCGTAATCTTGTCTTTACTTTTATGAAATCTATATACTTTTACGTAAAAGTATACCAAATACCAGTCAATATCTCGAAAAATAAGAATAAGAAGGCTCATTTATAAATTGAGAATAGCAAAATCACTTTATGTCTCTGAGACTCTCAAATAAAAACTGATATTTTAAGATTTTATTGGGTTGGTGAATTGCGGGACTTTGAACTAAAATTTATTGAACATAAAACCATCAATTCATTCCAAATAGTTTCCATTATTATTGACGACTTCTGCCCATTTTACAGGCAATTTGCGGATTCCTCTTTCGTAGTAGGATTTTGGTTTGTGTGTGAGACAAGTGTGAGACTCAAAAATGGAGGACTGGAGATGTCCCAGTTTGAGTACTTTCTTCAAAAGAAACCCATTTTGGTGTCAATAGAAAAGTTGTAGAGAATCAAAAATTAGGCTTATAGCCAAATTTCCAAAAAGATACACTTAGCAGTTTCGCTTAAAATGCAAGTTTTGTGAAAATTCGTAAGTTTGGCATTTCTTGAAAACCAGTTTTTGAATCGTTCTGAAAATTTGGATATAAGCTTGATTTTTGATTCTCTACAACTTTTCCATTCACACCAAAATGGGTTTCTTTTGAAGAAAGTGCACAAACTGTCACATATGACAATAGTCCACAGTTTTCAATTCACCAACCCAATAAAAACAGAAAACAAAATATTGAGCTTAATTTTATGATCAAATAGTTATCCCCATATCGAAATGTTTGCCAAATAGTCAAAAAAAATCACAAAAAGCTATGCCAATATCGATCTGACCAATTTTTTGTCATTTCCCAAAATCTCATTCATTTTTTGATACTAAAAACATGCTCTATTGTGGAGAAAAAAAGCTTTTTCCACTTTTCTATCGCTTTTTTTTCGTGGTTGGTTGGCGCTTGGTCGATTATTGGTCGATTTCACCCATTTTTCACCCTCACAACTTCACTTTACTTCTCTGAATCTCTAAATCTATACGATTCTTTTCTAAAATTTGTCTATAATAATTCAAATTGCTAATACTCTTTTGAAATATTGATTTTTATTCAAAATTCGAACTCAAATCTTCGATTCGGTATTGAAAAGTGACTTCAATGCTTTCAATGCAGCTTCTATGCTCTTAAATTCTTCATTTATAAATTCTAAACAAATTATTTGACTGTTTTTGATTCTTTAATGAATTTTCACTGATCTGGAATCAATTTCACGTCTTTTTCGTTGAATGGCCACACCGCCATCACCAACGAAAAAACCGTGGTGCACAACGATTGCCCAATATGGAACTGAGGATGGAGATGGGCTTGTGTAAGTGAGGCTTAGGTTTGAAATTGGTCTTTAAATCTAAAGATTATCTTTGCCAAATCCTTTTCACCATTATTGGATGAGTAATCACGAACAAAAAAAACGGCAACGAGCATTCAGAGAGTGACTTTCTCTCTTTTTACCTACAAATGTACAGATCCGGCCTCTCTTTCACTTCTTTTTTCCTTCATTTCATTCATTTCTCTCTCTATTTCATGCTAGAAATTGAAATCTTTTTTACAACATTGTTCAACAGATTAAAGAGCTCCACTCTTTAATCGGGAATGGATTTATTGGAGTCATGGCTTGACTTTTGGGTTGTAAACGAGAAGTTAGAGTGGTTGTATCATATAAAACAAACCTCAAAAAAGAATCAGAATCCAAATAGTGCTAAGTAATAAGCTACTTACAATTAACTAAAGAAACTATTCAGTGATACAATAAATAATCTGGATTTAAAAATCCTCTTTTCCAAAAACCTTCTTCTTTCAGACATCGTGAAATGGCGAGCCCGGGCGGTGTGAACTCGTTGGCGGCACAATTTGAACAGACAGCTCGACAACAACGAGACAATGCTCAACAACAACAGAAAAAAAGTCCCGCTCAAGTTCATGTCGTGAAACCGTCTCCAGGTAAAGTTTAACTACTTAGTTTAACTAACTAATAGAACGGCCCCTTTAGAAGCGTTGCGTAGTCTAAGTTTACTCTCAAACAAACGCTTATAAATTAGCACCACTACGTTTATTTCTACACGCTTAGGTATCAAATTAAAGTAGAGAAAATGAGTGACTTTTTAAGATATAACCCAGATTTTTTAGCATTAACCGGGGCTTAGAAAAAGTGATTGAAAAATGATGAAAAATCGGCTCTTTTTGCCACTTTTCAATCATTTTTTCTAAGCGCTGGTGAAAGCTGACAATATGTGTTATATCTTTAAAAAAAATCACTCATTCTCCCTACTTTAATTTGATACATAAGTGTGTAGAAACAAACGTACTGGTGCTAAGTTATGAGCGTTTGTTTGAGAGTAAACTTAGACTACGCGACGGTCCTATAGAGGGCCGTTCTATTAGAGTTTTTACGGGAGGTTAACTATTGAAATCAGATTTTTATGATAAAAACGTGCTTTGTTTAGCTTTAAAATCCCCTTCGCCAACCACTCCTTACGATACTCGAGTGCATCGCGTTGAACGTCAGGTATGGGGAAACACTCTTGAATATATAAATTCGAGTCAACTTTATAATACCCAATTCCTACTTTTCAAGCCGTGATAATGCAATTAGCTGCAAAATGCTAGAAGCTGCTTCAAAAGGACAACAAATACAAATCGATGCCCTGATCTTGCGGATCGATGCCCTGATCTTGCGGATCGATGCCCTGATCTTGCGGATCGATGCCCTGATCTTGCGGGCGGGAGACTTTAACCACTAGTCCACCAACGTACTTGCGCTCGGATAGAAATGAATCTTTTAAAGCATTCGACGCCTTTTTTGATTGAACTTTTACACGCCTGGAAAATCGTTTGGCAGATTCTGATTTCAGATTCGGATTCTTTAAAGTACGCTAGGTGTCCAGACAAAAACTCACCTTGAGTTCGTATTTCGATTGAGATTGAGATTGTAGCATTGTATTTACTTGAAAATTGAAATGAGTAATGTTCAAAATCCAATTTACAATAAAAAACAAAGCTAAAAACAAAGCTCCACACTTGATCCACAATACGCGCGATCATCAACAGCCGCTTCCAAATCCAAAAATAGATTGAGATTTTCAAAAACAGTTATCCCTTTAGGTTTTCAACCCGCAAAATGAGCGATCTGTCTTGCAAACGACCCTTGTCGACATTGATCCACAATACACGCGATCATCAACAGCCGCTTCTCAACACTCACCCGGACAACAATACATTCATGAGACGATTCAGGTGAGTGAAATGAAAAAACCCCTCAAAATAATCGATTGTCATTTTCGTTTGAAACTTAAACTATCTCGAAATAGAGCTTTTCCCCTGTAAATTTCCCTCCAATTTTGCCACAAAAATCCTCAAATCTGCAAGCTTTATCTCGATTCCATCAAATCAGTTTTTCCTCTTAAAACCCTTGATAAATGGAACGTTTACCCAGTGAACATGAGTAGGTAAAACTGCAAAAAAAAAAACGGAATCTCTCAAGAAATTTCTTTCAAACGAAATGTTTACCCATTTGTTAGCCACATCAACGAACTGATCGAAAATTTGTTGAGAAAAGAAAGTGCAGAAAAAAAAAGAAGAAAAATCGAAACTTTTTGTGAGTACATAGAAATGAGAGCCCTATTCATTCACTCGATTTTATTCTTGCACCCACAAAATCCGGGCTTTCTTCGAAAACGACCCCAAAAAAACACACGTGTTCGACCCAGCTGCTCTGTACAAATTTGCATAGATATTCCATAGATATTCGCTTTTTATCTAAATTTAGCACATTTTCCATGTCATTTAACTTTTCATTCACCGACATTCCTAGTCCTAGCTCTAGCTCTAGCTACAATAATCCAAATCCACCAGTCATTGAATACCTTGATGCCTTTCAAAATCGATATTGCCCGATTTGTGGGAATTTCTCGTTCACGAATTTCCTTCTTGCTCATCTAATCGTTCAATTAATCGCGATTTTTATTCTGTGGATAACAGAAGAACCGAGCAATAGATGGAATTTGAGTTTTACAAAGAAAGAAGTTAGATGACAAGGGTTACTATAATCAAGTGGGTTTTTTAGGAGGAGTATCACACGATCAAGAGATATACACCGACTCCACAACCCGCTCATCAAGGTGTCCGAGTGGTTCCCGTTGAAAAGGTTGGGAATTATTTCGAGGAAGGTTTTTGCAGTACGCTAAATTCTTGTTTTAAAACTTGCACCACTTGCAAAAGGTCTAAATTATGACCGTTTTAATCTCGTATCGAATCTCTGAACCTGTTAAGTGAGTTTAATTCTTTAACAACTTCAAAATAGACGCTATAAATGACAAGATCAGACTACAAAAGCTGATAGAAACGGGTAAAATGGTCATTTTTAAAACTGTTTTTGCCAAAAAACCGAGCCAACTTCTTTTAAATGAGATCAAGATTAGACCAACTCATCTCTGATTCGATAGCATGCTACTTATAGCAGTTCATAGTCTCGTCCCATGGGTCAGAACTACAATTCTGGAAAAAAAAGTTAGATTTCAGATGGTGAATTAGTCAGAACTTAGTGCCATTCAAAAGCCCAAAGTTTTCCGGTTTTTTTGGTAAAAACAGTTTATAAAAATAACCATTCTACGCATTTCTACAAGCTTTGTAATCTGAGTTTGTAGCGCTCTAAACCCAAACCTTTTAGGTGAGCCACCATGTCCGTGACAACAGTCGTGACTCAACTCTCCGTGCCGAGGACACAGCTTCATCAAGGTTGGTTGAGTTGCAACCTTCTCTTTGGAACTTTTCAATGTTTGCTTGCCGAAACCCTGTTTGCTAGAAAAGATCTCTCTTGGGGAAAACTATATTTTTTGTTTTTGTCATTTTTCAAGTATGTGTCTGTTTATTTCTCAGAGCTCCCTCATCAGCTTCTGTCCAATCGACGCGAGTTTTGAGTCCCGTGAGAACGGTTGTTGAACGCTACGAGTCACATCATAAAGAAGAAACGACTGAAAGGAGGTGTGCATGATTTTTGGAAAGCTTTATTTGCTTAGAATTCATTTCTTTCCTATGTTTTGTTTAGAAAATTTGATGTTCCTGTTTTTTTTTGGAAATTTTAGCTAAAACTTGCATTTACTAAGCAATTTTTTTCAAGATTTATGTAATTTACTTAAAAATAGTTTTATTTTAGTAATTAATCAAGAAAATCACTTTCCAGACAGCCAATGATTGAACAAATCAAACAGGAGATTGTCATGCAGACGAGAACGTCAAACATGTACAGCGATGAGGAGAGTCGAACCAGGGTGAGGCTTTGAATCAGATTTCAATGCAAATTTTGATATTAATAAGATTATTACAGATACAAAACATTAAAAATAACATAACAATGAACTGAACAAATAGATGAACTTAGACTTTGACTGAAATCTTTATAGAAATTCTAAGAATTGTACAAAGAATTGTACAGATTGAATTGCAAATTGTACAAGATTATAGGAACAACAATTTCGCGAAGAGGAACGCCGTCGTCTTCAAGAGGTGATTTTTAAACTAATAGTACTCAACACCTTTGTCAGCTTCTTCTCAATTCTCAAACAGATCTCTGTTTTTTCTGATTGTAGTGTTGAATTCACTAATGTCTTTTGTGATCATTCACTTCCATTGTGTGGCTAATCTTTTTTTTCTCAAAGGAGGAACGACGGAGAACTCACGGAAAACAACAGACAACAACGATTATTGAAGAAGAGACTTTTGAAGAGATTCGGATAAGGAGAAGGAAAAAACAAGATGGACAACACAAACAGGTGTTTATTTCTTCTCACTCATCTTACCCTTTTATGACCAAAAAGCTTTCCATTTTATGTTTTCACGAGCAGTCTTCTAGAAGAGTTTTGATCAGCTGTTGTTTTGTACCTTTAACGTTACCCTATGATACTATCGGCATAAGAAAATTGAAAACTATTCAAACAGATCAAGACTCACGTCCCCTTTTCTCCCTCGAATTCCTCTCATTAACCCAAAACTCTCTAGAATCAAGAAAGATTGCGTCGTGAAGCTGAAGAAAGAGAACGACTTCGGATTGAGGTTTTCACTAATTTGCTAACTTTATGATTTATGATTTACAAATAAGTTTCACTAATCGCTAATCACAGGAAGAAGAACGACTCCGAAGAGAGATTGAAGAGAATCAACGAATCGCGCGAGAGGTTTTCTGATAAATAACACTAACAAACTACTAGATCTTTAAATTATCAAGAATGTAAAAATGATTTATTTCAGAATGAGCGCCACCGTCGCGAAGAAGAGATCAGAATTCAGGTTTGAGGCCATCATAGTCTTACCATATCCTTAAGTTTAGGAGGAGTTGCACTATCGAAGAGAGCTTGAGATCATCGAACAACGTGAACGAAAAAGACAAGATGAAATGGAAAGACAAAAGAAAGAGGTTGAAATGATGAAATTTTTGATAAATAATGAAATTTGAGATTATTAATAGCTCGGTTAGTCTTACGTTGTGTGAATTCTGAGTTGCATCCGATTTTTATTTAGAAATCTTTGAGATGTAAGATCATTAACAGCTTGATCAGTGTGAGTTTTAAGTTCTACATTAAATAGTTAATTTCGCATGGTGTGTTTTTTCAGGTGGAGATTCAAGAATCACAAAGAATCGAGCGGGAAAGAAGAGAACGAGAGAAACGCGAACGAATCGAAATAGAACGACAGGAAAGAATTCGGATTGAAGAAGAGGAAAGGATAAGGATAGAAATTGAACAGATTGAGATAAGGAAAAGAAGACAGAAAGAAGAAGAGGAGAAGATCAGAAAAGAAGCGATTCAAATAGAGAAGATAAGAATTGAGGAAGAGAGAAAAAGAAGGGAAGCTATAGAGAAAAGAGAGAGAGAGGAGGAGGAGAGGGTGAGGAAGATGAGGGAGAGAGAGGAGATCGAGAGGATACAGAGAGAGGAGGATGAGAAGGAGAGGGCAAGGAGGGTGGAAGAAGTGGAGAAGGAGAGGGAGAAGAGGGAGAGGGAGGAGAAGGAGAGGAGGAAGAGGGAAGAGGAGGAGAGGGAGAGAAAGAGAGAAGAGGAGTCGAGGAGGAGGATGGAGGAGATTAGAAAACAGAATGAGAGGGACGAGGCGGAGAGGAAGAGGAGAGAGGTGAGTAGGAGAATGCCGTGAATTGATTGATACTAGTTTGATTGATACTATAATGGTTGTTCTTTAAAGAAAGCAGCTTTGATTTAGAGGTGAGTTTCAGAATGAGTAGAAGTTGTAACAAGTTTAGTCTTAAGTATCAAACTTTGTCCATTCCGGTGTTCTTTATTCGATTCTTTCATTAACTGCATGATTTTTTTAATTCCTAAATTATTAATGATAGCTTGTACAGTTGAAGACTAACTTCACCATTTCAGGGGGAGAAGAGAGTGAAAGAAGAACGAGAATTGCACGAACGGCACATTATTGAAGTGAGTAGTAGACTTGTAACAAAAATATCTGTCTTTCTTTTTTGCCGTTAACAATTTAAAGTTTTTCGTGTTTTTCTCATCATCAACCCTTCGATTTTGAAAGTTTTGACTATCATTCGATACAGAATCAAATTGCGCGTCGAACGATCCCAAAATTAACTCAAAATAAAATATCCATGCAAAGTTATGAGGCAAAAGGTTAAGTCTCGCCTATAATCAGCAAAGTTTAGGTTTTTAGCCAACAACTTTGCATGGATATTATATTTTGACTTAATTTTGGGATCGTTCGACGCGCAATTTGATTCTGCATCGAATGATAATCAAAATAGTCAAAATCGAAGGGTTGGTGATGAGAAAAACACGAAAAACTTTAAATTGCCAACGGCAAAAGGAACCGACAGAGATATTTTTGTTACAAGTCTAGTGAGTAGTGAATGGAATGAATAAAATCACAACTAAACACTTTACGATAACTAAATTAGAAGTTTTAAATAATTATCGAAATGAAATTTTGTAGGAACGTCGTCGAATCGAGGAGGAGATCACCATTGAACGAAGGCGAAAAGAACAAGAAGAAAAACAAAAAGCAGAAGATGACGTTGCTGAGGTGAGTAACATAATGATAAATTTGAGTTTAAAATTGCTAAAAATCATTGTAGAAAGAGCGAATCCGTCGCGAGGAGGAGATCCGAAAGAGAGAAGAAGAGCAGCGAAGAGACGCTGAGCGAAGGCGACAAGAAGATCTCAGAATTGAGGTTCGGTTTTAAGATAGTCAAAATTTGATTAACGGTTGTTAATCTATTAAACCAGCCAAACTCAAGGAAACTTTTGAATAAAAACTCTCAATTCAAGCTTTATAACTCTAAAGTCAAAGCGTTTTGACTTACCGTAAATACTGTAATAGTACCCCACCCGCATAATGACGGTGCGGAGTGTTGGGGAGTCTAGCTTTGAGCCAGTTTTTCTCGACACTGGTTTATGCTACAATGCGCGCTTAGGTATCAAAAAATAGCCATAAATTTCAACTATTTTTTGATACCAAAGACGCTTTTTTGAAAGTACGGGTGCTTTGAAAAAAATGAAATACTCAAAAAACTTTTCGACTACGCGACTGTACGAGGGGGGATGGGGTACTATTACAGTGTTTACGGTAGGTGAATTTTAGAAAACGCGTTAGTCAAGAGGAACACACTCTATTGTAGACACTACTCGATAGAATAAACTCATTTACTACGCGATTGTACGAGGGGGGGGATGGGGTACTATTACAGTGGGGTGGTACGAGTGGGGTGGGATACTATTACAGTATTTACGGTAACTCTTTTTCTACTCTGCTTTTGAAGAGTAATAAGCTTGTTTTTTTTTAACTTAAAACTTGAGCTTTAAGTATTTTAACTTGAGATTAAGTTCAGTTCTCCATTTTTTTTAGGAGGAGCGTCTTAAATGGGAGGAATGGAAGCGACAAGAGGATATCAAAAAAGAAGAAGTGAGGAGTTTTTAAGTTGCAATGAATACAGCTGTAGCACAGCTGGATTCATTGCAAAATCTGAACTGGAATCTTTTAAATATCAATTACTGAGCGATTCCTAAAACATGCCACTTTCAACTGCTAAAGTACTCATTTTGAAGAATCGGGAGAATCTGGTTTGCTTTCTGAATTGCAATTTGTCAGCTAAATAGTAAGATAGTTTATATCTTGCTGATCTTTGAGCTCTCTTTTCCTTACTTGAAAAACACTGTGACAATCCTGTTGACACATTTCTTTCACAATTGATTCCTATTGTATTGAAGAAGTGAGAAGAAATGTGGAAAAGCAACCGAGCGAATCGTTTTCTATAGAAACTTTTCACAGAAAACTGACCGGATTAGGTTGTCACTTCCATGGGAAACATGGATTTCTTTTAAAGATTGAATCACAGCTCATAGCTCAATCAAATTTCCTATTCATTGCTAGAAAATGAGCTCAAAATTTGACTACCGTTCTTTATTGAAACCTGTGCCAAGACCAGCGACAAGTTTTGTGGTTAGGATTTGGAAATTTTAAGTTTATCAAGAATTTATTAACTTAATTTGCAATCAAATGAGTTTAAAATTCTTCAAAATTTAATCGAAAAAGAAATCTTGAACTTAAATCGCTATTTATAAACGCAAAATTGCTCTCAAATGTTTGACTCTTTCAATTCTAGCTCTATCTGCAATTTCTAGAAAAAAAAAGTAATACAGATTGTGCATATGATTGTTTCCCATCGTTGTCTCTTTGTATCGAAAAGAGAAGTGACTCGAATGGATGGGTATCTAGTTGGAGAAAAGGAAATGGAGAAAGAGTAAAGTCAGTAGTTGACTGTCACTCCGAAAATCTCTCTTTTTTTGAATACTCTATCAAGAGAGCATTCCATCGGGGAAAACTCTGATTTCCATTTTTGTCATAACTTTTATTCACCTACAAAAGTATTTTTCGGTGTAATGCTTGGGATTTTCAAGCAGCATTCCAAGGTGAGATTGTTTTTTGGAGCTGTAGCTGTAAAAATCGAACTTCCAAAGCTTGATTAGCTGTACTTGAACTATAAGATTAGCTCTAAACACTCTAAAGTTCAATCCATGAACAATATAAACATCTTTTATGTTAAATCCCTAGTCAGCCAATCCCAATGAAAGATTTTCTCTTGATGTTGAGTGGGGAAATGTTTGCGCATTGTAGAATCAATGCTATCAACGACAAGACGAGGAGACATCAAAGCCATCCCCAAAAAACTGGCCCTATTTACTTTTTGATAAAAAAATCCACAGAGAACTCGAGAAATTCAGGAAATAAAACTCTATCGTTTGTTTGCGAATTTAATTTTCTCAAAATTCTAGGAACGCAAGCGTCAACAGGCTGAGATGGAGAAACTGCGAGAACAGGTAGAATTTGAAGCAAAAGTAGATGATAAACGGCTAAAATCTGAATCTGATTAGATATTAAAAGTTATTATACTATAAAGTTAATAGTTAATTATAGTTAATATCTTATATATTATCTTAAAAACTTAATACTTACAACTAGTAACTTAATAGGTAAGCGCTTAAACTGCTCGATGCAGTGCCGCATTAGCTCAGTGGTAGAGCATGAGACTTTTAATCTAAGGGTCAGGGGTTCGACCCCCCTATGCGGCTGTGAAGTTTTTGCTTTTTTGAAAAATGTTTGTCTTTCAAATGGCTTTCAATCAACGTAAAAGTTTGTTTAGACCAAGAAGCCAATCGAAATCCCGGCAGCTGATTCGTGAGTTTTTACTTTAATTCTTATTTTAATGAGAATTCATGAGCTGAATTCAAAAGAGAATCACTTCTTGTACTGGATTATTTGATGATCTTTTGATTTTATGAAACATCTATTCAACAATTTAGAAGGGTATACTCAATAGTACAAACAAGTTTCCCACAAAAAACCAAGTTCTGATGATGAATGTGAAGGGGCGAGTCACCGGCTGAGCCATAATACCCCCTATTATTTCCATTTTCAGTCAAATTCCCCCTTTTCCCACCCAATTCATGCCCACTTTCTGTGCGATCATTTTGGAGAGTTTTTCATCGAAATCGATCAATTGAGTTTTCGCTCTCTTTTCAACCTAAAATATGGTTGAGTGAGTCGATTCTCGATCCATTCACGCCTCCCACTCAAAAATTTGACACGAATTCGAGTTGACATCTTTTTTTGACTTGCATTCGCTTTTGATTTATCGAGTTTCAGAAATGATTTGAGTTTTGCAATTCAAAGTTTAAAAGCCTAGCCAGCAATTTGAAGTTTACCTTAGTAGAAGTTCGATCTACCTTTTTAAATTACTTTCAATAGGTACTGGGGTTTATAACTTTGCTGAGGTACTGTAGTTTTGTAAATTTAATGGTACTGTAGATTTGCTGTGGTACTGTAGATCAATATTGATAGATCAAAAGGTTTATCAGGCATTAGTTTATCAGTTTATCGGATTATCAGATTTAGGCAATAAGTTTTGATGTTTCTAGATTTCTTTCTGTGCAGATTTTTGTAAATTGATCAGAAGATATCAAGGAAAAGTTCAAATTCAACAATATGGTCAAATCATTAGTCTAACCGGTAGAACTCAGCACCGAATTGCACGAGGATTTGAATAATTTGTGGCTTATCGTCCCCGTCAATTTCCCTTCAAAGTCGTACAGTAGACTAGCCTCCGTTTCTTTTCCATTTTACTCTTCGTAAAAAGTTTCTCTCTCAACTTTTTCATTCTTTTTCCTCTAGTTGCCATATTTGAGCCTCTGTTTCCAGTTTCCCCTTTTCCCCTTTTCGAGAGGCTTTTCGATTGACTCCTCGTTTGAAGCAACCACACGAATTTCTAAACTTTGGAGCTTATGCTGAAATCTATTATGCTTGATATTTTGATATTTTGCTGGGATTCTATAGAAGTTAAATTTTCTTGAAGCTGTAGCTATAATAGTCTGGTTTAAAAAACGCTTTTGAACTTTGTTTTGTACTAAATTTTGACTAGCCCAGAGTTCAATTTTCTAAATTTCATTAAAAATAGATGAGTACAGTGGTTTTTAATTAAATTATAATTAAATTATGAATTACTTTAAACATTGAGTGGTTCATAGCTTTGAATTACTCCTCCACCTCCGAACGCTTACCGTATCTCTCGAATCCCTCACTTTTCCCTCTCAAAAAAACGGGATACAATTCTTACTGACATATGTGGGTGGAAAAGAAAAAAAGGATAGATTTGATAAGTGAAAACCAGCCTACACATACATGAGAGAGGGGGAATTCGATGAATACAAACATGCGAACAAATAAATGAAAAAGAGAAAGGGGGAAACGAGAAGAGAACACACAGAATTCCCCTATCCATTTTGGAGATCGCGATACTTTACGTAAATTTTTCACTCTGACACTGCGCGAACACTTGTCGCGAACACGATTTGTCACCCCTTTTCTAGTAAATCAAATTTTAATGCCTATATAGTTAGTAGTTGATTTAAAACTTAATGTATTTTATCAATATCGGAGTAAATGTGCTCAGTTGTCAAGAGTGAATAATTTTAATTTATTGAGATTAAAGTTATTCACTCTTGACAACTGAGCACGTTTTCCGAATCAAAAGCTCCGAATCAGAAGCTAATCAATTTAGCTATTCCAGACTATTGAAATCTTATTGTATCTCTAAATGTTCAAAATTTCACTATGAACCTGGCCTACCATGCATTCATTATCATTTTCAGCAAGATGAGCGAGGACTACCGTAGCACGATCAGCCAGAGACAGGGATTCCAGAGGACCGGCGGTTTTACCTCCTCCACCACCTCTTATGGATCCCCGATTTGTGAGTTTACAGCACGTAGATAAGATTTATTATTGATCTTCAATAAAAATGTCTCGTAAAGGTCTTTATGAGTAAGAGACGGGTCTTTGATATGGAGTTGATGGCTTTAAAGGAAAAGGGAATGGAGAAAGAGGCGTTCTGCCTTTTCTTTGTGTTCGATAAGGTATTCTTTTATTTTGAAACTGAATAGAACTTCATTGTTACAAGTATTGTGATTATTTTAGCCGGCAATCGCATGGTGAAGATTGTGAACGAGGTCTCGTCATCAACTCTCTCGGGAATGTCACCATTTGGACAACATGCTGCCTCGTCGATTAGGTATTGATAATTTGTTTTGATACGTTACCATAATTTTTAAAATTTAAATAGTTTACAAGCCAATTGTAATACTTGCTGACAAGTAATCTAATCGAAATCCTATTTTTTAGAGATGCTCGCGAACGCGAGCGCAAGGAGATGTCCGATCTCAACGACCGCTTGGCTAGCTACATCGAGAAGGTAATGCTTTGAAACTTTGATAGTTTTTCTTGAAATCTGAACTTTAAAATTTTCTAGGTGCGCTTCCTCGAGGCGCAAAACCGAAAATTGTCCAATGATTTGGACTTGTTGAGAAGCCGATGGGGAAAAGATACACACTCGATCAAAACAATGTACGAGAGTGAGATTCGAGAGGCTCAGGTAATAAAAAAGCAGGAAATTTTTGTTGGCTTTTCAACTTTTAAAGGTTATCTTAAAAAAATCAACTTCAGAAGCTCATTGGGGACACAAATCGCCAACGCGATGATCTCGAGAAAGACATTCGGAAATTGATGGAAGAAGTGGCAAACTATCGCCGAATGTAAGGCAATGAAGATTCCTTTGAATAAATTTTTTTCAGGTACGAGCAAGCTCTCCGTGATCGCAACGCGGATCGCGCAAAAATCGAGGAACTCTTGGAGAAACTGAGCAAATTGGAGGCTGACATCAATTTGTTGAAGAGAAAGATCGCTGGAGCTGAAGAGGAAGTGTCGAAGATTAGGAAAGAGAATCAAACAATCATGGGTAGGAAAATCAATTTTAAATCTATTAGGTTTATTCAAAAATTTTTTTTTTTTTTTTTTTTTTTTTTAAAAAAAAAAAAATAAAAAAAAAAAAAAAAATTTTTTTAAAAAAAAAAATTTTTTTTTTTTTTAATTTTTAAAAAAAAAAAAAATTTTTTTTAAAAAAAAAAAAAAAAAAAAAAAAAAAAAAATTAATAATAAAAAAAAAAAAAAAAAAAAAAAAAAAAAAAAAAAAAAAAAATTTTAAAAAAATTTAAAAAAAAAAAAAAAATTTTTTTTTTTTTTTTAAAATTAAAAAAAAAAAAATTTTTTTTTTTTTTATTTTTTAAAAAAAAAATTATAAATTTTTTTTTTTTTTTTTCCCATTTTTTACCCAAAAAAAAAAAAAAAAAAAAAAAAAAAAAAAAATTTTTTAAAATTTTTTTTTTTAAAAAAAAAATTTTTTTTTAAAAAAAAAAAAATATTTTTTATTTTTTTTTTTTTTTTTTTTGAAAAGGAAAAAAAAAAAAAAAAAAAAAAAAAAACAAAAAAATATCTTTTCAGAATGATTGTTTTCAATTTGAGTCTTGAAATTTGTGTTTTATTAAACGATTTTTCAGGCAACCTCCAACGCGCTCGTCAAGATCTCGATCAAGAAACTCTCAACCGAATCGATTATCAGAATCAAGTGCAAACTCTTTTGGAGGAAATCGATTTCATAAAGAGAGTCAATGATTCTGAGATTCGAGATCTTCAGGTACAACGGATTTTAATAAAATATTCGAATTCCTCTTTAGGCAATAGCCTCTCGTGATACGACCATCGAAAACCGAGAGTACTTCAAAAATGAACTCTCATCAGCTATCAGGGATATTCGTCAGGTATTTTGAAATTCATGACGTTAACTTGTTCATTGTCTTCTTCCAGGAATACGATCAATTGATGCAAGTGAATCGAAATGACATCGAGTCTTGGTACAGGTTGAAAGTGCAAGAGATCTCCACCTCGTCAGCCAAAGTCAACATGGAACAAGGGTCAGTTGAAGTTATCATATATAGAAAGAAGAAATATAATATAAAAATTTCGTCGTTTTCCTCTGTAACTCCCTTGTCTTTCCCGTATTTCTAAAAATATTAATATTTACCGTTGTTTGAAAAGGAGAAAAAAAAACACTACAAAGTTAAAAAAAAAAAAGAGAAAGAGAAGGGCGACCTGATATTTTTTTTCTTTTCCGGTCGTAGATCTAGAACTGACTAAGTTTTCAGGTAATTTAATTCGTTTAGATACGCGAAAGAAGAGGTGAAACGTCTCCGCACTCAACTCGGTGATCTTCGCGGTAAACTCGGCGATTTGGAAGGGCGAAACTCTTTACTCGAGAAACAAATCCAAGAGTTGAATTATCAATTGGAGGATGATCAAAGATCTTATGAATCCGCGTTGAATGATCGTGATTCACAAATTAGAAAGATGAGAGAAGAATGCCAGGCATTGATGGTCGAGTTGCAAATGTTGTTAGACACCAAACAGGTCGATCAAAGCTTTAATATGAAAAAGTTATTGGGAAATTTTAGACCCTGGATGCTGAGATTGCAATCTATCGTAAGATGTTGGAGGGAGAGGAGAACCGAGCTGGACTCCGTCAATTGGTTGAACAAGTTGTGAAAACATCCGGAATGACACATTCTGAGGAATTAGGTTTTTACAAATTGTTGTCGCATTTTGTATGCAAAATTTTCAGAAACCATGCGCACTCTGAAGGGAGAAACCTCGTCGAGAACCTCTTTCCAACGATCCGCTAAAGGAAATGTTTCAATTCAGGTAAAAACGACAGGAATTTCAATTAGTAATTCAATTCAATTCAATTTTAGGAAGCAAGTGCTGACGGAAAGTCGATCATTCTCGAGAATACCCATCGATCTCGTGAAGAGGAGATTGGAGGATGGAAGTTGAAGAGGAAAATTGATGGAAAGAAAGAGATTGTCTTCACTTTCCCTCAACAATTCGTCTTAAAACCATTGAAAACTGTCAAGGTAATGTGGAAAAAGTCAACTTTCTTCTTTCTTTGTTCTTTTCTTCTTCTCCCTTGTCTTTCCTTCTTTTGCCTGGCAAGTTAAGCTGCCCGATAGCTGAGTGGTTAGAGCAATTGCCAAGTAAAAGGTCGAGGGTTTAATCCCCTCTGCGGAAATCTGCTTTTTCTTGCTAATTTCTTCTTTATTAAGAAAATCACATGGAAATTTTGGTTGTACTTGTGCTCAAAAGTAGAAGCAAATTTCCAACACGAAAACAAAACCTAACAAAATCTGTAAAAAGTTGTTAAGATTGATCAAGAATAGAAGTGAAACTGCGAGATTGAATCTCTAGATTGAAGATTGATTGATTGATTGATTGATTGGTTGATTGAAGATTGATTGAACTAACTAGCTAAAAGATCGTTTGAACTAACTCTAGTTAAACTAACTAAGATTGAAGCAACTTTAGTTGAAAACTAATCCTTTTTTCCAGATCTTGGCCAAGAACCAGGGAATGGCCAATGGAATTGATGTGCTTGTTCACCAAGATGAAGACTCATTTGGAACGGGCAGCAATGTGCACACAATTCTCTTCAACTTAGCTGGAGAGGTGAGAGGAAAAGCTAACAATCAATGAAAATCAATACAAAGATTGTAAGAGTTATAGAGCTTACTCAAAACAAACTGATAAATGTAAATGCTTACTCAAATTTCCAGGAACGCGCCACCCTCATCCAGCGTGCGTCACGCGATTGAGCGAACAACGAACAATCCAAATAATTTCTCGGTTACTTTATTTTTATGTAGTGCCTTTTAATTTCAATTCTTTCTCTTAAAAACTGCCCATTTTACTTCACTTTGCTTTTTTGTAGCACCTTTGCAAACAAAAGCTTTAGTTCCAATCTTTTTTTTGTGCAAGAATCGACTCGGTGGTCAACAAGTAGCATGCTCACTTTCCAAATAAAGAATTCCACACAATTTTCAGTTCTCTTTTTAGATATTTTTTTTTCAATAAAGTTTTCTATCGTTGAGTTTAGAGTGATTTGCACAGCACAAGCTTTCAATTTTACTATAAAAGGTGTCGGTTTTGTGATCCTCCCCTCGGGAGGAGTGCTTGCACCTGTCAAAAGTTTACAAAGTTAAATTTGATTGATAATTTGATAAAAGTTTATCATTAAAAGCGTTTCAAAGTAAAAGACTCAATTAATTTTCTGAAATTTGTTTTGTTTTTGTTTTTTTCTAATTACTGATCATGTAATTGAAAGGTCGCGGATTTTCACGAACAAAAATATCAACTTTTCCTCACCAAAATAAAGCCGTTTTGATTTGTGACAAGAAGTCAAATAAGAAAAAATAAGAAGCACGGGGGTAACGCTGATCATCACCTTTCCAGGTACCTTGAAGAGTTTAGTTGCGCGTTGAATTGAAGGAAAAAAAAATCGATAGATCTTTGACAGAATTGCTTCCACGTGGTCTTGCTTCCAGAAACTCTATAGTCTTTTTTTTGTGTATTGCATGTGATTTATAGAATTTTTATGAAAATTTTGGCGGTGTATAATCCCATTGATGCATATGGAAGATAAATTCCTATTGCTATGAAACTCTTAATGGGGATATAATCCCATAGTATTTGTCTATTTGTCACAGATCAAAACTACTTCAAAACTACAGAAGCTTTCTTCCTTCTTACCCTTTTACAATCAAAAGTTGACTTTAAGAAGTTATTTGCGACAATGATTTCATAATTTTAATATTCAAGAAGTCAAATTTTCTTAAGAAAAATGAGAAATTTGAAAGTTATAATAGAATATAAATGAATCAAATACAAATTTTGCGAGTCAAATGAGATTTGATCAAATAAAAATGAGTTTTGCGAGTCAAATGTGAATAGAATTACATGAAAATAGCTAAAATCGAAACAAAAAAGAACAATGCATTCCTACATATAGAAAAGTAAACTTTATAAACAGTTACTTAAAAAATTTAGACGATAATATACCATATTGGATCATGCGAGATTCACGAGAGATTTTTCCAGACATGAATCGTTATTTCAAAATGTTCCAAAGTATGAGGAGGTGGTTCCAGTTGAATTCCAGGTGCGTTGAATTCTGTATAACCCGTGACACATGTCATTTGACCACCATGAAAAGGTGGACAAGGTTTCATCTCAAAAAAGCCTTACAATATTGTCATTTTTACGTGATTATTCATAATGACATTGCTGTTACTTTCAACAAGTAAAAATACTTAAAAAAACTTCTTTGATTTCTTTGAGTCAGTAACTTCTTCAAGCCAATACTCGAGGAAAGAGACCACATCGAATTTTATGCACCCTGATTAACTTCAAGAATATTTAAAACTTTACTTTCACTCAATAAAAGAATGTAGTTAGCTGATTTACCATTATTGAAGACATTTAAAAGTAACATAATTGTTTTTTAATGGAAAATTTGATGAGAATGGTAAATCAAAGCTGTAAATGCTTTACAAATTTCTCAAGAGATCTTTCTAAGTCCCCGTAACAAACAAAGAAACCAGGAAAGCTTAAAGAAAACCGCACAAAGGGTTCTGTTATCAGCTCTCCCATCGAAAGACGTAAACGATCGTTGACCCTCGAATGATAGAAAAGAATAAATATTTTCGACGAAAAGCCTAATTGGCTTCTATTTCTGAATAATTTGAGGTTGATTTGAGGAAAAAATGTCGAATCCGAGTCCAACGATGCATCGATCGATGTTTGTTCCATATGTAAGTGCAAATCTTTTAAACTTTTATCGACTCTTTAGCCATCAAAACCCGCAGTACCTACAACATTGCCACCAAGTAATCCGTGAGTTTTATTGATAAAGAAAGTTTTATCAGAGTTTCTTACTTTTCATTGTTCAATGCAACCATATTTCAGTTTTCAATGATTAGATGAGAATGGGAAAAACAAAGCTGTAGATGTTTAAGCTTTACAAATCTCATTTTATGTAGGATGTAGGAGTTGCCTCTTTCAAACACTTCCAAACTGTTTTTGGCAACTTTTCATTCTTGACTCTTTCGATCGTGGTTTCAAAAGTTTTTTTTCAGAAAAGCTACCGTAATCCCGTTACTTTCTGGTGTAAAAATAACTAATAATAAGCCTCACTCTCTAGGCTGTCCAGAAATTCTTTGGGGTAGGCTAATTTTCGAAATTTTTTTGTGCAACAGGGTCTTTTGCGCGACTCGCCATAACTTTCTTCTAAGTAGAACCAATCTTTATGATTTTGGTTTCATTTTGTTGCACTTATTGAGATCTACAAAATGAAACCAAAATCATAAAGATTGGCTGACTAAAAAGAAAGTTATGAGAGTTGCGAGTTGCGCAAATGACCCTGTTGCACAAAAAAATTGCGGAAATTAACCTACCCCAAGTCTTTTGTTGCTTTTCGTACTTTCGTTGTAACCAACAAATGCACCAATTGAACTGCCGTTTGTTTCATTAGAAAAGCCAATTATTATAAACCAAAATAACATTGAAACGGGTTTAAAATGTCTGGCTTTTTTTGGGAGTGTGAAGTCGAGTCAAAAATGTAGACACTTTAGCTAAGGAAACCTTTCTTTGTGTCAATAGATAAAAGATTGAGCACAAAACGTTTGGTATATAGACAAATTTTCAGAGAAATTCATTCAGTCAATTTCTTCAATAGAGGTTTTTATAGATTTACTTGAAATTTACTTGAAAGTGAACCAAAATTGACTTAAAAAGATGGAAAATTGATTAATAAACACTTTTTATTTAGAGGAAACCATAGGTTAATTGGTGAATTTGTTATTTTTAAACGGAAAAGTGAAAAAGGAAAGAAAAGACTTTCTGGACGGCCAAATACTTGACCAGATTCTTGTTAGGTTTGTCTGTTGGTTAAAATTTTCTTGAAGTACGATAGTTTAAAGCAACGTAAGAACAACCTTTAAAAAACACTCTAACCTCTAACTTTTATTAACTGATTGTTAACTGATTCACTGATTGTTCATACTTTCCCTCTTCATCATCTTTTAATCTTTTACTTCAGTAAACAACTTCAGAACATTCTCCCTTCTCTTCAAATCTTCGGAATTCATTTCCGATTTCTCTTCTTTTTGTTTATTTCTTTTTTTCATCGAAACACTCTCCATTTTAGCGGGTTTATTCTCCATTCACTGATAAGAATGGAAAAATTCAATAGGAGAAAAACTCGAAGAATTCTTTTCGGCTTATCTTTTGCGAGTCTTTACAATCAACCCGTGAAGATGAGAAAACTTCAAGAAAATAAAGAGTAAAAATTTTGGTTTTGATCTCAGATTGTGGATCGTTTTTAGTTTTCACTGGGTTTTATTAGTTATAACATTTTTCAGGATGAGTAGTCCGATTGGTGGTGGAGCGAGGTACCAAGGGATCGGTGGTGGAGCGACGAGTGCCACAACGACCCCTATCTACTCGCCGTATTCTCCAAATTGTATGTGAATCATCGATCTATAATCTTTAAGACCTGGATTATTATATGAAAAAGTTAGTTCCAAGTTGTTCAAAACTGGATTACAATTTGCTGGGTTTGTTGGGATCACTGTACTGACCTAGGTTTGGCAGCTCGTCAAGCGTCGGTGCTCTTAGAAAACTGGATTCTTAGCTAATTGATCTTAAAGATCTACACAGTGACAAAAAGCTCAGGCCCAGATAGAACAGTGATATCAGATATATCAGTAATGACACATAGTACAGATAGCTTCCTCCACTCCACTCATCAGCACCAAGACTCGAATCCTTTGACTCATCCAAACTCCCACGATAGAAACGTTTAACCCGATAATGGGCAATACAATCAGAAATATTTGAAAGAACTAAACAAATAAATCCGCCTTTTGGGGCTTTTTGGGGAACTCTTTTCTCTTCTTTTAAAAGAGAAAAGACCATTTGCGGATTATGACTGATAGGCAAAGGCTTTCAAATTTTGCGACTTTCAAACACTTTTCCTCAAACTTTGATTGAATTCAATATTTTCAATTCGAGAAATTTCAGCGGCTCAAAGAATGGTGAAAGTGGTGAATGAGATCTCGTCGTCTTCGTTGACCGGATCGTTTGGAGGGAATGTCGCGGTGACTGTTAGGCAAGTTGTAATCACTTAAAGTTTCAGAATCTTAACGAATTTTGTTAGAAAAAGATTCAAGTTCACAATTTTTCATATAACCAATGCGATTTCTGGTCATTACAATGTTTAGAGATTCGCGTGAACGCGAGCGTAAAGATCTCTCAAATCTCAACGATCGCTTGGCTAGCTACATTGAGAAGGTTACTTTTTGATAAACCATATTGCTAACAGTTTTTAATTACAATTTAGCATTTAGAACGATTTTTAGGTTCGCTTCCTTGAGGCTCAAAACCGAAAACTTGAAACAGATCTCGATTTGTTGAGGGGAAAACGGGGAAAAGACTCGACTTCGATCCAGAACATGTATGATTTGGAGATCAAAGAGGCTAAGGTAAAGAATTTCAATCATTCTCAAGTAGTTAAAACAATTTATTCAGAAACTTGTTGATGAAACCGATCGTCAACAACAAGCCCTCGAAAAGGAGATCCAGGGACTCAAGAATGAAGTGGACAAATACAAACATCTGTGAGTTGACAAGTTTTGGCTTTTTGAACAAGTATTTCTAGTTACAAGGATGCTCTCCTCCAAAAAGCTGAGAAATTTGACGATTTGTTGGACAAGTTGTGCAAAATCGAGGCTGACATCTCGTTCTTGAAGCGAAAAATCACCGCTGCTGAAGAGGAGGTGGCAAGGTTGAGAAAAGAGAAACAGGGATTGATTGGTGAGTTGAGTAAAGCTCAGCAAACTAAACTCTTTGTTCATTAGCTCATTCTGGAATCTCAATTTCTAGATGATCTTCAAAAAGCTCGTCAAGACCTCGACCAAGAGACTCTTAACCGTATCGACTTCCAAAATCAAGTGCAAACCCTGCTTGAGGAGATCGATTTCATGAAGAGAGTTAACGATTCGGAAATTAAGGATTTGCAGGTACTAATATTGTGAATTATGTTTGATACATAAGAGATAGATTCAATAGAATTTGTAAATTTCCCATTGAATTACCAATTCTTTAGCTGATGGCTTCGCGTGACACGACCATCGAAAACCGTGAATACTTCAAGAACGAGCTCTCGGCTGCGATGAGAGACATCCGTCAAGTGAGCTCAAGTGCTGAAAAACAATTCAAATTATTATACAGGAGTACGATCAACGCATGCAAGTCAACCGTACCGATATGGAATCTTGGTACAGAATGAAAGTGCAAGAGATCTCCACCTCGTCGGCTAGAGTCAATGTTGAGCAGGGGTTAGTTGATCTTATTCATAAAATGTGGCTTTTAGATTTTATTGCAAAGCTTTTTATTTTCAGATACGCTAAAGAGGAGGTGAAACGCCTTCGCAATTTCGTCAGCGAAATTCGCGGAAAAGTGGCTGATTTGGAGAACAGAAACTCGTTGTTGGAGAGACAAATCAAGGAACATAGTGATGAACATAAAGACAATAAGAAATCTCTGACGCAAATCCAAGAGGAAAATAAAGGGCAAGTGGAGCAATTGCAAGGAGAAATAGATCATCTCATTGAGGAGAAAAATCGTGTGATGGCTAAGAAAACGGTAAGGGAGATGGAATCAAACAGTACAATCAACAATTTCAGACTTTGGATGCGGAGATTGCCAAGTATCGATTGATGTTGGAAGAGGAAGAGAAACGCTCAAACCAACACCAAATCGAACAATTGCGTCGAAGCAACCAGAACCAAAGCAAGTTCTTGTGATCTGAAAAAATAAAACAATATTTTTGCAAGTTTACTTAACGCATTCCCTTTCTAGGTGCCAAGGCAGCCCACCAAGAAGAGTCGGTGTCTCGCAGCTCCTACCAGCGATCAGCCAAAGGAAATGTCTCTATTCAGGTTTGTCAAGATGAATTTCAAAACTACATTAGAATTTGCAATGCTTTTCAGGAAGCTGCCGCCGATGGTACTTGCATCATCCTGGAAAACACCCATCGATCGAAAGAAGAAGACATTAGTGGATGGAAGTTGAAGAGAAAGATTGACGCAAAGAAGGAAATCGTCTTCACTTTCCCCCAGAAATTCGTCCTGAAACCCCTGAAAACCGTCAAAGTGAGTGGACAAATTTACTATATATGTTTCGTCCGATTCTCCTGATTCTAGATGAATCTGGATCGGATATCTGATCTAGAGCGAATTGAGGTCAAACGTTCGATCTAGAATCAAGCCGATCACTCTAAATCAGACATCCGATCCAGATTTAGTTTCAGAGTGATCGGCTTGATTCTAGATCGGACGTTTGACCTCACTTCACTCTAGAACGGAGGTCCGATCCAGAATCAGTGTGGATCGGTCGTAACATTTATAAAAGAGCAGTGTCTGTCTGTCTGTATAGGCGTATTTTGACCAATAAACGTAAAAACTTCTTTAGAAAACCTTAAAAGATATTGTAGTTGTGCCATTTTAAATAAAAAATTCAAAAAGCCAAAATTAAGTGACACTATAGGGGGTCGAACCTCGTTCTTGTGAACCGAACGCGAACGCGTTCGGCTTAAACAAAGACAAACAAAGACAAACTTAAAGACAAACGCGCTCCCGACTACGCCATAGACAAGCTCGCTCGCGACTCAAAAACGGCGGGTATAAACTCAGAAAAAATCCGCCGTTTTTCGTTTTTCGGCTGGTGAAAAGATAAAAACGTAAAAGCTTTTAGATTCTTGGCAAGAACCAGGGAGCCGCCAATGGAATCGATGTGCTCGTGCATCAAGGCGATGAATCGTTTGGTGTTGGGCACAATGTGGAAACAATTCTTCACAATGCTGCTGGAGAGGTCGAGTTTATCAAAAAAATACATTCAAAGTTTAAAATCAGTTCAGAAAGCTTTACGGTACCTGTCGACTTTAATCCTATAAAGATTCTTCAAACCAGATTTTTCAGTAGAGTAAACTGATGTCTGTAACTGAGCAAAACTTGAACTGATCGATCACCTACCAATATTCAAATCTGTTTTCGATTTTTTGAGTGTAAACGTCTAGTTTCAAAAGCTTATGTAATGTTTCGTGTAATACCGTATTTTCTCTAATAATAGTGCATCATGAGCATCGCCTAAATTGCTTGAAATCTCGAGAACCGCTTATCAGAACCTAGCGATGTGGGGTCGGAAAATGTAGCTGACGATGAGATCTAGTGGGCGATTGAGAGTGTTGAGCTTCTGCAAAAGCTTCAAAACCGTAAAATAGTCACCAACTCGGCTCGCCGGGATGCACTACTATTAGAGAAAATACTGTATTTGTTTTCAGGAACGTGCCACTCTCATCTACCGTGCTCATCTCAACTAGATGACAGACAAAAGACAAGATTTTTGCTCTCAAAAATTTTCTGCCTAACTTTAAACTGCCATTTTTCTTAAAGCTTTAGAGTATAAATGCTTTATTGTTGCAAATAATTCAGTGAAATACAAATACAAACATGTTTCGAGACCAATTTTGTGTGTGGATGAACTGAAATTGAAATGCTTAAGTGCTGAAGGGGATAAAGCTCAAAAATTGGGGCTTTAGTTGAAAAGAAGGTTTGAAAATTATGGAAAAAAGATGTTTTCCAGTGAGAAAATCAGATCAATTAGATCCGAGTCAAGGAAAAAAAAACACGTACTTTCGCATCTTTTGCAACAAATTAATAAGCTAATTGATGTAATAAGCTAATTCTATCTTAGTTCATTGAATTTTAACATGTTTTCCTTGTTGTAATATGGATTTGAATCGATTTAAGATAGAATTAATGAAAAATAAACCTAATAAAGTCATTTATATTATTCTTTTCCTTATCTTTACTGAGAGAAATCTACATTTATCCTGTTTTTTGATAGGTCAAAGATGCGAAAGTACCGAAAAAACTGTACAGATGCGAAAGTACCGAAAAAACTGTACACGATGAAATGAAACCAGTAAAGAGAATTTGTTTCTAGAAAATGGAAAAGATGAGAAATTTTGAAATATAGTAAATCGGGCAATCACTACAGTATACTTATTGAAAATGTACTCAAATAAAAATTGAATACGAGGATCAAAACTAGGATACTATTTCAGCGTTTCTTTGGCATACTATAGTGACAAAAACTCGAATACAGTACATTCAAAATGGCCAATAAATCTAGACAGAAAAGGGCACGGTAAAGTGAAAAGTTTAACAGTTTAGCAAACGCTTTAGCAATTACCAACAAGCACACCCTTGCCTAAAATGAGCTTGTTGGCTTTAAAACATTAAAAGTGAAGGTAAAAGTGAAAGCAATCAAAAAGCTTTCATTCCTTGCTGAATATTCAAATGAGGAGAATCAAAGGAAGAGCTATCTTCAAGACTCATCTCTTCGAAAATCGCCTTTGTCAACTCCTGTTCTTCCCGGGTTTTCTCGTCAATATTTCTGTAAAGTTACTATTTTAAACTTCTATTACCTACATTTTTATTCGATTTTACTTAAAAATGATTTTCAAGTCTGATTTCTTCTTTTTTGAATACTATTGGATTGGTGAAATGAAAACTCCCGGCTATTGTCATATGTGACAGTTTGAGCACTTTCTTCAAAAGAAACTCATTTTGGTGTCAATGGAAAAGTTGTAGAGAATCAAAAATCAAGCTTATATCCTAATTTTCAGAACGATTCAAAAACTGGTTTTCAAGAAATGCCAAATTTACGAATTTTCACAAAACTTGCATTTTAAGCGAAACTGCTAAGTGTATCTTTTTGGAAATTTGGCTATAAGCCTAATTTTTGATTCTTTACAACTTTTCCATTGACACCAAAATGGGTTTCTTTTGAGGAAAGTGCTCAAACTGGGACATCTCCAGTTGTCGATTTTTGAGTCTCACACTTGTCTCACACACAAACCAAAATCCTACTACGAAAGAGGAATCCGAAAATTGCCTGTAAAATGGGCAGAAATCGTCAATAATAATGGAAATTATTTGGAATGAATTGATGGTTTTATGTTGAACAAATTTTGGTTCAAAGTCTAGATGATCTCCAAAAAGCTCATCAAGACCTCGACCAAGAGTTTTCAATTCACCAACCTAATACTTAAAAATCATTTTCAAGTCTGATTTCTTCTTTGCAATTTGTTGGAATACTATTTTTATTGTTAAGAGTTTTACTTTGTATGCAAATTATATGATAACAGTAAAAGATTTTACATAAAAATCCTTTTCTCACCTCTTAACATTCTGAATTGCATCCTTGATACTCTGAATGCCCATTTTGAGTCGCAGTTGCGTCGTGTACTCGACATTGTATTGCTGAGGCCAATTTGCTTGTCGGAGTGGATGCAGGACTTCTTCCAAATTCTCCTGAATTGTTTTTGTTTTAATGAATTGAGCATGTTAGAATCCAGAATGTCAAAATTCTCTCACCATTTGTCTCTCCAACTGTATCAATTCTCTTTCTTCTTCTTTTGCCTCGACATCCGTCTCATAGAGTCGTTGTCGTTGTTGCTCCAAAGTGTAGCTAAAAATATATTTTAGATTTTAGATAATAAACGTAAGGAAGAAATGGTAAAGAATTGAAGCCCTGGTCTTCTGCTTACCGCTCAGATGCTCTACGACTAAGCTATCAGCGCCTTTCTTGCCCAAGAAGAAATAGGAAAGACAAGGAATAAAGAAAGGGTTGAAAAGGCTTTAAGAAAGAACTTTAAGTTGTCGTTTGCTATTTTAAATTGTTTGTTTAATCGTTTAACAATGTTTAACAATAACAATAGCAACAAAAACGCTTAATAATGTTTAATAATTTCATTTAAAATTTAAATTATTTAATCAAATTGTTACTTTTGTGCCTCGATCAACTTTTGCAGTTCATATTCAGTGAGTCGGGGCGGAGCTGAAGAGGGACCATCTGCTTGTGTGATGCCGAATCTAAAGATCAGAAAATTTTCGTAGACATTTGTGTTGTTAAATCTTTCAAAAACCTGCAAAACCTGCAAAAAGGCACCAAAACTCAGAGGTTTAATTGTAAAAGTTAATCAATTTTGTATGCAAATCAGGTTTTGACAACTATGGATTGCATTGATTGACTTTAGCTCGGAAAGGGTTTTTAAATGACAGGAGTTAAAGCTTTAAACAAACATTCTTACTAATAAGGGAATGTCAACTGAATGTAGTGACCAAATAACATGTGTTACGGGTTATTCAATGCAGAATTCAACGCCGATTCCGAATCTGCTTTCCGTTTCTGCTATGGAGCACTCTGTCAAAAGCTATGCAAAGTTTGGTATGAGATTTCAAAAATCACACCCCGAGTTTATAAGAGGTTTCCCGAGACTTAAAGAAGGCAATGTGGTCAAGTGACAATATGTTAGAATGCAGGGATTTTTTTTAGGTTTTAATTATAGTTGTTTGAAGTTAATAGTTAAAAGTAAAGATTTTTAGTAAAGAAAAGTTTTTAGAAAAGAAAAGCAAAGAAAAGTTGTTTAAAATAAACTTGTATTTAAAACGGAGAACAATTAAATTTGCAAATCAAAAAAGCAAAAGAAAAAAGTAGAACCGGGACACGAACTAAAGCTTCTTTGCCCTGGATTCCAACCAATTGCCACTGCTTCTTAAAGTCTTTGGGAAATCTGCTTGTAAACTCGGAATATGATTTTTAAAATCCCATACAAAACTTTGCATGCTTATAACTTTTGACAAAGTGCTCCATAGCAGAAACGGGAAGCAGATTTGGAATCGGCGTTGAATTCTGCAGAACCCGCGACAAATGTCATTTGACCACCATATTCAGTTCAAATTCCCTTGTGAATCAAAAAGTTGAAATCAACTCCATCAAGCAAGACTCACCTAGTCATATCCAGCGGTGGTCTCGAATGGGAATTGTGCGGGTTTCGCGAGAGTGAGTTGAAACGTCTCTCCATTACACTCGCATAATCTGTAAAATGTCGAGAGGGATTATCGGATTGAAAATGTTTGAAAAAGGGAATACCAATGTATGCAACTAGTTTCAGAAAGAGAGTGATCCGATCAACGAAATATATGGAAAAATGGGAAATCACATTGCTCATTGTCGGCGAAATTTCTCTCAAACTCTTTTCTCCTGAGAAACAATGCCTATTTGTTCAGGGATTCCCCTTTTTGAAAAATCATTTTGTTGTTATCGAATTTTTGTCAAAAAAATAACCAAAAATGGGATAATCTTATAAAAAACAATGACGTTTCTGGACAATTTATCAAAATCAAAATCTTTAAAAGTAAATTTTGTATGTAGTTAAATTTTCGGATTGATAATATGATTATTGAAATTTTGAAAGCTATTTAAAGACGGACCAGGTGGTGGAGCTCGACTTCTCATCGTTCCCATTGAAGTGCCCGGTCTCATTCTCACTCCAGTATATGCTGGGAGACTTGTCGTGCTTGATCCACTTGGGGCGAATTCGGTCTTTCGTTTAATCACTAAAACATTAGTATTATGTCAGATTTGGCAAAGATCCAGTTTTCGAGAAAATACGGAAAGTGAGAGTTTAGCGAATCGGGCGGGTAATCGGATACCAAAAGAAGGTAAAAGAGGTAAAGAGGGTAATCGATTAGATTTGAGAAAATAGTTAAAGTTTCTATAACAGGATGATTTACCTTATTATTCAATTCAATATCAATTCAATTTTGAGAGTTTACTATCAGATTTTCTAAAAACTGACCTGAATACAAGACATCGGATCGAACGGAGCTTGTGGAGGGCATTCGTTGGGTGAAAGTTGACGTCTCGATCGGCTCGGAGTGATCGTTTGGAGGGATTGATTGAGTCGATTGAGTCGATTGAGTCGATTGACTTGATGATTGAACGGGATCTGAAAACGGGTCGTTAACTCTCAAGTGATTATCAGGCAAGAAAAAAAGATCTTTGTGGTATTGAATTGAATTTTCCTCTAACAATTTGTAGCAGTTTTCTCTAATTTCCCCGCTTTGAGACATTGGATGACGATTTTTTGCTTGGAAGAACAGGAGAAATAAATTGAACGCACATGTTCGTTGTGATAAAAAGTTTATGATCAAGGATTGGGACAGAGAAAATAATGATTTGGAAAAATGGAGAAATGGAGAAATGGAGTTGATTTCAAAAACAATCAGATGTTGCTTGGAACAAGTGTTTACTTCAATTGAGTAATCAATCAGGGAATCTCACAAAAGGAAGAGCATCAACAAGTAGGAAAAGCAAAAAACTGATAAGTGAAGGCAAAATCAGATTGTTATGGTTTTCAAAGCTTTCCAGAAACGACATGACTAACTGGATTTTGGAAGGAAAGAAGAAAAAAGGTGGAACAAAAATTGTCAAAATAGGAAATGTAGAATCAACAAGGACAGTTTTGACAAAAACTAATGGATAAACAAGTTCAAAGTTTCCAAAAACAAATTTAATAATTTAGATCTAAAAAGACTTGACAAAGATTTAAGAGGTAAACAGGAATCCATGTGAAAAAAGGAATAAAAAGAGATTTGGCAAAAGAACATGTTCTTGTGGTCGGTAAGAAGGGGAAAGGCTTTGATGTTGAGATTTGGGAAAGGAAAAGGAAAAGAAGGGGAAAAGAAGAAGAAAAGAACATGAAAAGAAGGGGAAAAGACAGGTGTTGGGTTTGGAAAGAGAAAATGGAACTTGAGAAAAATGAGAAAGAAAGAAAGAACAAAGAAATGAAGGCACCCAGCTGGTTGCATTGAGGGAAATCCGACAGGTCTTTGGATCTTCTTGCCAAATCCATCTGTCTGTTTCATTCAAATCCGAGCTTTGACCGAATTGTGAAGACTTTTTTTGGGTGTGCTAATGAGATTAGCATTCTGAGCTTCATAACGAGATTGCCATCTCTTTTCATTTGCTTCAAGATTCTCATCTATGTCAAATGTGAATGGTAGATGAACTGGAAAAGGAGGAAAAACAAGTGGAAAACTGACTGGAAATTCGTTTTCTGAGAAATGAGTGTTAATTTAGAGACAAGGCTTAAATTTTAGGTATTTTATTGAGCTGAAATTTACTTTAATAGACTCTGGATGTGCGTTTTACCATTTCAGGCATTTCTGGAGAATAGTTTTACTTGAAAGTCTCAATTTTTCTTTAGAAAGTCATCACAAACATGAGATAACTGGAAAGAAAAGATAAGAATGGCTTAAAAGTTTAGTCATGGCTCGACGGAAATGAGTAAGTTCAAGTATTGGAAAAGACATGTGAAAACTCTTCTCAACGGGAGGACAGGAAGGAACAATTAACTGGCACACTCACTGGAAGATTGGGGAAAAACAAGAAAGAAAAGGGGAAAGAGGGGAAGATTCAATTGTGAGACTGGCAATCGAAGGATGGAAGGGACAAGAAATGGGATTGGAAAGGGAATGAATGGGATGAGTGAATGAAGTTGTCCGAATGGGGTGGAGAGGCCAAATTTGGGAAAGAGTTTATCTAGTGTACTTGAAGTTTATCAAATTTTCTATGATTCATTTTGTAATCAAGGTCAATTGTTACTTGATTAGGATTACGCTTTAGTACTTTTTGCTTGCTAGAAACATACCTAGTCTAGTGTACCAGTTAGAAGAGATGCGTTTCTAACTTTGAGCACAAAGTACGACTCAGAAAAATAATCCATATGAAGAGATCACTTCTATAATTAAAATCAAAAACAAACCCGAATAATCCATATGAAGAGATCACTAAATATCTTTTTTTTGGCAATTGGCCGAAAAGTAAAGGATTTTATAAAACTTTTGATCTCATTTCCTATCAATGTCAATGACGTGAAGTTCCACTGAAAAATGTTTCGGTGGCGATAAAAACAATGAAGAGAATCTTACTCATGATCATGAAATGGGTGGGGTTTAATGAAAAAGCAGAAAGAATTGTTGTTTATGGATAGAATTGAGTGTGAATGACGCATAGAAGGACTAATGTACTTCCTAATGTACTTAATGTCCTTCCTAATGTACTTAATGTACTTAATGTACTTCCTAATGTACTTAATGTACTTCCTAATGTACTTAATGTACTTCTTAATGTACTAAATGTACTTCCTAATGTACTTAATGTGCTTCCCAAAAGATTACTTGTACTGAAAAACTTTAGATTTATGAATTTAGACATTTAGATCATCATGAATTGGAAAAAAAGTCGAGTTTCGTAAAAGAATTTTGAAAGAAAGACTTTTGATTGATTCAATTCAAACAATTCAAAGGAAAGAAAGACTTTTGATTGATTCAATTTTGATTCAATAACATTCTTTGTTTGATTCATGAACAACTAACAGTTATACGATGATGAAAATTTTAGAATTCAAAGGAATTTAAGAAACGAACGAGGTGAAAGAGTTCACGTAGAGTCTTCCACCGATAAAATGGTCTCCGCACCTCCTCGCATTCTTCCCAATCCAATCGAAGCTCTTCTCCTTTTCCTTCTTTCATTCTCTTTTGATTCACAAAGGAGATGGGCGACACTTCAGCCCAAAAGTAAACAACAATGTTCAAACGAAAGAAAGAATGAAAAAGAGGGAAAACGATTGAGACGTTTTTTTGGCCCCTTTAGCCGGAGCTTTCAGCTGAACTGATTTTGGGAGTTCTGGGCATCAAAGAGTATCATCGTAGTTTGGCAAATGGGGACAAGAAGTTCATGGTAAGGAATGGACAAACTAGTGAACACTTTTAATGGTAGTAAACTGTACAAATTTACTCACAAAAACATTGTCTAGTGTCGGAGATTATTCAAACAAAATTATCTGGACTTAAAACTTTAAGACTTTAAAACTTTGGTGAAAGAAAGGGAAAATTGAGGCTTGATTTGAGGTAAAAACTAGAAGAAAACCCTCGTTCCCAGAGATTTCCTTCAAAAATTTAGAGCAAGGACTTTTGGGTGAAGATCAACAAGGGAATCTGAAAATGGAAAAAGGAAAAGAGAACATGAAAATGGAAGAGGGGAAGGTTAAGGGCTAATCGTTTCAGATCCTCAACCATGAGAGACAAAAACAGACAAGAAACGAACAAGGACAGGGTGAGTCAAGGACGAAAATCGGGACAGACGAGGCAAGGCTTGGGAAAAAACAAACTTTCTCGAGATCTCAAAGTTGTCAAAGCCTTTGCAAAACTATATGTTAGAAGTATTCATTTTTCAGCAAATAAGCATGTGAATCAAGGTCATTTTCTTGTCGTTCTCTGCATTTCTGTTCAATTTGATGGCAATTCCCAAAATCGAACACCCATTTTTCAACGCCAACCAACCGCTGCAAACGATCAATACCGAAATAGACGCAATGAAATCACAGAACAATTGATTTCAAAGTTTTATTAAAGTTTTGCTTTGTCAAAGTTTTGTCAAATGATTCCATTATTATTAAATTCATATTTTTCTATTCTTTCAAGTTCCTAAGATGTTTAAATTGTTGTTGATCTAATTTTTGTAATTGGTTAATTGTGTAAAAGATTGATTATAAAAAGAGAGAGCAGATTTCAAAAAAATCTGCTAGACATGCCGTGGTGACGACGATCTTGTGATCGAGATCACCACGGATGGAAATGGCCAGCCAGACACCTTTGTGGGCGAACGCCTATTGTGCAAGATTTTATATACGTCGCTATCCGTTCAACTCCATTATGTGAGACCAACGCCAAAGTTCTGTATAAAAGCAATGTGAACGAGCTGCCGAGGTGTGCCGTGGAGTCGTCTCTACTCTCCCAATCCCAAACCACTGAACCAACTATTATCGCTGTAATAAAGATTATATCTAAACCAACAATAATCACTACAAGACATCTAAAAACCGGTCTAAAACCTTGAGTCAACGATATTTGTTTTTTTATATCGGAGCATTTATGTAAGAACATTTTCCTTTGAAATTGGCTCGTAAAAGAATGATTCAGACGGGATATCCACACCCTTTTAAAAGAAAAATAGACAATCATATGAAATAATAAAAATAATCGAATGATTGATGAAAAATAGGTTTCATTTTTGAAGGAGAAATCCCAGGAATGATTGATTGATGATTAGAATCGGAAATTCGATCATTTTTGGAAATCTTTGAAAATCTGTTGGGGTAAATTGCTTGAAAATTTATGAGATGTACAAAATTGGAATTTCGAAAGCTTCACAAAGTCACAAAGTTGAAAATTCTATTTTTAGAGTCAGTCAAAAGAAACAAAGACTAATAAAGAGGTTTGATAAGGAAAATGAAGAGCACTATGCAATTTTAAAGAAAAACAAAGTTGAATTGCAAAATGATGCTCAAAAAAATAGCCACAGATTGAGCTTTTTATTCAAAAAGTTTTTCAAAATCCAAAGCTGGTTTAAGCTTTTCGTAATTTATTAAAGCTATGATTTTCTTTTAACTACTGCATTAGTTTGAAGTTGCAAAAATAATCTGGGGAATCAAATATGTTGTATTACTTTTTAAAGATCATAATATGTACGAAATTTTAAGAATTTAATTGTTCAAACTCACTTGTTGATGGATCCTCAACTTCCTCAACCTTTTCCTCCTTTTCTTCGATTCTCTTTAAATAATAGGAGACATTTTTCGCGTGTTCCTTCCATTTTGCGAGCATTTCGATGGGACGATCGGTGGGGAGAAGATTTCTTTCCTAGAATTACTTCTTCAAATATTATAGTTTAACAAAATAGGTAGACGAACATCGAAAGTAAGAAGTACTTAGACTTTAATAACTTGATATCATCGCAAGGGTAAATATAGTAAATCACAGTGGCATCACCCCTGACCCTTAGATTAAAAGTCTAATGCTCTACCACTGAGCTAAGGCTAAGCTAAGCTAATGAAAAAATGGTTTATAAATTGACCAGTTCTTTGACTTTCCTACCCTTTTCATAAAAAATTAACGCAAATTAAGCTCCCTTCCTTCAAAGCCACATTAGCTCAGAAGTAGAGCATTAGACTTTTAATCTAGGGGACTTTTAACAGATGATGCTTTTTTGAAAAAAAGAAAATAGTTTTTATAATATAAAAATGAAAGATCTAGTCAAGAGTTGTCTAATCTAATCATCCAAAGAAATTTAGATTTCAATTAAGGAGAAAAATAGTACAAGAAACAAGGGTGCTGCGGAGAAAATCGATATACTGACTAATGCACAGATTTGAGGAAAAAGAAGGAAAGGAATGGGGTCTCATAATGGTTGGGTTATGCAAATGTGTGCACTCTTGTTGATATTGGAGAGAAAAGAGAAAAGAAAAGAGAAACATAGACTATAGACTGTAAGGGAAAGGTGAAAGAGAGAGGTCATCCGTTATCTCATTAGATCATCAATATTCATTCTTTTCGTTTATTCTGATCTTAGGGATCTTCTGATCTGATTTGTGTGGGATTGAAGGGACTATCTTGTTCTCAGGCGACCATAAGATCTCTATTAACTTTGTATTGTTAGATGAACTGGCTAATGAGCAAGCAAGAAGTAGGATTTTAACGATTTTTAACAATTAAACGAAAAACGATTAAAACAAAAACGAAAAACGATTAAAACAAAAACGAAAAACGATTAATTCTAACAAATTCTAGCGATTAACGATTAGTTCTAACAAATTTTAACAATGCTTAAACTCTTAAATTAAATTGCTAACACAAACAATGATCACAGAATTCGTCAAGAGTAAAGCTAAGTATCGTTTACGAAGATTTAATTTATCTGAGCTTTACACTAGCTTTACATAGATCGTTAAGAGCCTTAACAGATTGATATTAAAAAAATTTAAGTGAAATCATCAGTGATTCGATTCAATCAGCTTATATACCGTCGTAAAACCAACCGCCGTGCAAAAGCGCTCCACCAAAACGTATCGACCGGGTTGCCCTTGCGCGTGTGCCAAAGCGTAGATTACCTGAAATATTGTGGAATATTGATTTATCAACATTTAGATAACAATAGTACATTTTTGAATCTTATCTAAATCCAACCTCAGCACAAGTTGTCTGACTCGTCAACCCAGTGATCGTTTGCTCAACTCCATTCACCGAAACATTCAGATCCATCTGAGATTTGTTTGCTGTTGGAAAAACTGATGTTTAAAAAGCAATTCAAGACAGGAAATAAGTTAATAAAACTGGAAAAGTTACAATGGAAAGTGAGGGGAAAGATGGAAAGACTGGAAAGAACAAGTTTCTTTTCTTTGCAAAGGTAACCAGATAGGGGCCAAGATCTCAAATATCTGGAAAGCTATCCAGTAAATGCATTGGAGGATTTAAAATGTAAAAAAAAAGCTGTGACTTTCAGAATAATGGAAATGTTGTTGATGTTTTTAGATGGGGGAAAATGATTCATTCAATAATCGATTCATCGTGAATTTGATTGGGCAATTCATTCAAAAATCCATAGTTTATGAAAAGTTTTGAAATTGATGAAATCAAAAAATGTTAAATTGATAATAATCAATATATCTTTTCTCGAGTATTTCAGCAAATAGTATAAGATTGGAGAAATTGAGAGAAAATAGGGTTTTTTTTTAAAGTAAACCATTCAGAAAAGTGATAGTTTTATTGAAAAAAAGCATTTGAAGAATATAAAATAGCTTTTACAATGGAATTTAAACCAAATTTGAATAAATTTAAACCAAATTTGAACAAATTTGAATCTAAAATAAAGATTTGCAATTGTTTTTACTATGCGCAAACTTTGTATTTTGGTTAAAGTTGAAAAGATCAAAATCTGAAACGCTAAGATTGAAAAAATCAATTCAAGAATCAAGGCTTTTGAGTTTAAATGATAGAAATTGTACTCACAATTTGTTTTACCATCTGATATGGGCAAATTTGAGTTGAACAAGCAAGTTTAACTTCTTACTTACTGTCTTTTTCAACGATTCATCACTGACTTTTGATATAATCCATAATCATTTCACTTTCAAACAGCGCAAAAAACAATTGCCTCCTATTTTGACTCGGAAATGGAAAAAGAAGCAAAATATGGGCAGGAATTTCATTGCTTTTTGTGGGCAAAATGGGAGAAACGACTCTCTCACTCAACTCTCCAAAATGAGCCTTTTGTTGGATTAGGTTCTCTCATTTCGAGTACGTTTTTTGTGGAAAAGGAAATTTTTGAAATCAATGATAGCCTTTCGTGGAAAGGTAAAATATAGTGAAATGTAAATTTTAGGAAACAGATTTTCTTAGAAAAGAGTTTGAAGTTAAATTTTTTACCAAATTTAAGCCCTGACAACCTAGAGGCGATATAAAAAGGCTAAAATAGCTATCTCAAAGAACAAAACTGATTTAGCTTAACATTCAGTTTCAATTAGATCAACCAATTCCAATCAAATGTCTCCGAAAAGTGTCAAGAAGCAAATGTGTTGTTGTGAGGTTGGAAGAGTGCTTCAGGGGATGCTTATATGGAAAGGAGAAAGGAGAAAGAGTAAGTGAAAGAGTGAAAGAGAAGGTCTAAGGTTCGAAGGGACAAACAATACTCAAGAAGAGAAGAGAATGGGGGGAAATACTCATATGGCAACGGGAATGAGAAGAATGAAGGAAAGGAGAAGAGATGAGTAAACATTCATCCCACACAACACACCAAGTATAGCCCCTAAAGGGATTAGGGGGTAAAAAGTTTCAAATTGAGCATTTTCTTTTGTTTTCTTTGACACGTTATTTCCTAAAACACACTCAAAGCCAGATCAAAGTTGTTCAATCTGCTAGAGCTTTATGTAAAGATATCTAGTATTTGACTAATTCCTAAATTATCGAACATTTGATAAACGCCCGCCTCTCTTCCCATTGGTAATCTAACTTTGAGCTCAAATATCTTGGTGTTCGGCTGTCGAATTTAAACATTCTTGGCATCATTAGATGCGCCAAGTCTTTCTCTGTCGATTGGTACAAAAACTATCTAAATTGGACAGTTCAACACCAAGAAATTTGAGCTCAAAGTTGGATTGCCAATGGCAATGGCAGTCCCACCCCGCCCCATTAGCAATCTAACTTTGAGCTCAAATATCTTGGTGTTGGGCTGTCGAATTTAAATAGTTTTTGTACCAATCGACAGAGAAAGACTTGGCGCATCTAATGATGCCAAGAATGTTTAAATTCGACAGCCCAACACCAAGATATTTGAGCTCAAAGTTGGATTGGCAAAAGGACGGTATCAAATGTCCCACAATCTAATTCTTTAGCAATACTTGACTTAGGAAGTAACACATAAGTCAATGAATCCAGTATTGAAGTAGGAATTGAATCCAAAGAGACAAGAGCATTGTAAACAATGCACAAAATGCGCAAAAGCAAAAGATTAGCATAAAGTTCTAGATTTAGTACTTGTAACAAATTATTGCCAGTTGGTGGAATGGGAAAATGAGCTATGATTGGCGGTGGTTGGAGTAGAAGGTCCTATGAGAAAAGAGAAAGAGTTTGACTGGCTCATTGCCGGGATATTTCTTCACGCACAATGAATGACCACAACAGGCAACCACCAATGGGAAAGGACAACCAACCATTTTTCATCCCAGTTTTTCATTTGGCGCCATTTGGTGGGAATCGTTTTGAATTTAAATTGTCCAACTCAAAAAGATGAACAATTATTTGAAAAGTACAACAGCAAACAATCAAGCCCGTTTAAAACTTGGCTTCAAGTCAAAGGATTTGTAAATTTCAAATACTTCAGAGAAGAATGGTGTGTGTAACTTTCTACACAAGAACAAGTGCTCAAGAAGTACATTATATTATTGTCAGCATAATCAGCTTTTTTGAACTATTAGATTTGAAGATTCTGATCAGATTCATAGACAGGATCATTTGTACAGAGTTCGACCTTCAGCAATCTATCCTTTTCCATTTGATTCGATCCATGTTTTCTCGCTTTCTCTTCTCTTCCCTTTTCCTTTCTTTGTCTTGCTCGGAACGCTTGTAAAAACTTAAATCACCCCTTTCTCTGTTCACTAATTAGGGGGAAACTCTATCCATAGCGAAATGATTCAAGTCGGAGAGATTTGTGAAGGTCAACGACAGGGTTTTAAAGACTGAAAACTGTTCTTACACATAAGTATTATGCTCAAATTTGTTTAATATACAAGAATCGTCTAACTTTTGAAACATGATCAAGAGATCACATGTTTTCTGAACGATGAAGTGTAAATTTGGCCGTTTTTTTACAAATTTTGCATTCACCTTTAATGTGATAACAAATTAATCATCCAATAAGAGAAAATATCTCATTTACACAGTATGAAAACCTGTGGTATTCAGGGATTTACAGTGCTTTTACCAGAGTTAATCATTGACTGGCTCTAAAAAAGTCAACCCTCTGAAGAAGAGACTTTTCTTGGTACTCTTTTTGGTGTGCCTTGCTTTCACGACAACGTTGCCTATGTGAGACTTTGAAATAGTTTGGTTGTAGCCTAATTACAAGCTTTATTTAGTCGATCAAAATCAACTTTGAACTGGTTAAAGAGTTTCTTCAAATTTCCCAATTTAGGAAGAGAATCCACCGAGTGGCAAGAAAATCTCTGAAGGCTTTTTTTTCTCTACGATAAACACTTCTTCAAAAATATTAACTTCTATCAACAGTTTTGGTACAGATACAAATACAGGTACAAAGTGCTATTCATTGAGGACCTCAAAGACTATGATTCACTGGGATTTTCATGTGGATTTCATTAAGCTTGCTGTTGGAAAAGTTCTGATTTCTATCAATAACTTTGATTTCTATCAATAACAAATGTTTAGTAGTTCAGAATCTTTTTCAATCTTTTCAAGATCTTGGAACTTGCATCAGAATATCGAGATATACAAATACAACATTGTTTCCTCATTTTCATCTTTGATGCCTTGAAAACTTGATGCCTTAAAAAACTTGGAAACTTCGCACGTTCCAATCGGCTAAACCAAAGGCTAAACGGCTTCTTTTCTCTACGATAAACACTTCTTCGCAAATACTAACTTTTATCAACAGTTTGGGTACAAATACGGGTACAAAGTGCTATTATTCATTTCTGATTATTCATTTTTGAAAAAGCAGGCAAAAACTTTTAAAATTCAATGATTTAATTGATAGTTTTGATTGTCTTGCGAATCACTGAAGCACATTCAAAGAAACATTTTATTTTGACAGCTGAGAGTCCATCTTTTGCTATTCATGGAGTTCATTTGCAAAAACTAGAGGTAAAATGCGAAAAGAATTCAGATCAAGAATTGTTTTTTAGACAATGATTTTGACGGGTTGTGATCAATGCGATTTTATCATTGATTTCTCGCATCGCAATTGTAAAGACAACCCGATTGAGCCGGATACGGTATTTTCTTACAAGGGAAAGTCAACCAGGTGTGACCAAATGACACGAGTCATATACTATTCGACGCAGAATTTTGCGCTCATTCCGAATCTGCTTACCATTTTTGCAATGCGGCACTCTTTCAAAAGTTCTAAGCGCTCAAAGTTTTGTATGGAATTTAAAAAATCATCTCTCGAGTTTATACGCAGATTTTCGAAAGTCATTTAGAAGCAGTGATGGTTGGGAGGTAGTGGGCTAGAATGCAAGGCAAAGCCTCCCAAGTTCGAGTCCGCAGCTTTAATTTTTCTTTCATTTTTTTAGAGGTAAATGATCTACATTTCAAATAAAAGTCTTTTTTAAATTACTTTTCACAAAAATGTTTACTTATAACCATTAATATTAAACAATAATCATTCAAAATCTTAAAACATCAAGCTTTCGCGACATTCGTCGATTTGAATGATTTTTAAAATCCCATACAAAACTTTGAGCGCTTAAAACTCTTGACTGAGTGCTGCATTGCAAAAACCGAAAGCAGAATGAGTGCAAAATTCTGCGTCAAATAGTATATGGCTGATCTCATTTGGTGACCACCATTTCCATTTGTCACCATTTGACCTTCCCTTGTTAATATCAGCTCTTAATGATCAGCTAAACGTAAATTTTAGTTGCAACAACAACAACTCAACGAAATTCTTCGATGTTTCGATGTTCCCTTATTCTTAATCAATGGACAACCACCTGTACAGAATAACTGCGATCTTATGTGCGAAAATGAAACAAAATGCCTTAAAAAAAACATGATTTCAGGCCAATTGGTCAACAGTTTCCCAATGACTACAGCCAAGTCTTATACTTTTGCACAATGAAAGTGGGAAAACAACGAGAAATCTTTGTCAGCTCAATCAATACCACATTCAACGATCGTCTCGACTATGCGATCTCGTTTCGGGTTCAACAATGGGTTAACGGTGGTTGTTTTGAAAATGATTTCAGAATTGATTCCAGGTTCACAGAAAGGCAAGTTATCCAAACGGAGTTGTTCCAAAAACCCAAAATTTTTATCATTTTAGCTAAAAAGCTAAAGTTCATGCAGGTTTCCTCAAAAAAAAGGCATCAAAAGTTTTGATTTGACTAGCCCTGTAGACTTACCGATAAAAACTTAGAGAAAATTAGTGTCAAAGTTGACCTTCCAGATACGAGTCTCGGAGTTCGGTGACCCTTCCAAATTCCAGATTTGACTAGCCCTATAGATTTTATTTCACGGAAAGCCCCGGCAATGTTTTCATCGAGATCTAAACACTTTAAACCCGTTTCTTCTTCAAGAATTTCTTATTTCATTGATTAAACTTTAGTTTCCATGTCGGTTCTCGTATTCCCAGCCAGTGCTAGTCCCCATCTTGAACAAATCGACCAAATTTTGGTTCGACGCAATGTAATGATCACCGTGGTGGCTAACCCATGGTTTCACAAGTGCGTTAGAATTGTTTCTTGAACACTTATAGTTTTAACTTTCAATAATCATTCATTTTAGTTCAAAAATGAAAGATCTATCTGTCAATCTATCTGTCACCAACTGGCATCGATTATCATGATGATGGAGGAAACTATGATAAATGTCCAGATTACGTGGTACTGTGATTTTAACAATTAGTCATTTTAAGGAATAACCTTTACCATTAGCCTCTAATTGAATTTACAATGGAACTGTGACTAATAGGTCACTCTATAGGTCGATTTGACGTGTCTTTTCCTGGGACACTACTTGGCTTTCTTTGGCTCAGATCCTGGTTTATTAATGAAAAATCCAATCAAACTTGGCCTCGGTTCGGCGTAAGTTGCGCAATTGAAAAATCTTGGGTAACCAAGTCAGTTGAAGATACCAAACACTTCGCTCAAGAGCCAGTGTCACCACAATATTCACTACCGATGATTGCACTTTTTGCCTGTACACTCGGACAGAAAATGAACGTATGATTATGAAAAAGATTCATCTTATTTAGTAATACAAAAAGACTTTACTTTTACTTTAGTTTACCCAGTAACGATTGGATATCCCGAACTTCTGACATCACACAATTACCCTTGGATCTTCGATGATCCATCTGAATTTCCCGATTGTCAAATATTTCACCCGGAATTTTTCTCAGTTAAAGCCATTCTTCTCATCATTTTTCATCACATAATTTAGCTAAAACCCGACGAAAAATTGGAGTTGTCTGTGATTTCGGTGGAAAACGGGAACCTAACCCTTTACACTAGTAATGAGCTAGTGTGCGTCTTGGCGAAATTCCCTCAAAAATTCAGGTACATTTCAAAGTTATTAGAAGAAAGAAATATGATAAAAACGAGTTAACGTGACCAAAAAGTTAGTCAGTACAAGTTTTGCTGATTTAGGGTAACAATTCCAAATCTATTTCTTTTAGTTTGGTAGCAAATTCGACGGAAAAGCAAATATTTGAGGGTAACTGTATCAAGGTTGGTTGAAAGGTGGAATTGTCCCTGAAAAGAACTTACAATTCACTCCATTGTTGATTGAATAGCTTTTGGTCAAATCAAAAGCAAATTATGCACTAATTTCAGTTTGAATTTTGTTCACTTCCTCTAAACGAGCACTCGGGTTTTGAGATCGAAATTGGGCGTCCAGTGGTTGAACCACAAGATAAGAAATGTGAAATGACCATTGAGCTCACATCTAAAGATCCACAAGCTATTATTCATGTTTATGGTTTGATTTTACACTTGCAACTAGGGCCTTTCTAATCGATTTGGTACTTATCGGTTAAATCCCCACAAAATTTGCATTTTAAAAAAGATCGTCAAAACGTCTGCATCAAATCGGTTATATCTCCGCAAAATTTGCTATTTTTCGCTGCTTTTCGGTGATAAATCGACAGTATCAGGAAGGAGCGAAAAGAACGACAAAGCCATCCGAACGAGAATAAGTCGTATGAAATGATCTTCCTTTCTCAAGAATGCGGCCTCCTTGGCAAAAACTAAAAACTTGAATTCCCCGTTGTTGAATGGTGTTTGCATCTTCTTGCCATCAAAGTCTCCTACCATTTGTTTGGACCATTCCCTTGTTAGAGTCTCGAGTCAATTTGACAGAACGCAAGGGTTGGCAAAAAAAAGCCAAAATCCAAGCCTTTGGCTAGAATTTCAACCTTACTGTTTAGCTTAATTTGGCCTAAAGCTTTAACTTGAGCTTGGCTTGCTCTTAAAATTTGGCTTTTCTTGCCAACGCTAGTCTCTGCCTCTCTAGAGTCTGCTTCTAGTTAGATCTACGACTTACACATCATTGCCCGCTAGAGTCAAAAATTCGTATGACAGCTTCCCATTGCCAATCGACGTCACTTCAATAGTGATATTGACCGACCATGCATCTAAATGCAACCTGATGCTGCATCAGTGGCGAACAATCCACTATATATAAAATAGAAGTGTCCGTCCGTCTGTCTATTTTTTCAAAAAAGCAAAATGTTTGATGCTTAGGGATTTTGGGTTCCAATACAAATTTTCTGGGAGTATAAACGATTTGATGCAGTAGCATTTTGACGAACTTTTCAAAATGCAAACTTGAGAGGGAATATAACCGATAAGTACCATCGATTTCGCATTGCTTACATGGTTTTTCGCTGTTTAACCCTGCAATGTCATAAAAGTTTCAGATTCTGGGTCTATGGTCATTTGCGCTGTAAACAAATTGAATTCATCTAATGACCGCAAAATAATTATCGACATGTCAATTATTTGTCGAAACGAAGATCTAGTTGGTGTTTGCATTTTGCAACGATTAGCATTTGCTTTACAGCCGATTTGTACACCGTCTATCATGCCATTCTTGTTTAACGGCCGTTCGACTCAGATGGGCAATTGGACAATCAGGTTTGATAAGATTAACCAAACCAATCGAGAAGGGATTTCAGAAAATTGAATAGCGGGCATTCGGTGACATCAACTCGAATCACTCTTGGGGAAAAAGTATACTTGAGCCCGGCCGGGATGATTACGTTTATATATCAGAGTGCCATTTCGTTTTTGGCTTCCGGCACAGCATTTGGTTTGTTTTTGAGCTTTAGAACATAGATAATCATGAAAATCTTGATGCTTGGTTTTTCTTGGCGTCCGCTGTACACGGAACGGGACACCTCTATATATTAGGGTGTAAGATAAATAACCGGACAGTAAAAATTGGTTTTACAAATGTTGAATGCACCAAATGAAGCACGGTTTGCATCATTGGAAAAATCTATTTTTCTTCTGCAAAATGGTTGTTGACAATTTAGAAACGCTTTCATTTTTGGCGTTTTTTGAAAGCGCGAATGGACAAGATTGGAGAGAATCGATGATTGCCAACTTTTTTTGATGAGAGCTGACACTAAATAGCTTATAAAAAAGATCAATCTCTGCTACATTTTTAGTAAAATTTCCAGTCAAATCCATCCAGCCGCTTTCTTCAAATTTCAAGTTATTCAGAGCGCCTCATATGATCAAAATCCCTGATTTGAGGATTTTTGTTCAAACTAAAATTCAGAAAAAACGGCTGGACGGATTTGGTTGATAATTTTACTGAAAATGTGAAAAACTAAGAGCTTTACTTCGCGTGAAAAATTAAAATTAGTACTTGTCAAAAAAATGCGGTAAAGTCGGCGCTTCTGTTTTTGTCAATTTTGTTCAAAAACAAAAGCTTTTCAAAATTTCTCAAAAGCCATTTTGTTGAGAAAAGATGTATCTTTCGAATGATACAAACTAGATCTCATTTTGTTCAGCCACCATTTTTTAGAATCCACTTTTTCCAAAAATTTCGGTTGCTTATGCTACACTCTAATATGATGTTACACTCTAATATTATTGGGTGTCCAATAATTACGGCAACAAAGAAATTCGCTAGTTTAAAGTACATATAGTGTTAAATTAAGTAAAAGACGATAATGATTTACTCCTTAATAACTTTTTAACAAAACAAATTACTTTTTCTCAAACACATCTCCTTTCGCGGCAATACAGGCCTGAAGGCGCTTTGGGAGTGCATCAATGGTGGCAGATAGGTATGAAACATCCAGCTCGACCTTTTGCAATGATTTCTTCAAAGAATCGACTGTGGAACGGGCTTTTTTGTAAGCTTTCGACTCCAAAACAGACCAAACACTGTAATCCAAAGGATTCAATTCTGGGCTTGATGGGGGCCATTGGTTGAAAGTGATGAAATCGGGGAAATTTTGTTGACACCAATCCTAAAAAACTTTGTGTGCTGGCGCGCCATTCTGTTGGAAGCACCAAATACGATTCCCCAAAATGATTCTAAGCCCACAGGTGAACCTCTTTCTTCAAAATATCGAGATGATTGTTGGCGTTGATCTTGATGCCTTGATCCACGAAGATAAGCGGCGTCTTTCCATCAGAGGTAATTCCCGCAAACACCATGACCGAATTTGGATATCCAGTTCGCGTAACAGAAGCATTTGGCTGGGACTTGGCATGAATCCTGTTTGTTCACAATCGTAAACACTTTTTCATCGGTAACCTAAATGTTTCGGTGGTCGATCCCATTGAATCGATAAAGATGCTGGTTTGCGCGATCTTCTCGCTTCTTTTTTCCCACAAAGAAATTGACATTTTGAGTACTTATAGGCTTTTTCAGATGTTTCTTAACAATTATGCCCATCGACCCCTTTAAAATCCCATCAAATTTGCCATTTTTCGCTGGGACGTCGCTTTTTGCTGCTTGTTTTTATGTCGCACTCGTTCGCGGATCCTCTTGATGTTGACTTTTGTAATCACCGTTGCTTTTTGCCACGCCCTGGACGATCCGAATTTGATCCCAAAGATTTATATCGGTCAATCGTTTTCGAAACCAAACTTCCATCAATCAATAGTCGACGAGCAATTTCGATCTGCCGGACTCCTTTGCGATGAAGATGGATGATCGAATCTCGATGTGATGACTGTTTCGCCATTCCTAAAATATACTAAAAATGCTATAAAATTATATTGGAAAACATCATAACCAATAGAAAACATTAAAAAAAACACATAACTAACGAAAAAAACTAGACGCATAATAGCTGATTAATACAGTTGGTACGTGTTGTCGTAATTATTGGGCACCCTATATTTGGTGTAAAGGGATTAGTCGGATAAAAAAGCCAAAAGCCAGCTTGATCTCTAGTTCAATCTTGAAGAAACGGATTGCAGTGTGTGCCTCACGAGTAATGCGTTTTCTAAAAGGCACCTATTTGAGAAAACTATCGTAGTCAAACTCTTAGTTTACATTCGATCAGCCCGATTTTGGTATCATTGCTTGAGTCTTGTGATTCCTCATCGAATGATACCAAAATTGGATTGATTAGATGTAAACTGACGGTTTGACGGTAGTTTTCTCAAATAGCTGCCTTTTAGAAAAACGGATTAGTCGGATAAAAAGGCCAAAAGCCAGCTTGATCTCTAGATCAATGTTGAAGAAGACTGATTGCAGTGTGTGCCTCACGAGTAATGCGTTTTTTAAAAGGCATCTATTTGAGGAAACTATCGTAGTCAAACTGTTAGTTTACATTCGATCAGCCCGGTTTTGGTACCATTGCCTGAGTCTTGTGATTCCTCATTGAATGATACCAAAATTGGATTGATTGGATGTAAACTGACGGTTTGCCGATAGTTTTCTCAAATAGCTGCCTTTTAGAAAACGCATTACTCGTGAGGAAAATACTCCAAGACTGATCAAAAGAACAAATCACACTCGTTATTAAAAATTTTCACGATATTTCAGAAGAAATCGACTTCTACTTGTGGCCGAGTGAAGAGCAGTTGCCCTTAAACTTACTCAATCATTTTGATATGGTTGAACATGGACGATGGGTGACCGTCAAGATGCAAGCAAACTATAAATGGTTGAAAAAATTACGCTGGGTAACGAATTTGCACAATTATCTAATGCAAAGTGTACAGTACCGGACAAAACACTGTCAACCCCGTGCCGGCATCCCACTTTCAACCCTATTTTTAAACATATAACCGCAAAAAAACCCCAGAAGACCATATATTTTCTGAAAGCCCAATTCAAGCTCTACAAGAGACATCTATTTTCTTTTTAAAATACTGCGTTTTTTGATGCATTTAAGATCACGCAAAGTGAGGTGTCAAAAAACATCATTTTCAAAACGGATTTTTTAGGTTTTCAATGCTCAGATCGTTCCAAAACCCATTTTTTTAGAAATCTTGTAAAAAAATTACCCTAGGAAAAGTGGATTTTATCTGGTTCTAACAGCTTTTCATTCAGAGAGGCGAAGTCGATCAAGTAGGCTCACTTGAAGACTCATTGAAGTCATTGTTTGGATCTAAAATTTATAGAACATTCAGAAACACTCATAAAGAAGTCAAGTCAAGTTTTCTTGCGATTATATGTCTAAAAATAGCGTTGAAAGTAGGGTGCCGGCACGGGGTTGACAGACTTTACTGTATTTGGCAGGATCGATCAACGAAATCGAGATCGATCAACGATCGATCAACGAAGCGAGTATCGCTGGATAATCGGTCCACCGGCTGGCATCGAATCACATCCAGAACGAGAATTGGCACTTTACAAGTATGAAATTTTGCAAGATCAATTTTCAATGCTTTCAGCGATGATCAACCATTTGTTGAGCAATTTCTCTTCTCCGATCAATACAGCTTTGACATACCGGCTGGATGCGCTCCGGGTCTAGCCATTAACACATCTGCGGGTAAACCCTTAATTCCACAATTCATTCACTTTTCATAGAATGTCTTGAGCTACACGAGCGAAAGCAAAAGCTTTGTGATGGACAAATATTTGTGGCTTCGAATGGTTACGGTACACCGGCCAAGCTCGAGAAGAACGAGGATTTTGACGGTGCAAATGACGTCAATTATACGATCACATGCGGTATTCAGGCCAATTTCTTCTTACCAGTTAGAATTTACACTAACCAGTCAAAAAAACCCCGCCTAACTATGGCTATCGTATAGCTTTTCTGGCCATACTTCAACTTCATGCTTAAAAACATTTAAAGCAAAAAGGTTTAGAACGGACGGGAATCGAAATTGACACCTAGTTTTGCCATGAAATATAGCTCATTTTGTTGGATTTTTTGCGCTAATTTCAAATATGTGGTTAGTTTTTGTGTAAATGCGAGTGGAAATCGATCAAAAATGTCCTCAAGGTCAATTAATTTTGACAGCTTTTCTCGTAAGACAGCCAGTAGACGGGACGCTAACCACCTCGACCACGCCCCCCTTCCAAGAGCCGCAACGAGGGGCGTAGCTAAGTGGTTTTTCCGATTTTTTTTATAGGTTTTTGATGAAAAACTCGTTTTGACAAAAAAGTATTTGCTTATTCATTTTGAATTCCCTATCAATCAAGAAAAAAATTTGTCGAAATCGGTTCATGGGAAGCCGAGATTCAGAGTGTAATGGACGGACGGACACTTCTCTTTTATATAGCATCAGGTTGCATTTAGATTCATGGCCGGTCAATATCACCATTGAAGTGACGTCGATTGGTAATGGGAAGCTGTCATACGAATTTTTGACTCTAGCGGGCAATGATGTGTAAGTCGTAGATCTAACTAGAAGCAGACTCTAGAGAGGCAGAGACTGGCGTTGGCAAGAAAAACCAAATTTTAAGACCAAGCCAAGCCCAAGTTAAAGCTTTAGGCCAAATTAGGCTAAACAGTAAGGTTGAGATTCTAGTCAAATGCTTGGATTTAAACTTTTTGTGCCAACCCTTGCGTTCTGTCAAATTGACTCGAGACTCTAACAAGGGGAAGGTCCAAAAGAAAGGTATGAGACTTTGATGGCAAGAAGATGCAAACACCATTCAACAACGGGGAATCCAAGTTTTTAGTTTTTGCCAAGGAGGCCGCATTCTTGAGAATAACGCGTTATAACGAAAGATCGTTTCATACGACTTATTCTCGTTCGGATGGCTTTGTCGTTCTTTTCGCTCCTTCCTGATACTGTCGATTTATCACCGAAAAGGAGCGAAAAGCCGGAAAATAGCAAATTTTGCGGAGATATAACCGATTTGATGCAGACTTTTTGACGATCTTTTTTAAAATGCAAATTTTGTGGGGATTGAACCAATAAGTACCAAAATCGATTAGAAAGGCTCTAGTTAAAAGTGTAAAATCAAACCATAAACATGAATGCCGAGCATCAGAATTGAACCCTTGAGCAAAAATTCGCTCTGCTGGCGCACTACCCACTAGACCATTAGGTCGCATTTCACGAAGCGCAATAAAGACCTCCAGGAGGCATTTTCCGAGTAGATGTCCAAATCTTAAAAGCGTCTTCTCGAGAATGCGACCTCCTTGGGAAAAACTAGATACGGTATTGGATTCCCCGTTGTTGAATGGTGTTTGCATCTTCTAGCCATCAAAGTCTCCTACCATTCATTTGGACCATTCCCTTGTAAAATAAACTTGTTACTAAGTGTATAAAAATGTGATCTGATCCACAAAAATGTGACACATCGTCCAAAGTCCTTTACTTGAAAATGCTGTGCTCAGATTTTTAGACTGATCACGCCAAAAACCAAACAAGCATTCAACGATTCAGCGTCGGCTGTTCGCGGAATAACGGTGATTCGATAATTTTCGCTTCACATGACAAACGAGTTAAGATTTATTGGAACGTGACAGGAAAGCTTTTGACGATGAATGGACTACTTATGAAGGTGCATTTCACAAAAAGTGACCCACATCTAGCAACAACAAGCGAAATTAAAGTCCAGAGAGTCAAGCGCGATTCCTCGGGTTCATCAACAACTCCTCCGCCTTATACTTATTGCTACCTGCCTTGATTTTTGGTTTATTTTATGTTGTAGATACCATTTCTTTTATGTATTTGTGTTTTCTATGAAAATTACGTTTATTTTTGCGTTTTATGCGTTTTTTGTCACTGCCTTTTATGAAAGCGAAAAAAGTTGAATAGAATGATTATATATTTTATTGGAAAAATGGATTCAATTAAATGTTGTTGACTCTGGGGGAATCAAAAAGAACAATGAAATAAGGGTGCAGCCCAGGCAGTTTCTAGGTCCAATTTTCCGGGCCAGACCAAAGCCAAATCAACTCAAAACCAAAAAAGAAAACATAAAAAATTCGTTAAACTATAAAACTTGAAAAAGACTACAGAAAAGAAAAGAAAAGTAAAGATGCTCTGAAATTGTTATATTTTAAAAAAAGTTATACTGATCTATCTATTGGCTAAACATCAAACGGTTAACTCAATTTGAGCGGAGCCAAAACTTGATCCAAAGGCACCCTTCCATTTTCGGCCGCCTCTTCTTCTGTGCAGTCAATTTGCCCAAAAGCTGAACAAATTCAAAAACTTTTTATATCAAAATGTAGAGGAGATCTTCAGCTTTCGAATAATACTCATATATATCTTTTTCTTGATTTCGATATCTTGAGAAATTTACAAAATAGTAAAAAACGCGCATTCATAACTGGACAACCCAATATGTACACATTACAAGGACACATTACACATTACAGAACAACCCAATATGTACACATTCATAATTATTGCAACAAGAGTTCAAAGACCGTTTTCCAAACAGGAAAACGGGCGTGTCATGGGCGTGTAAAGCCAATAACAATCAAAATATTTGTGTTTTCTATGAAAATTTCGACAATTTTTATCACTCACAGATGTGGTCTTATTTTTGCGTTTTATGCGTTTTTTGTCACTGTCTTTTATAAAAGCGAAAAAAGTTGAATAGAATGGTTTTATGTTTTATTGGTTTTATGTTTTATTGGTTGTATGCTTTATTGGTTGTTTTTTTTTTTCTTCAAGGAATCCCCACATTTCGATACCTACAAGAAACATCAGGTTTGTAGAATTTGAAGCTTAGAGGAAATAAATAGTTAAGAAAAACTATCAGATTCAATAAGCATTACAATCAGAAAGCTTTCTTTAGAAAAAAAAGAGCACATTTTTGAGTGAAGCAAGAGCTTTGAGCTTTGGGTTTTAAAATCGCACAAAAAACTGAATAGTTTAAATAGGCTATTAAAAAATCGGATAAACAATAAAAAATAGATTCAAAATCGGATAAACAATAGAAACTGATAAACTTTTGATGGCATAAAACGGAAGTAAACAACAAAGAACATTGTCAATGAAAATCAAAAAACAAACAATTTACCAGGTCGATTTGATGCTTTAGTTAAAAAACGAACACCATAACTCTCCAAAAGAATCTTTTCGATCTCATTATCGATAGGAATTGAAATAAAAATTGGATTCGATAAAACAGAATCACGGATGACTAGTTCTTTGCGTTCCTTAGCCGATTTCGGTAACCTGAAGTTTAGCCTGAGCTTCATCTGAACAGATGAAACTGCTCTTGGATGTTGAGAAAAAAAAACCCATTACAGATCGAGATTTCGAATTCCCTCCGCGTTACCTTTTCCAATTACTTTCGAATTAAAATGCGTAAAAAGTGTACACGACTACAAGAACTGACTCACTCGTAAAAAACTAATTAACGATTTAGGCCAAAAGGACAAAGAAACGAAAACGGAAGTAAGCTCAGTTAACTGTTTGATTTGTTAGTTACCTTGAACCTATCTAGACATAAACCTTTGCCACTTAAAGATGCCACTCCCAGCTTTATTTGACGAATTCTCTAAATCGATCATCTATGTGAACGCCCCGTTGGCCTTTGTGATGAATGTGACGCTCCTGTATTTCATCGTTTTTCACAGTAAAAAACACATGGGCACATACAAATATCTGATGTTGTGCTTCTCGGCTTTCAATCTTCTTTATTGCACGATGCACATCGTAGTCATGCCGGTTCGTTTGTACTCAAATGAATCAAATTCACCTGAATCTCTTTCTTTAAAGAATTTCCATGCAAAAGGTGGAGGATTTGTGGTGATTCCGACCTCGTTTCTCAAATTTTCAATGAAAGCTGGTTATTGGGGATGCGTGATGTACGGATGTCTCTTCATTCAGGTCGTTTTTGGAAAAGAAAACTTTTGATTTCGGTTTTCATCAAGGCTTAGAGGCCATCATTAATAACTTATTCATTCCATTTGCAGAGCCTCGTCCTACTCGCTTTCCATTTTGTGTATCGCTATCTTTTGATTTGCAAGTAAAACTTTTTCTTGAAAGAATTAACGAAGAACTGATTCCTGCTTATCAGGGGAACATATTGAGTTGATTGATCTAAGATCACGATAAACTCAAAAATAATTGCTGCCGGTCATGGAATAGCTGGCATAGAAATTTGAGGGAAACAAGTAAAGATTTGAGAGAAAAATTCTCGAAGGAAACCTTTCTGGTTCTAGGCAGATTCAGAAATTCGAGTAGAAATCTTTTACACTTTGACAAGATTTCCTTGTTAGAAATTTTTGTTGCAGAAACGATTGGCTTTTTGTCTTCAACTCGTGGAAGTACGTGCCAATCCATTTCTCGATCTGGTTAACGGTCGGAATACTTTGGACTACATTTGTGAGCATTTACATGTATCACGGAAAAATTCTGACGGTGAGTGAAATAAATAGTGTCCTTTTTTTAAAAACCTACAATTCTCTGTATTCAGGCTTATTTTCAATACGAGCTTTGGGAAATTTATCGAGTCGATTTGAATAAAACGCCTAGTTTAGGACCATTATACAAGGTTAGTTCTTTCACAAATTGAGTGATTGTGGTGCGTATCAAGTCATCGTATTAAGTAAGTAAAACAACCTTATCTCACAAGAAATCAACCAAAACAAAATCAATACTGAAAAAGTAGAGAAAAATTACAGGAAACGTCTGCTTTCATAGCCGCGAAAAGGTCACAATTTTGCTATTCAGCATAGCTTTTTCCCAATTTAGTCTTTCGCTCGTTGCAATTTGCATAAAACTTCGTATGTAAAATAGCTATGGGTGACAGCTATTGGTGCATTTGTCACCAGTAGCTGAAGAGCTATTGGTGACAAAGTTGTCATAAGTTTTCTTTGAAAAGCTATTAATTGATAAAAAGCTAACTACTGAAATAACTCTTCATTAGAAAATCCGAGACCAAATCTGGTACCAGATCGGGCTAAAATTGGACGAAACTTGGTAGCTTCGTTCTTTAAAGTGAAGGTGTTAGTAAAAGCGCCAAATTATTTGCGCCATGTATCATTTGCGCCAAATTTCCACTTTCCAACACACTTTCCTACCAACTCTGATTGACCATTTATATTTTTTTTCAATTTGTCCTGGTCGACGATGCTCTCTATTGCCTTCACTGGATCCGAATCTGGCATAAGATCGATATAGAGAGTAAAAAGGCCAATCGGGGACACAAAAATGACTGTTTACGGGGTTTGTATAGGTATTCAAACGTGTTTTTTAATTGAAAACAGTGAGAACTTAAATTGTGAAGCAAAAAAATTTGGCGCAAATGAAATTAGCGCAAAGGATTTTGAAAAGAAAAACGCGGTGCTTTTGCTAGCAATTCGATCAGTGTGATAGCATCTGTCTGCTTGAAACTTTGCAGAGAAAAACTTTTATCATTGCTTTCTTTTAGTACCCAAATGCTCTCGGAGTTGAAGTCTGGAATTGGGGTGTGTTGATGGCTACTGGAGTCTGTGTGTCAGAGTTGTGCGGCTCATTTTCGGTGATTCTGTTTTGTACATGGAAAATCCATCACTTTTTCAAGGTTTTTAAGCTCAAGATTGTACTGTTTATACTCTTTTTTTATTGCCAGACCTCTGCCAGCACAATGAGCGACAAATCGAGGAGTCTGCAAATGCAACTTTTCAGAGCTTTGCTCATTCAAGTACTCATTTTTTGACGTAGCAGTTTTAGACATTAGAAAAAGCTGAGAATGCAAAGTCTCTTTTGAGCAATCCATTTCTTCCGATTTAGACAGTGATTCCGGTGATTTTCGAGTACATCCCTTGTTCTCTGATCTTCGCTTGTCCATTTCTCGGCATTTCATTAGGAAGAGGGGCCAATTTCACTCCAATTCTCGTTTCATTTTATCCCGTACTCGATTCGATGAGTCTCCTCTATTTCATCAAAGATTATCGATATGCTCTATTCAAAAAACTTCGATTAAAGTCAGCTTTGAGATTTCTGCTTAAAAAAAAGCACAATTTCAGAGATCGATCAATCTCTGACAGTTCATCGAACCAACGAGCCTCAGCCTATACTCCCCAACAAACCATCCCTAATACAACGGAAAGAGCAGCTTTAAATTGACCCAAGAATATATTGACTTAAATGATTCACTTTAAATTATGATAAACAGATCAAGTTTTGTTCTTTGATTTGGTCATATAAGTTTTGTTCATTTCTCTACGTTTATTTGATGAGGAAAAACATTTTTGCCAGTTTATCGTTTTTTTTTGTGCAACTCTCGTACCAAAACTCACTATTTCTAAGTCCTAGAATACTAAAAATGATATTAAATACATTTTTTTCCTTTTTTCTTTAAAAATTTGAACAATTTTTATCACTCGGGCTCTCACAAATGGGGGTTTATCCATTTGAAACAAAACAAAAAAAAAACACCGAGTTCAAGTGTAACGCAAGGTTTAAATTAAAGCCAAATTACTAACTTAGTATCTGTGTCAATACAAATATCTGTTTGTATTGACACAAAGCACAAGCCTTTAAAAGAAATCTTAAGAAATAAAACAAAATGCTGAACGACCTTGAAAAAAGTTTTCTTGTTTCATAAAAATCTCCTGTTTTGAAGTAATTAAATAGAGCAAAACAGTTCAAATTTTGTCTCATGAAATTGGCCCAAAAAATGTGGGAGGAGTTGTTTTTTTTATGATAAAGACGAATTGAATAAATACTCTTCAAGAAATCAGTTCTCTCAAAGAAATGAATGCTTTGCTCATTTTTATTTTTTGTCTCTTTCCTTTAAGGTAACAATAATTGTTAGGGTTTTGTCGAAAAAGTCATTTTTCGTGATGCCGAAGAAGTGATTGCTGATGATGGAGAAAGTTTGTTGAATGAGAAAGAACTCAAGAGACAACTCGAAGTGTCACGGCAGGTAATCGAAATATTGGTCAGGTTGAGTCTAAGTTACAGCTGAATAAATTTGAAATGAAAAAAAAGCAGAAGAACTAAGGTACGGTGCTGGTTTCTGTATTTTCAAGAATCCAGATCACCTTTTATTGGGTTGGTGAATTGAAAACTGCGGGACTTTGAACTAAAATTTATTCAGCATAAAACCATAAACTCATTCCAAATAATTTCCATTATTGTTGACGACTTATGCCCATTTTACAGGCAATTTGCGGATTCCTCTTTCGTAGTAGGATTTTGGTTTGTGTGTGAGACAAGTGTGAGACTCAAAAATGGAGGACTGGAGTTGTCCCAGTTTGAGCACTTTCTTCAAAAGAAACCCATTTTGGTGTCAATAGAAAAGTTGTAGAGAATCAAAAATTAGGCTTATAGCCAAATTTCCAAAAAGATACACTTAGGAGTTTCGCTTAAAATGCAAGTTTTGTGAAAATTCGTAAATTTGGCATTTCTTGAAAACCAGTTTTTGAATCGTTCTGAAAATTTGAATATAAGCTTGATTTTTGATACTCTACAACTTTTCCATTGGCACCAAAATGGGTTTCTTTTGAAGAAAGTGCTCAAACTGTCACATATGACAAAAGCCGGCAGTTTTCAATTCACCAACCCAATAACAACACTTTCTGGTTATATCTCTAAAGAATCAACATCAATTCCCTGTTTCTCTTTTTGGATCAAGTAAGTCTACAATCAAAATACTCAAACAGTTATTTTGGTGATATAAAATAGTACGTGATTCAGTTTTTTTTGTCTAATATGAATTAGTTTCTATGCTAATTTTGTAGGGACAAACTTGTGGGCAAATTTCTAAGAAAATTTTCGTTTTAGAGGCTTTAGAGGTGTAATGGAATGTAGATATATTCTTTAGAGAATCTAACCGGAAAGTATCCAACTTGCTTGAGATTCCTGCATTCTTTACTGTCCTCAAACTATCAAAAAATGTTCTCTCTTCAGGTGACAACAGCTGAAGTGCTAGCCTACTCAAAAGGTCTCGACGACTCGAGTGCTCTTCTCTACGAAGCACCAGCCGCGGTGTTGTTGATGAACAATTTGGCTGTGATCACTGCATCTGTGAGCGATACGAAGCTTGAGAAGCCGGTCGATGGCTTCAAGCACTTGAAGCACGAATGGTTTCATGTGTCGCTCCTCCAAGTGGCCATCAGCATCACTGATGGCTTTCGCTATTCCCACTCATCAATGATCACCATCGAGCAGGCTCTCATCGACTTGCCAAGAGTGCTCACGTCAACCATTCGATACGCTTCCAAGGTTCCTTTCTTACAAGCGAAGGGCAACTGGATAAACTGGCCAAATGACATCAGCCATAGACCGATCGACGCAGAATTTCACGCTGTTTCGAATCTGCTTTCCGTTTTTGTTAAACGGCACTTGGTCAAAAGTTACAAGCATGTAAAGTTTTGTATGTAATTCCTCTTTTTTTAAGAGCAGACTTCCCAGAGACCTCAAAGAGCAGTGGTGGCCGAGTGGTAGTCGACTAGAATCTCGCGTTCGAATCCGCAGTTTAACCTTTTTTTGCTTTTGTAGAGGTAATTGCTCTCCATTTCAGTGCCGTTTAACAAAAACGGAAAGCAGATTCGGATTCAGCGTGAAATTGGTCGATTGGTCTATGGCACATGTCATTTGGCCAGCTTATCCAGTTGATTTGAAAACTAAAAGCTGAAATGTAATCCGTAGAAATGGCAAAAAAATTAGCGCCAGTTATGTTTTTCAAGTTCTAAAAATAATTTCCAATTTGTGAGAAGTTTTAGGCGAACGATCCAAGAGCGATTTCCCGGCACTACAACCAACTCAATCGACGCCTCAAAAAAGCGGTTGAAACGTGCAGATCCGTGGCTGTAAACACGACAAATGTCTTCGAGCGTGTACTCGACGAGATCGCCGAGTTGCAACAAGGTACTCTTGGAGCGAACTCGCGAAATCAAATCGACTTGCAACAACGACGAAACGAGAGCATTTTCTGGGCACAACGAGAAGTGACAATGAGAGAAATGATGAAAAGAGCAGAAGAAAGGTACAACCAAATTTTGGCCGCTCAAAAGGAGGCCAACGAAATTTACAAGGTTTGCGCTTTTGTTTTAAAAAAAATTCCTCAAATTCACTCTTTTCAGAAACAGTATCGCAAAACGGGACACTTGGGGCGAATGCTGCTTGCGGCGGTAATCGATGTTTTTTCGTCGATTGGGCTCAACTTCTCTTCGGGTTCCACTTCTGTGATCTTGGGCGGGAATGATCAACGCAAAGATCAGGGAATGGTCAATGAAGCAGACGGAAATCAGACAGAAAATGGAAATCCGGAAGAAAAGTCGGTGAACAAACAAGTGCTGAAACAGCTTTCTTTAGTCAATCAAAATCCCTGGACCAGTCCAACTCGGCAAGAGCTTTATCAGCCAACACCGATATCGTAAGCTAAACGTTATAAACAAGTTAACACATAGAAGCTCTAAGTCTCGAGCTCCAAGTCTTGACCTCTAAGTCTTAAGCTTTAAGGCATAGAAGTCTCCTAGCAAAATTTCTAGGAAAAGCTTCGTTTGGCCAGAAGTCGTCTAGACGAAGAAAATGCACGTGAAAAGGCTCAATTCGAGGAAAACATGAGACAACAAGAGGCCACTGGCGAGATTATGGCAAAATTGCAATCTCTGAATTTGGAGGTGGTGGATCTTGAGAAAACGATGGAAGTGATGAGAGAAGCCGTTCAACATCTCGGAAAGGTTAGCTTTGAGTGAGACAAAGAACGACAAGTTAGATTTAGAGCAATAGATTAATGTTTTTTAAAGTTAATCTACACCGTAATACCTCTAATAGTAGCGCCCCCCCCCCATACAGTCGCGTAGTCGCAAAAAATATTTGCTAAATCATTTTTTCTAAGCGATCATAATACATGTTTGGTATCAAAAAAGCCCTGATTTTCAGCTTTCATTTGATACTTAAGCGCACACTGTAGCATAAACGGGTGGCAAGAAAAATACGTTTAAAGTTAGACTACGCGACGCTCCCACTGTCATTATAGGGCGGTGCTACTATTAGATGTATTACAGTAGCTGTTGCAGGTTCGCGACCAATGGTGGAGACTGGTCACTTATTTTGATTCGATTCGCCTTGTGATCGAGAACAATCTGATCGGCGCCAATCTAGATGATGTGCTCGAAAACAACGAAGCCTTTATGGTGGTGGGTTTGGAAAGGTTTTTAAACAAAAACAGAAGTTAACTTTTTGAAATTGAGCTGATCAGATGTAAATTGGCAGTTTGACTACGGTAGTTTTCTCAAATACATACCGTAAATACTCTAATAGTACCCCACCCCCATAATGACGGTGCGGAGTGTTGCGTAGTCTAGCTTTGAACGAGTTTTTCTCGACACTGGTTTATGCTACAATGTGCGCTTAGGTATCAAAAAAAATGGCCTTGAATTTCAGCTATTTTTTGATACCAAAGCCGCATTTTTTGAAAGTACGGGCGCTTTGGAAAAAATGAAATACTAAAAATCTTTTGCGACTACGCGATTGTACGAGGGGGGTGGGGTACTATTACAGTATTTACAGTAGGTGAATTTTAAAAAACGCGTTAGTCGAGAGGAACACACTCTACTGTAGACACTACTCGATAGAATAAACTCAAATCTTTACAGACTGGTATTATAAATGCTTTGATGCTCGAGTCTTCGCTTCGATTCATCAGCTACTGTATTCAAGTGGATAATGCGGCAAAGCTCTACCTTGCCGTTTCATCAAAGCACATCTTTCCGGTGCTCCGTGGTATTGGATCCCATTTTGGACTTAAACAACACGAAGCCAAGGTTAGTTACAAAAGAAAGGCACTTTTTGAAGAGTGATCAAATGAAAGGTTAAACAAAATTGGATAAACTATCATTAGAAACATGAATCTTAATCTTTCTGGACCGAAATCTTTCAAACCAAAACAATTTTGCCTATTTAACTTGAACACTAAAGAATACGCTTTGAAAGAAAATGTTTCTATTGAAAGTTGTGATTGACTATAGCTTTGTTCTGACTCTCAGTTAAACTTATTAAAACGCAACTTATTAAAAAACAATTTCAGCATCATCAGAGCCATTTCGAATCTCGCTACGAAAAAACGATGAATGACGTGCGAGCTTTAGTGGACGAACAGAAGAAAAAACTGAATGATCGTTTCGAGCAACAAATCACCATTCACTCAAAAACTCTTATCAAAGCATATCCACAACTTGTTGAAGAACTTTATGGCACCATGTTATTAGATTGATTTTTATTTTTCTTGCTGTTTATTCTTGTCTCATTCTTGCGTAAAGTAAAAATTACAGATAGTCGCCGATCTTATTCGATGTATTCAATCTGAAGATGAGCTCACGAATTGTTCCAACGAAGTTTCTGTTTTTTGGGCTATTGTAAGTGTGCTCTGAAAATCATATCAACGGTCCTTTCTTGAAAAAATATTTAAAAAAGCAGATGCTACAAATGCAGTGACATTCTGTTTTAGTTTGACATTTTTGTCATGGCCAACAGGTGTTGAAGGAAACGGTGTGGTGGAGCAAACAGCTCAAAAAGTTGAACAAATCAAGGCCACCTATCGTCCGCAGCGACACAAAATGGTCACTGTGACCGAGTCGTTTCAGAAAGTGGGTGAAAACTTGTGAACTGTTTTTGTTGTTGAATTGGGAAACATTTAACTAAAACCAAGATTACAATGAGATCAACTACATCAAAATCAGATCCAATTCCTTTCAGGTCCAAAGCAACCTATTAGCCATGCGAAAATCGGACGACTTTGAAGCGAAGATTTTCACCGAGATTCAAACGGTGATCAATAGCTTAAAATCGGAGAAAGAGAAACAAGAAACACTTTTGCGATCGTTTGGGGATCAACGATTGGCACTAGTGAACGAGAAAGAGAATTTCATACGCTCAAGACAACACTTCGAGAACGAGATCGCACAGTTAGGAAATCGCTTAGGTGGTGTTCAGGGCAGCATGAATGATTTGACTAATCGGAAGAGAGAGGTTTCTAGTTTGGGAAAACTTTAAACACATCAAAGTTTAGCTGGAAGCGGAAATGGCAAGCCTAAATGCTGAAAGAGAGAGACTGGACAGAAGGAGAAGTAAATGGTATCGGAAATGGCTTCTGCGGGGTCAATACAAAGCGATGAAGGCGAAAAGTCGTATGGCGCAGGCACGAATCGGACAGTTGCAAGGAGAAATCGGCTCGTTACAGAGTTATTCATGTCATTGTATCTTTCAAAAGCATGTTTACCTATAATTGTCAAACACGAGGGTGAAAAAATGTGAAGAGGACAGAAGAATACGGAGAGTCGAAAATTTTAAATGCTAATTTCGAGCGCACATGAAGTATTCAAGTCATTGGCAGTTCCGAGCATATACCGTAGTCACTGCCCATCTTTTAGTCTTTTATTTTAGATTTTTAGCTCACCCATAACCTTAAGCGGCTCCTTTGTCAAATTAGAAAGAGCTTTGTCTACTTAGTTTTAGAAATATTTTTAATAAAGTGACAAAAGGGACAAAACAAAAAAAGAATAAATTGAGTAAATGAACGTCTTCATAGTCGGACAAGAGTGGAAATTTCGTATTAAACAATCCCAGACAAATCATATTTTTATAAGTCTTTTTTCAGATCAAATCAACGCACTGAATCACGAGACGAACGAAAAAAGACATCAGGTTAACCTCCACAACGAGTACATCGCGAAAATGGAGGCGAGCATCCGAATCGTTGAGAGTGTCTACAATCAACTCAATAGCTGGAGTGGGAACCTGGGAGACTGGGTACTCTATTTGGACACATTGATTCCACGAGCCATTCGCGTTCAAGATAACCTCGAGTTTGGGGACGAAGAGGTGCTCGCAGGGAGCCTGGATGAACTCAAAAACAAATTGAATCCCGACGATTTGAGTAGATCGATTGAATGGTTGTCCAAGCATTCGGCCCAGTATTTAGTTATTTAAAGACAACATTTTTTGAAAAAACGACAAATGTACTCTGTAATAAAGCTGCAAATTGATCATAGACATGTTAAGAGTCAAAACACATCAGAGAACTCAGCTAACAACGTGGATGTGTGAAGGGGACAAAACACTTGAACTTAGACATCTCTGATTGTTGCATGTTGATCTTTAGTGTCAAGATACACTAGAAAAGTTGAAAAGCTACTTTTCAATGTTTTATTCATTCATTTTTTGAAAAGAGCGCCGATTTCAAAAACTTTTTTGTTTGGAGAGACTAGCTAAAACAAAGTTGACCAATGAAAAACCATCATTGAAATAGGATTTTCAAACAAAATACAATTTAGAAGAACTGTTGTTAAAAGCTAATTTCATCGCCTTTGTCGTTGCACAATCGGCACCGATTAACTTTCCATCGATCGGTTCATCCATCTGGGCAATATCCGTACTTCCCAAGACATTAAATTGAATATGTGAATTGAATGGAATAATTGACATTAAATTGCAATAATGTTTATTATATTTTTGATTTAATCAAACTAAAGTCAACATTTTCTTGTTTCAAAAGCTTCAAAAACAAGTTTAACAATCTTGTTTAGTAAATCAATTTTAGCTAATTATGAATCTTATTTATTTATTTTAATGCTTCCATGAACAGTTTTCTGGTATTTTTTTTGATAAACAAACTTTCTGATTTAATAAAAGTGAAAATGAAAGGATCAAAAGAGAGCTTGTGTTTGTAAAGAGTTTATTGGCTTTTTATAGAAGTTGTCAGAAGAAGTTCAATGGCTATTAATGCACAAAAAACGAGCTTAAAAACACAATTTACTCATATAAATTTAAGACTAAAAAGGGTGCAGCTAAAAAACTGAATTCACGAGACTTCTCATAGCAGCATACTTTTTTGCAAATTTTTCCCTCCAAACCATGCTGTGTACATCTCGATCAATGTTGGTAATTTCTCGGCGATTCGTTTCACAAAATCTTTTGGTGTGTCTGCTTTTAACCACTCGTTTGCGTAAATAAGCAAAAGAGAAGATTGTGGATCATCTTCATGTGTGAGCATTGATTGAAAAGTTACCATCAATCTTTCAACCACCAAAGGATGGACTCTAGCGTACACAATCGCTGCAATAAAATCGCGAACAATTTGTCGTATCGGGTGACGAAAAGAGTCCGAGTTTTGAAGCGTGATCAGCTCAAAATAGTAGTAGAGTTTTTTGGTTCTATGCACAATTGCACAATTGCTGAGATTGAAAGAATACGATGATCAACCGAAACAAACCTATAGTCTTCGTCCATTGAGTCCATCGGCTTTTGAGAGACACGTCACTGTGGCTTGTGCTTCAAGAGCTTACAATCAAATGTTTCTGTTCTTCTCTAACTTGCATAGTGTTTTTATACTTTGACATTAATCATATTGACATTTTCAGGAAGAAGGAAAACGATCACCTGTAAGTGATCAGCTCAAAATAGTAGTAGAGTATTTTGGTTTTATTTATGATTTTGGTTTTGTTCTTGTGTCGTACATGTGGAGGCTCTGGGGTAAAGGAAATAAGCTGAATGTCAAATAAGTTAGTCTTTAATGAAAAAAGTTACTATAGTCTGTTCAAAGAGGTAGCATTTTAAACCACATATTTTTAATCTCTAGCTAGCTAATCTTAAATTAAAACTAACCTAATATGATAGCCTTTTTGAGTGGAGAATACCACCCCTTGTATGTGTAGATTCACAATCTTTGAACATCTCTCGTTCATTTTCTTCTCTCACCCACGATTTTTGAGAAAGATTCTGCATTTTTTAAAATTCAAAAGCCTTCTCTTCTATTCTAAATCAATTTTTGAAACAAAGCTTGTTTTGATTTGGTTTCAGAACTCAACTTTCAGTACACGGCATCACCGAGAGAGCGATCGTACAAATTGTTGCCGAAAGATGTGCTTTTCTGCTCTTACATGATTGATACGTGTGGAGAGGATTATGAGGTACTGTAGATATTGTTCAGAGATAAGAGATTTGATAAGGCTTATGTTAGTTGAATAGCTTTAAACCAGACAACACCACGTTTGCTTTAAACCAGGCAAAAGTTAATTTAGTTTTAATAGTTTTAAACTGGACATTTTTAGGAAGCCGGTCAAAGTGTTGAGAACATTCTCCAAGAAGAGGCCGCCGCACAAGCTTAAACTGTTTCTGAGTTCCTAAAAACTACTTTGGGGATTTCAGCTGCTTTCTAAGATTTTAAAAAAATCATCTTTAGCCCTTTTAGCATTCATTTTCGATAGCTTTTAACAACATAACTCGACTCTAAGACCGATGAAAGTGATCTTGGAACTTGAAACACAAAAACCCACTACAGATCGAGATTTCCAATTACTTCCTTTCACAAAATGCGGTCAAATTGTATACTACTAAAGGAACTTACTCACTCATAAAAAACTAATTACGGTTTAGGCCAAAAGGCGACAGAAACGAAAACGGAATCTAGACATAAACCAGCAAAAAATGTATTTAATATCATTTTTAGTATTCTAGGACTTAGAAATAGTGAGTTTTGGTACAAGAGTTGCACAAAAAAAACGATAAACTGGAAAAAATGTTTTTCCTCATCAAATAAACGTAGAGAAATGAACAAAACTTATATGACCAAGTCAAAGAACAAAACTTTATATGTCTATCATAATTTAAAGTGAATCATTTAAGTCAATGAATTCTTGGGTCAATTTAAAGCTGCTGTCTCCGTTGTAGAGATGGTTTGTTGGGGAGTATAGGCTGAGGCTCGTTTTTTTGATGAACTGTCAGAGATTGATCGATCTCTGAAATTGTGCTTTTTTTAGGCAGAAATCTCAAAGCTGACTTTAATCGAAGTTTTTTGAATAGAGCATATCGATAATCTTTGATGAAATAGAGGAGACTCATCGGATCGAGAACGGGATAAAATGAGACGAGAATTGGAGTGAAATTGGCCCCTCTTCCGAATGGAATGCCGAGAAATGGACAACCGAAGTTCAGAGCACAAGGGATGTACTCGAAAATCACCGGAATCACTGTCTAAATCGGAAGAAATGGATTGCCCAAAAGAGACTTTGCATTGTCAAATGATGTCTAATGTCTAAAAATGCTAAGCCAAAAAATGAGTACTTGAATGAGCAAAGCTCTGAAAAGTTGCATTTGCAGACTCCTCGATTTGTCGCTCATTGTGCTGGCAGAGGTCTGGTAATCAAAAAAGAGTATAAACAGTACAATCTTGAGCTTAAAACCTCGAAAAAGTGATGGATTTTCCATGTACAAAACAGAATCACCGAAAACGAGGCGCACATCTCTGACACACAGATTCCGGAAGCCATCAGCACACCCCAATCCCAGACCTCAACTCCAAGAGCATTTGGGTACTAAAAGAAAGAAACGATAAAGGTTTTTCTCTGCAAAGTTTCAAGCAGAACGATACAATCACACTGATCGAGCTGCTAGCATTTTTCTTTTCAAAATCCTTTGCGCTAATTTCATTTGCGCCAAATTTGCCCTTATGAAAATCTTAAGTTAACTCACTGTTTCCTCAACTTTAATAAACTCTTTTGAATACCTATACTGCCCCGTAAACAGTCATTTTAGTTCCCCGATTGGCCTTTTCAATCCTAGATTCAATCTTAGGCCCAGATTCGGATACAGTGAAGGCAATAATTTGGAGCATCGTCGACCAGGAGAAATTGAAAAAAAATATAAATGGTCAATCAGAGTTGGTAGGAAAGTGTGTTGGAAAGTGGAAATTTGGCGCAAATAATTTGGCGCTTTTACTAACACCTTCACTTTAAAGAACGAAGCTACCAAGTTCCGTCCAATTTTAGCCCGATCTGGCACCAGATTTGGTCTCGGATTTTCTAATGAAGAGTTATTTCAGTAGTTAGCTTTTTATCAATTAATAGCTTTTCAAAGAAAACTTATGACAACTTTGTCACCAATAGCTCTTCAGCTACTGGTGACAAATAGCTGTCACCCATAGCTATTTTACATACGAAGTTTTATGCAAATTGCAACGAGCGAAAGACTAAATTGGGAAAAAGCTATGCTGAATAGCAAAATTGTGACCTTTTCGCGGCTATGAAAGCAAACGTTTCCTATAATTTTCTCTACTTTTTCAGTATTGATTTTGTTTTGGTTGATCTCTTGTGAGATAAGGTTGTTTTGCTTACATAATACGATGACTTGGTACGCACCACAATCACTCAATTTGTGAAAGAACTAACCTTGTATAATGGTCCTAAACTAGGCGTTTTATTCAAATCGACTCGATAAATTTCCCAAAGTTCGTATTGAAAATAACCCTGAATACAGAGAATGGTAGATTTTAAAAAAGGACACGATTTATTTCACTCACCGTAAGAATTTCTCCGTGATACATGTAAATGCCCACAAATATAATCCAAAGTATTCCGACCGTTAACCAGATCGAGAAATGGATTGGCACGTACTTCCACGAGTTGAAGACAAAAAGCCAATCGTTTCTGCAACAAAAATTTCTAACAAGGAAATCTTGTCTTGGTGTAAAAGATTTCTACTCGAATTTCTGAATCTGCCTAGAACCAGAAAGGTTTCCTTCGAGAATTTTTCTCTCAGATCTTTACTTGTTTCCCCAAATTTCTATGCCAGCTATTCCATGACCGGCAGCAATTATTTTTTAATTTATCGTGATCTTAGATGAATCAACTCAATATGACCCCCCTGATCTCGGATCGACTCTGAATTTTAAGCGGAAATCAGTTTTTTGTTAATTTTTGTTTCAAGAAAAAGTTTTACTTGCAAATCAAAAGATAGCGATACACAAAATGGAAAGCGAGTAGGACGAGGCTCTGCAAATGAAATGAATAAGTTATTAATGAGCCTTGATGATCTAAGCCTTGATGAAAACCGAAATCAAAATTTTCCTTTTCAAAAACGACCTGAATGAAGAGACATCCGTACATCAGACATCCCCAATAACCAGCTTTCATTGAAAATTTGAGAAACGATGTCGGAATCACCACAAATCCTCGACCTTTTGCATGGAAATTCTTGGAAGAAAGAGACTCAGGTGAATTTGATTCATTTGAGTACAAACGAACCGGCATGACTACGATGTGCATGGTGCAATAAAGAAGATTGAAAGCCGAGAAGCACAACATCAGATATTTATATGTGCCCATGTGTTTTTTACTGTGAAAAACGATGAAATGCAGGAGCGTCACATTCATCACAAAGGCCAACGAGCCATTCACGTAGATGATTGATTTAGAGAATTTGTCAAATAAAGCTGAGAGTGGCATCTTTAAGTGGCAAAGGTTTATTTTTAGATATGTTCAAGGTGAACTCAAAAATCAAACAGTTAACTGAGCTTACTTTCCCGGTTTTCGTTTCTTTGTCCTTTTGGCGTAATTCGTAATTAGTTTTTTACGAGTGAGTCAGTTCTTGTAGTCGTATACACGTTGACCGCATTTTAATTCGAAAGTAATTTGAAAAAGTAATCCGGAGGGAATTCGAAATATCGATCTGTAATGAGTTTTTTTTCCTCAACATCCAAGAGCAGTTTCATCTGTTCAGATGAAGCTCAGGCTAAACTCAGATTACCGAAATCGGCTAAGAAACGCAAAGAACTAGTCATCCCTAATTCTGTTTTATCGAATCCAATTTTTATTTCAATTCCTATCGATAAGGAGATCGGAAAGATTCTTTTGGAGAGTTATGGTGTTCGTTTTTTTAACCAAAACATCAAATCGATCTGGTAAATTGTTTGTTTCTTGATTTTCATTGACAATGTTCTTTGTTGTTTACTTCAGTTTTATACCATCAAAAGTTTATCAGTTTTTTTTTCACACTTTGTGCAACTCGCGTTATTTGAAGTCTTGTAGATCATCACTTGGAATTAGGTAATTATCAAGTTTAACTGCGTAATTTTCATCAATTTTCTACTCCTGCTGTTGTGTAGCTGTGTTTTCTCTAAAAATTTTAACAATTTTTATCACTCGGGCTCTCAAAAATGGGGTTTATCCATTTGAAAACACCGAGTAAACATGTGCACATTCAAATGAGAATGAAAAAAAAATGAAAAACAACAAACTGGCATTAGCAAACGAAGAGGAAAATCCTAGATATTCAGTCTACAGTATGCTGGGTGCATTTTAGAAAAGATTCGAAAAACCGTGTGAAAAAAGTAGGAGCAATTGAGGGGGGAAAACACTCGTAAAAAGGCGAAAGCCGATAGATTCAGAGAAATCTCCAAAAAATCCGCTAAAAAGACCGAAAAAGGGCACGCAAATTTCATGAAAAAAAAGACAGAAATCGGAATTTTTCCTACATCTACCATAAGCCTTGAAATCAGAGTTTTTTTAGGAATTCAGAAACAATTTAAGCTTGTGCGGTGGCCTCTTCTTGGAGAATCTCCTCAACACTTCGACCGGTTTCCTAAAATTGTTCAGCTTTGAAGTTAGAATTATATTATTGAAGTTATAATATCTATTGTTTATCCGATTTTGAATCTATTTTTTATTGTTTATCCGATTTTTAATAACCTATTTAAGCTATTCAGTTTTTTGTGCGATTCTAAAAGCCAAAGCTCCCCTTTTCTCTTGTTTAAATCAAAAATTTGCTCTTTTTTTTCTAAAGAAAGCTTTCTGATTGTAATACTTACTTGATCTAATAGTTTTTCTTAACTATTTATATTTCCTCTAAGCTTCAAATTCTACAAACCTGATGTTTCTTGTAGGTATCGAAATGTGGGGATTCCTTGAAGACTCTCATCTTTCTTTGCAATGATCGCGCATTCTCTCGGTAGACATTCTTCGCATCTTTCGTCATACCCTAAAAAAGATAAGTTTAGTAAAACTATCTTTAAATCTAAAACCTATTTAGATTGTTATTTAAAACCATTAAAACTAAATTAACTTTTGCCTGGTTTAAAGCCAAAGTGGTGTTGCCTGGTTTAAAGCTATTCAACTAACATAAGCCTTATCAAATCTCTTATCTCTGAACAATATCTACAGTACCTCATAATCCTCTCCATACGTATCAATCATGTAAGAGCAGAAAAGCACATCTTTCGGCAACAATTTGTACGATCGCTCTCTCGGTGATGGAGTGTACTGAAAGTTGAGTTCTGAAACCAAATCAAAACAAGCTTTGTTTCAAAAATTGATTTAGAATAGAAGAGAAGGCTTTTGAATTTTAAAAAATGCAGAATGTTTCCCAAAAATCGTGGATGAGAGAGGAAAATGAGCGAGAGATGTTCAAAGATTATGAATTTACACATACAAGGGGTGGCATTCTCCACTCAAAAAGGCTATACACATTAGGTTAGTTTTAATTTAAGATTAGCTAGCTAGAGATTAAAAATATGTGGTTTAAAATGCTCCAGTTCTGACTGACGCAGTGTTACTGGGTTAATCCAGTATTGGTTCTCCTATAAGTCTCTTTGTTTTCTGTTTCTAATGCCTAGCCCAGTTCAAATTCATGAATTGCGCTTCAATTATATAATCTTTGCCTTACTATTGTTAAGTAGCTAATAGCTTTTGTACTATTCTAGGCAAAGTCATTCTATTAATTGGAAAACAATGAATCAAATTTAAATCTAAACAATTGCGCCAGCTTCAGGTAACTATGCTACCTCTTTGAACAGACTATATTATAGTAACTTTTTTCATTAAAGTCTAACTTATTTGAAATTCAGCTTATTTCCTTTACCCCAGAGCCTCCACATGTACGACACAAAAACAAAACCAAAATCATAAATAAAACCAAAATACTCTACTACTATTTTGAGCTGATCACTTACAGGTGATCGTTTTCCTTCTTCCTGAAAATGTCAATATGATTAATGTCAAAGTATAAAAACACTATGCAAGTTAGAGAAAAACAGAAAGATTTGAGTGTAAGCTCTATGAGAACAAACCACAGTGACGTGTCTCTCAAAAGCCAATGGAGTCAATGGACGAAGAGTATAGGTTTGTTTCGGTTGATCATCGTTTTCTTTCAATCTCAGCAATTGCGCTTGAACGGAGTATTTCTAAAAAAGGAACTGATTACAGTAATCTGATCATTTGCATTATAAAAAGCTAGAACTGAGGGTGATTACCGTTAACATTTCATGAAGGAGTTTCTGAAAGAGGAAAGGTTGACTACCAAATCTCTTTACTGTTTTTTGAGTAACCAATTCCGACCCAACAAACATATTTAAACGATTTATTGCTTAAAACTACGAAAGTAGTTTAGCTGATTTAAGGAAAATTTAGGAATTAAGTTCTACTTTAGCTTACCGTATTTGGATCGGCATGTTTCAGTTCGGAAGCGGCGAGAGTCGACTCAACCAATTTCTGTACTTGAATGGCAAATTGAGTTGGATGAGCTGTGGGATCGGCTGACGAGTCGATGTCATACGCGGCTTTGATGTTCTCTCGGTAAACTGAAAAAATAACAATATATCAAGACAGATTACCGTAATAATTCTAATAGAAGACCATGGTCTTCTAATTTTCAACCCCCCAAAATTGATCGGTCAAAAAAGTAGGTAAGGGTCCCCTACATAAATCAAAAAATTAAAAATTGTTAAAAACTATTTCAAACGATAGCCCTTGGCCCAAAACATGCCAAAAACATCTCTAAAAGTGAAATTATTTTCTTGCCCGGACTCCATAGAAAATCTTTCAAAAAAAATCCATGTGGGGGACCACATAAAATTTTTTCCAAAAAGTTATTTTTTAATTTTTTCAAAAACTACGTCTCCAATTTAACTGCCGGGGCTAAAATATTACTATCTGGACCGAAATCTATCATTCTACTTAAAAAGAAGTTTTAAAAAGTCCCGATTTCAAGGGGTCAGGGGGGTGGTCTTCTATTAGAGACTGGTCTTCTATTAGAGACTGGTCTTCTATTAGAGACTGGTCTTCTATTAGAATTATTACGGTATAAACTGAAATATGAACCTTTCTCTTGAGACTTGGAACTGATTGAAAAGTTGTGTTGTTAATTAGATAATTGAGATTCTTATAGCCAAATTTATACCATCACTAGCTTACAATTACCTTTCAACTCCTCTTTCAAATACTCGTTTAGTAGACTCTCTTGATTTTTCTTCGTAAAATAGTCAGAGGGTGGTGGTTTTGCCATTCAACATAGCCAGAATAAAAAAGTCAATAAATAAAAGCAAAAAACAAGTGAATTTCTTTAGGCCATCAAAAGTGTGTATATGCTGGTGGTAAGCCTTTGAAGAAACAAAGGAAGTACGGGGAAGAGACGGAAAGAAGAGGACTCAATCGAGAGGAAAACAGGGGGAGACTCTGCCTCAAAAACGGCTAAAAGGGCAAAAAGAAGCCCTTTGGGTCTCTTGTTTGTCCATTTCCGAGATCTCTTTTCCCTCGAAATCCTAATGTTCTGTTCTCTTTCGTCTCTTGGACTTAGCGAAAATCTCAAATCGGAATCCCTTTTTTTCTTCCAATTTTTTTCCGGGAATCGGAATATATATTTTGTTAGCATGTAGCCGCTTTTCTTGGGTTAATTTTGAGTGATTGGAATTTCCGTTGTTTGGATTCTAAAGAGCTAGGAGTTGAGAGCTTTGGAATGAAAATTTTGACGGCAAGAGTGGAGAAAAAGTGATGAATATATGTAAACAAGCTCTCAGTAGCTTCAAACTTGAAATGGACTAGTTAAAATATGCCAAGTAATGTCTGGCTTACAGTAAGATAGCCAAAATTTAACAATTCAAAGATATTTCTGTTTTTGTTTGCGATTGTAGTATACATTAATAGTGTTCTCTTTGCCCACTTAGTTGAATATCTTCTAGTTTCGTGGGGAGTTTCAAACAAAAGTCGCAACTACGAAAAATCTACGCAGAAAAAGGGGCGGAGCTTTGTAGCTTTCATAGCTACTCCATTTGTTTGAATTTCCTCACTAAGTTAAAAGATATTTAACTAGAGCTTAGGGGAACACTTTAAAAGTATAGATTGTAGTAGCACTTTTCGAGCTAACCTCTTTGATTTCCTTCAGTCGCCTCACTCGATGTCACCTCATTGACTTGAACTGGGCTCACCGCCGTTTCTCCAAGTTGTTCACTCGTCGACTCAATTCCCATTTTGTTCACGTCATCATTGTTGTAGTTCAATTCCTAGAAAACTCGTTTCACCAAAAGTTTGCTTCATTTACCGTAATCACTTGAGCGTTTTCCAATTTTCCATTTAGTTCGTGCGATTCGCTGGATCGGCTCTTATTCTTCTTGCGTCCTTTCTTGCCCTTTTGCTCTTCAAAACCATGATCGTCGGCCTGAGAAATTAAATTAATAAAGATTCGTTAAAGAGTTCAAAATCCTACCTAGTTAAAAAGTTAAATAACGTTAAAGTTAAAAGTTTAATATGGATTTAAGCTTGTCTAAGTCTAAGTCTTTGTGTTTCTTTGTGACTAAGTGACTAAGCAAAGGCAAACAGTTAAAAATAAACTCGAAATTGCTTGTTGTGCAATAGGTTAGAAATATTTTAAGACTATCCACAGAAAAACATAAAACTCTCGTACAACATTTCCATTGATTCCATTGATCTTCACTTCGACGGGTTGTGCGGATTTCTAGAAGCAAAGAAAAAAGATTACTATGAAAAGCTATATGTTAAATGATATCTAGAAGCAAAATAACTATAACTAACTAATAACTAAATCACTATAAATGGTTTTATTGAACAAAAGAACAAAAGCTATAATTTTCTCTATCTAATGACAAGCTAGAAGGCGATAGCATTATATGGTTAGTATTTGTTCAACATACCAAATCCTCAACGTGTTGATGGGAAGCCTCTTCCACAGGATCAAACTAAAATTTGAATAGAAAAGTTCAAAAATTTAGCGCTTACCTTTCCACTAGAGACAGGGCTTTGCTTTTCCTCGACAGCAACTGGGGAATCAATCTAAAATCCGTTAAATATATTGGAAGTATTGATAATAATAAATTCTTAATCATTTGTTAATCCACACACATCTTTTCCATGTTTTCCTTTGTTCTTTTTCTTATTCTTCGATGATCCATTGTTAGTGGGAGAAGGAGTGGCAATAGGTTCGGCTTTGGTTGGCTAGAAAGGTGAGATTAATTGGAAAGTTTGGATTTAAAGGTAAAGTAGATAGTTGTTTAGTGTTTAGATCTAAAAAAATGATTAAAAAGTTTGTGTTAACCTCAGGAATCGCTACTACAACGGGTTTCTCTGGAAGGGGCACTTCTTTCACCGGTGATGGAGATTTCTTCTTCTCGACTTTTTCCGATTCACTGTTCGTCTTTCCTTTCTTATTCTTCTTCTTGTTATCTTTCTTGTCTTTTGATTTGGTGTCAGCAGTCTAGAAAAGGATTAGGTTAGTTCAGTTTTCATGCAGTTTCAAGTGATATGGGTAAAGTTAAGTATCCCGTTAAGCACTTCAAATCCTACTTGAGTAGCTGGTCCATCATATTTCAATTCGGCTGCCTCTTCTTTCTTTTCCTTAACAATTGGAGCTGTTTCAACTGGGTGACCATTCTAAAGTTCATGATAGATTTCCATGATAGATTTTATTTTCAAATCTCACCTCTTTCACCGGTTCAGCTTCAACATTGTTCTCCGATTCAGATTTTTTATGTTTCTTGTCTTTCTTCTTTGACTTCGATTCCTTGGTATCTTGCTTGGGTGGGGCTGGAGTTGGCTCAGGTTCAGGCTGAAATTGAGGACATAATTCTAAAAAAGATTCACAGACACACGTGAAAATCAAAATAGTGGAGTGAAATGGGTGAAATAAGCAATCATTAAATAAAAACATGCAACAGATTATTAGGGAATTGTAAATACTGTGAATCTTCCGATATTCAGTTATACTATAAATATAAATACTATAATACTATAGATCTTCTAGGAATTCAACATATCTGTGAACTTTTAAAGAATAGATATTCGAAAATTCACGGTACTGTAAGATTCAGTATAATGTTTCACGAGAGTATCCTGATAAACAGTATTAAGCATCAATTGAAAAGCTTTTAAAATTAAAATCCATTAAACTAAATATCACTTTTGATATCTGAATACAATAGTGAGACAAAATACTAAGAATTTACAAGATTTTAAGAGCTATGAGTGTTCAAACACATGCAAAAGAGGAAATCTGAGGAAGTACTCAGTCTATTGTACCTCCTCCTCATCCTTTCCATCACCCGCATAAACAACATTCAGCGTGATATGCTCAGCTCTGTGCACATTTGTCGCTCGTTGCTCCGGCTCATCCTCGGTCACAATTGCATTATAACCATCCTTGAATGAATGCCAAATTTCAATGCGATAATCGATTAGTTTTGTAGATGATTGCAAGGGCATTTCCCCTTCATCAGCTGTCTAATCTTTAGAGAACTGAACCCTTTCTCATTTCTTTTTTTTTTCATGCAACCCGATACAACTGAAAGTAAGGTGGGTGCCAAGAAAAGTAAAAAAAGAAGGTTTCACAAACAAAGAGTTTTGACAACTAAAGAGAACTTGAAAACCCTGCATGCTTGAAAAGACGAGATTTCAACTATAGAATTCCTTTTTAAAATGCACTTAACAAACCTCGGTCTTGGTTACAGTAGCAGTGACTTTTTTAGCTTCTGGCTCAACGTCGATATGCTAAAAATGGAAAAACAATCACAACGATAAGCAAGCTGAAACTGAATGATAGATAGAGGAAAGACTAAAGTGATTGTGATGCAATGGGTTAACTCGTGCAAACACTCCAACATGACTTAAACATTGATAGTCTTCGACTCTTGTCCGACTACAGTAAGATCAGAGTAAGTTAAAAGTGTCGGCTTATATACGCTTTCGATTTGGCACTATACTATCTTCTAACTCTTTAAAATTCAAGAATTTAAGGCTAAATTTGGATTTGGTATACTGTAGTGAAGCAAGAAGCTGGACTTAGAGTCTTTTTTAAGCCTTTCAATGCTGAGTTTTTCTCCTGGACTCTATTTTGCACAAAAACTATCAATGAAAAAGTCCACTCAAAACAGGACAAGACAACACAACACACGACAAGCTCGGGGATTCACCTTTTGAGCTGCTATCGATTCATCTTTGAACAGCGGTTTCCCCGATGTGAATTCCTCCCAAATATCCGCCGATCCACTCGCTTGTTGATCTTCGGCCCAAATCTTTCTACTTGCTTCAATCGCAGCTTCAGCTTTTTTCAGCAAATCTTCTGAGATATCATCTTCATTTTTAAAGATCGGTTTTCCACTTGTGAACTCTTCCCAAATGTCAATTGGTGCATCTGGTTCGGGTACTCGAATCGCGTCCTCGATTGACACTTGTTTTACCAAAGTCCCCTCTTTATTGTCTTCTCTGAAGATCGGCTTTCCACTAGTGAACTCTTCCCAAATATCTTTCGGTGCTTCTGGAGCAGGTACATTGATCGTTTTCTCTAGTTCTTTCTCGTGTTTGATTGGTTCATCCCATGTGTTATAACTGGGTCTTGGTACAAAGGCTGGCTCTTCCTTATGTTTCTTCTTTTTTCCACCTTCTCCCCAAATTTCTGTTGCTGATAGTTGAAGAGTTGGGGTTTCCCAATGTCCAATCGGAAAATTCGCAATATCCTCTGAAGTCTGTGGTTTTTCTTCTTCAACTTCCTTGAAAAGCGGTTTCCCAGATGCGAATTCTTCCCAAATATCAATATTTTCGATGTTCGATGGTGGTGCAGAGATCTGGAATCAAGAAAACATGAGAACTGAATTATTCTGATGAGAAAGTGTCAAGTTTAGGTTAAAAAGTGAAATTTCAAAAACATTTGACACTTTCTTTCATTCTTCAAACAATCAACAATTCCCATGTATCCAAAAAAAGTGCAATTTTTTAGGGCAAAACAAAGCCTTTTTTTAGGTAATTTCTTTTAGCACAAAGGAGTCAGCGGGTTTTTTTTCTTGATCGTTAGCAAATCTCATCAAAACCGTTATTTAAAAAGGGACATCAGTGTAGGATACATGCTTTTATTTCCCTTTTTCTCTACCTTCACTTCAGCATTTTCCATCTCAGCGAAATGGCCCAGGTTGGCCGGGGAAACGAGTGGTGGATCCTAATTTTGTAAAAATAACTATCAAATTATAAATAATATAAAGTTTGAGTGACCCAAAGAAACCCATACACATAAACTTGCAAAAGTTTAAAAAGCGCGTTCCAACATTATTCTTATTTAAGGAATTTTTGCTGTTTAGCTCTTTGCATAAAATTAATCTTGATTTTTCTGATAACGATTTTGATTTGCATTTAAAAATAGATTTACATTGATTTAGAAAACTTTAAAAAATTGACAGAAATGACTGAAAAATAAAAATGAAATTGGCTACCATTTCAGGACTTAACAGCAAAAGTCCCCTTGACTCAAAATGATTATAGCTATTAGTCTTATGAAGCTAAAACAGTATTTAAGCTTAAACTTTGAAATCTAGCCTTTAAAATTGATAATCAAGCATTTACCTGCTCAATGGCAACACCGGAATCGGGGCTGAATTGAGATTGTGACTCGCTCGTTTTCTTCTCTTTCTTGTTCTTTTTCTTGTCCTTCTTGGATTCCTGGAAGCAATATTTTTAAGTGGATTATCAGAAGAATGAGTTTAAACTTGATTTCAGTCATCAAGTAAACAATATTCTGTGCTCATGAATGAATACCAAAGTCAGCAAACTCTATTTGCTGAAAAGTTTAGAGATTTAATCGTTTGATAATCATTTTGTCTATTTGTCTATTGAAAAACAATAAAGTTACTCACTTTCTCCTCAATTTCAATTGAAACAGGCTCCTCGACTCGTTCTGCCTTTGGTGCCTCAATCACTTCAATCTTTGCCTCAACTGGTTCGGCTTTTGGCTCCGATTCGCTGTTCTTTTTGTTCTTCTTCTTGTCTTTCTTGCTAGGTTCCTGGAAATTAAATTTTTAAAAATAATAATTGAACTTAAAATTGCTCAAATTAGCCAGCACTGAACTAACATTAACTACCTTGTGCTCAACCGGGTCCTCCACCTTCTCAACAGTCACGGGCTCCGGAATCACTTCAACTTTTGCCTCAGATTCGCTCGTCTTCTTGTTCTTCTTATCCTTTTTCGATTTCTTATCCTAAAAGAAATCATTATTCCCATAATAAACTTAAAAATTAGTGACTGACTATGCTTTCTAATCGTGAGTTTTTCTAAAAAGATAGGCAAGCAATAGAATTGTTGGGCAAAAACTAGAAGCTATTATTTGCTACGAACAACAAAAGAATCGGCCATGCCAGACAAATAAATTGACCTTAACGGGGTCTTCTTTTGGTGGAGAAGTGTGAGGATTGGGAGAAGATTGAGAAATGGAAGATTCTAATTCTTTGGTGGGAATGGGGACAGATTCATCCTTGAACAATGGTTTTCCCGAAGTGAACTCTTCCCAGATATCTGGCGTTGGTTCTGCTTCTTGAACTGGTTCACTAACAGGTTTCTCAACTTCAGCTTCGTCTTTAAAAAGAGGTTTTCCTGAAGTGAACTCTTCCCAAATGTCTGGAGTTGGTTCAATGATCGGTTCTGGCTTTAGTTCCACTTTTTTCAGTTCTTCAACAACAATTGGAGCATCACTGACAGCAATATCTGGCAACTCGTCTTTGAACAATGGCTTTCCAGAAGTGAATTCTTCCCAGATATCCGGAGTTGGTTCAGTTGCAGGTTCTGACGCTTTTGCCTCACTTTGTTCAACTTCTTTAGCTGATTCACTGGGATTTGTTGATCTTTTGCCCTTATTCTTCTTATTTTTCGATTTCTTGTTCTGTGTCTCTACTGGAGCTGACTCACTTTTTTGTTCAACAGCTTCAGGCACAGCTGGTTTTCGCTCATCAACTTCTTTAAACAACGGTTTACCAGAAGTGAACTCTTCCGGTGTTGATTCAGCTGCTGGTTCCACTTTTTCTTCAGCTTTCTCATTATCTCCAAACAATGGCTTTCCAGAAGTCAAATCTTCCCAAATTCCAGTCACAGTCTCAGCCAATGAGGACAAAAGTCCTTCTTTGTGCTCTGATTCAGCTTCTTGAACCACTGGAGTCGAAACTTTTTTTGGACTTGATGTCGGTGAAGTAACAGCTTTAATAATTGGCACTCCAGACACTAAACCATCCCAAACATAGACACTTTCCGGCTCTGGACTTTTGCTTTTACTCTTTCGAAGATCTGCTGGTTTCAACTTTTGGAAAATATCTTTTTCAAGCGCTAATTCATACTCAGAAGACTCGGTTTTATCAACAGCGCTTGGTTCTTCATGAGATTCACTCGTTTTCTTTTCTTTCTTCTTATTCTTTTTGTTGTTTTTCTTTGTTTCGGTTAAAGGTATGGCTCCATAAGTTACCTCATGAGGTTCAGCCTCAGGTTGAGCTGGTTGAGCCGGAGACTCGTCAAATTTTTTTTCAGAAAACGATTCATCTTTGAACAATGGCTTTCCAGAGGTGAATTCTTCCCAGATATCCACCGGTTGAGACTCAGACGTTTCAGTTACTTTCTCTTCCATTTTTTCCACTTCAGTTTCATCCTTAAATAGCGGTTTACCAGACGCAAACTCTTCCCAAATGTCAACTGGTTGATCAGCTACAACTTGAGGCTCAGAACCAATCTCATCAGCTATCGGATCTTTTTCAATTTCAACTTCATCCTTGAACACAGGCTTTCCGGAAGCAAACTCTTCCCAAATGCCAACTGCTGGTTCATTTGTTGCTTGATTTGATTCAGAAACTTCTTGCTCACTTTCTTTCTTCGATCGTTTATCCTTTTTCTTGTTCTTCTTATTCTCAAAAGCGACAAATTGAGTCTCTTCTTCTGGCTGGATTTCTTGAGAAACTTCTTGTTGTTCAATCTCCGGTTGAGTGGCATTAAACTTCTCTTGGTCTTCATTCAACGGGATATTCACAACCATTGATGCCGTTGACATCTCTGATGGGCTATCCTTCAATTCGGTTCTCAACAACCCCTTCTCTACTTGATCAAATGGAACTTCACTCTCCGATTTCTTCGATTTCCGATCTTTCTTCTTGTTTTTTCCATTCTTTTTCTCTTCTTTAACTTCCGATTCTTCAATCTTTGGAGACTCAACAACTGGTGAAACTTCAGCTTGAACAACTTCTGGCTCTTTTGTCGATTCACTAGCGTTCTTTGATCGTTTATCCTTATTCTTTTTATTCTTTGACTTTTTGTTTTGAGACTCAGTTTGTTCTTCTACAGCTTTCACCTCTTCAGGCTCTTTAACATCTTCTTTAAACAAAGGTTTCCCAGAAGTGAATTCCTCCCAAATGTCTGGAGTTGGTTCAACTTGTGCAGAGCTGACATTCTCTGCTTGTTCAGTTTTGGCAACAATTGGTTTTTCTTCATCGTTATCCTTGAAAAGTGGCTTTCCAGAAGTGAACTCTTCCCAAATATCGGGTGTTTGTTCAGCTTGCTTTTCTACAATCTCTTCCGGTGCCAAGTGTTTAGCTGTGATAGTTTCTTCAGTCTCATCTTTGAACAACGGTTTCCCAGAAGTGAATTCCTCCCAAATGTCTGGAGTTGGTTCAACTTGTGCAGAGCTGACATTCTCCGCTTGTTCAGTTTTGGCAACAATTGGTTTTTCTTCATCGTTATCCTTGAAAAGTGGCTTTCCGGAAGTGAACTCTTCCCAAATATCGGGTATTTGTTCAGCTTGCTTTTCTACAATCTCTTCCGGTGCCAAGTGTTTAGCTGTGATAGTTTCTTCAGTCTCATCTTTGAACAACGGTTTCCCAGAAGTGAATTCCTCCCAAATGTCTGGAGTTGGTTCAACTTGTGCAGAGCTGACATTCTCCGCTTGTTCAGTTTTGGCAACAATTGGTTTTTCTTCATCGTTATCCTTGAAAAGTGGCTTTCCGGAAGTGAACTCTTCCCAAATATCGGGTATTTGTTCAGCTTGCTTTTCTACAATCTCTTCCGGTGCCAAGTGTTTAGCTGTGATAGTTTCTTCAGTCTCATCTTTGAACAACGGTTTCCCAGAAGTGAATTCCTCCCAAATGTCTGGAGTTGCTTCAGCTTTAGGAGCATCCTTCTCATTACCTCCAAGTATTCCAGCAGTAACACTATCCCAGATTCCAGTAACAGTGTCAGCCAATGTTGTCAAGAGTCCTTCTTTCGGTTCTTCTTCAACATTTCCCTCATTCTGTGTTTCCCAATGTTTCACTGGTGCCACTCCTGCATTTTGTAGTGTTTCCTTGAAACGAGACTCAATCGGTCTCTCATCAACCCCAATCTCAAAGTCATCATTCTCTTTTCCAATCTTTCCCAAATTCCCTTCCCCTTCCTTTTCATCGATGATGAACGGAGCCTAGAAAAGTTAAGATAAAAACGATCCTGTTTGGCTAAAATACACTAGAATGACTTCCTCTCAGTTAAAGCTTTTTAAAATGTGCTCTTCGGAAAAAAGTATCGCGAAAAGTAGACTTGCTTATTGATTTTATCGATACAAACGGCATGCTCATGTTTGATCGTACAGTTTTTAGTCTTTAGAACAGCTATCAATCTGAAAATTGTTTCATTAAAAGGGACAAATGCCAGCTTTTGATTGTTATTTTATACATAGCGATTTTTAATGAGTAAGCACCTCGTAAACCTTATCGATAAGTATTGATAAGCTTTTTAAGACACTCCATCTATGAGAATTTGCTTTGTGTAAGCTAGCAATCAAAAGCTAACATTCTTGACTTTCCAATGAAACAATTTGCAGCATGATAGCTGTTCTAGAAACCGAGATCTGAACGGTCAAACATGAGCTTGCCGTTTGTATCGATAAGCAAGTCTAGCAAAAAGTAGCTAAACATTCAACTGTTTGATAGCTTTTCCTAAATGACACCTTTTAAAAAACTTTAATTGAAAAGAACATAATCAAATTCACTTTCAAATCTATCTTTTTACTATTCTAAAGCTTTTAAAACCGTTTCAAAATCGAGAGATAAGTGCTTTGAAACAAAACAAAAGTGTTAGAAGAACTCTCCGAATACCTTTTCTTCTTCTCCTTCCACCAAATCGGGGAGATTTTTGACGCTTTCAGTCTAATAAAGTGAAATTTGGTGTAAATTTGTGAAGCTTAAATGTTAATAGTGGCTAACATGCATAAATTTTGACAAGAATCTTATCAAAATTTAGGTGGAAAACTCTAACAAACACCAGGGAAGTAAACGATGACTTCTTTAGTGTTTGATAGAGTTTTTGTGCAAGTTTTATAGGTATTAATTTTAAAAATCTTAAATTTACCTCATGAACACCGTTAACCTCAGCTGTGGCCTCTTGTTTCACTTGTTCAACTTTCTCAATCACCGGCTCTTCGACTGGGGCTTTCACTTGTTCATAGTTTACTTCTTCGGGTTCAGCTTTCGATTCACTTTGCTTTTTCTCTTTCTTGTTCTTCTTGGACTTTTTCTAAAATTGAAAACATTAGTTAATAAGACTTTAATAATCATAATCATAATCATTTTAATCATTTAATAACAAACCTCCTCATGAACAGGTTTACTCAAATCAACCTGGTGCTGGGGTTGAGGCTCGAGATCGTACTGAAAATTGAAAAAGATGACTATTGAATTGCTGAGACTAGTTTGAAATCAAACAATCTAGCTAGTCAAGTCAAATGCAATTCCTAGAAGTCAAAAAGGTATATCTGTATCCTTTTTTAATCAAAACTCACTTCCGCTGGCGTAGCCGGTGCCTCTTTCGGTGTATCAATCGGTGTGTTCTTCGGTGTGGCGGTCACTTCAAACAGTTTCACCTCATCGATTAGTTTCTCCGATTCGGATTTTTTCTTCTCTTTCTTGTCCTTTTTCGATTTCTTGTCAACCTGAACATTATAGATTTATCTTTTACTCTTAACCAACTTTTTCTTCGGGTTTTGATTCAACAGGTGATGGAGCGTGGATCTTCACGATCGGTTCCTCCTTCACTTCAACGGGTGTCTCAACGGGTTTCTTCTCGGTTTTCTTGTTTTTCTTCTAAAAAAGTAATTGAAAATTTTTTAGTGGAATGTTATGGTTCTAAAACGTCAATAACTGACCGTTTCCTCTTTTTTCAACGGTTTCGATTCTTCGACGACGACAGTTTGAGGGACATACGTCTAGAATTTCGATTGATTTTGGTTAAAATTTTGATTCTTTTGGTTTAATATTCAATTATTATTCATTAATGAATAATAATGATAATGAATAAAGCATTACTAAAACCTTTCATTCTTAAAATACCCAACTCACAGCGGCTTCCAATTTCGGATCAATCGTTTGCTTCGTCGCCGCTTCGGCTTGTTTCCTTTCCAATTTCTGAAAATTTACATAATTATAAAGATTTTTGGGATATTAGTTTTGAATATCTAAATCACCTCTTGTTTTCGTCTCTGTTCGGCCTCTTTTTTGGCCTTCAATTGGGCGTCTTTTTCGGCTTTTTTCAAGGCGACTCGTCGTTCTTTCTCGACTCGTTCCTCTTCGCTCAACTAAACCGGAATAGTTTTTAAATATTAAAAATGTTAAAAAAAAAACTAACGCAATTTGCCATAGATTGATTAAAACTCTTATAAATCTAACTTTTCTACACTGTGGACATCTGAAATCATATGCATTTGTTGCCTCCTGAAGCTTCCTTTTTCGCTAACTCCTCACAGCGATGGCAACCAGGCAAATAAATCATTAGGGAAGTTTAGCTTCTTTTTAGGTAAAGAATATCTCATATCTTTTTTTTTTAGCTTTATTTGAAACGGTTTGCAATAAAAGTTTTTCTTATTTGCCTGTTTCCCAGTGTTTAGAAGGGTGATAAGAGAGGAAATGCCACGAAGGAAAAAAGGAAAAGAATGGAACGAGGGGAATTCGGGAGCAATTTTGAGAGAAAACATAGATCAAAACCGAAATTGAGGTTTTGAAAGTGAAAATTCAAAAATCAAGATCATCCTTACTTCAGCTTTTTTCATAAACTCGGCTAGCTTGAGGTCGAGCTGGCCAAAGATCAATGAAGCTTTCTCAGCATAGGCATCTTGGTTCACAAGTGAATGACGGCTGAAAAAATATTCTTAATAACTATATAAAATTGGATTTCGTTTATTTTGGATCTAGAATTTTCTGGGATTTGATTCCAGAAAGCGATTTTGATGAAAGTATTCTTTTAGTCTCTAGACAAGCTTAACAACTAGTAGACACGGGGAAATTCCAAGCCGAATCTAATTCCATCTTCGTTTTCTCAACTGTTTCTTGGTCGATTTCTCTGAAATTTTGTCTACAAGCTGAAAATGTTGATTTCTATCTGTAGACAAAATTTCAGAGGAATCGGCCAAGAAAACAATGGTTGAATTAGGTTCGGATTGGAATTTTCCAATGTCTAACAACTAGTGAACCTTGTGCAAAGACTTTAATCCACAAAAACTGTCAATCTAGATCTGAACTTATCAAGTTTTTTATAGTTTATAGGAAAACTAACGAAAGACAACCAAACAAAGGGATTCTTATTAATTAAAAGAACTCACATCGCCTTATGCAATGCTCTGAGGGAGCTCAGACGTTGTCCCTTTGAATGATGTGCATGAATTGGTGTGCATCGTGTATGCGTTCGATTGACTGCACGCGGAGATCTCATCCTCGAATGATTTTCCCTCTATCAATATACGCTTCTAGATATGGATGATGAGATGTAGAGATGGATCTGAAAATTTGAGAAATGAGAGATTTCAGTCGGAAAAGGGATATTGACAAGCGTTTACTTTATGCTCAAATTTGGAAACATCCTTATTCTGACAAACGCAGTTAAACAATAATGCTAAACAGTTAAACAATAATGCCATAAAGAATGTAAAAAGTTTATTGCTTAAATATTTAGAAAAATTGCTAAATGTCCAAAAATTTCATCAAAGCTAGCAATCGTTTACAAGAGAAAAATAGAAAAGAAAGAAAAAGTGCGAAAATTTTGGCATTTTCTTGCCAATCCATCAAATCTCGATAAATCAACGGGGATAATTGGAGATTTTTTTAGGAAAAACGAAAAGCAAAAGTTTATCCACTTTTTCATGGCAAGGTCAATGCTAATAAAAGGCTTATCAATGAAAAAAGATATTCAGTTGGAAATCGATCTATCCATTTTGGGAGGAGAGGCTTTCGAGAATGACTCACAAAGGGGAAACTGGGCATTCATTGAATATTTTATTTTTGAAGCTTTGAAATTACTTTGTTTTCAGATAACAACAAGTTTACAGAGTCGAATTCAAAGTTTTCGCGAAAATGAATAATATGGGAATTTGTAGACTGATAATGAGATTGGTTTTCGCCTTCCGAATGGCCAGGAATGAAGCTCATGATGCTTTGAAAGCTTTGAAAAAACTTCAGATGCTCAATAGCAGTGTAAAAATAACGAAAATCTTTTGAATTATTCAAAAAAGTATCTACAAATCTCAAATTTTCTCATGGAAGTTACAAAAATTCTCTAAAATTCGATTTCCCATGCCATTTGGGCAAAAAAAAATTGACGAGGTTTTCTTGGGTAAACAAAAATTTGTCATTTGGTGATTTGCTGTAGAAAAAGTGCAAAAAAACTTTAAGAGAATCAGATTTTGAATCAAAATTTATTTATAAGTCTATTTTAGAAAAGTTTTCAGCTCAATTTTGCGATTTTTCAAAATATTTCGCCATAATCCGTTGTTGCTACAATTCTCTCAAAAATTCATTTGTTTACCAACGAAAATTTCCTTTTTAAACACTCGGGATTTTGTAATTTCTTCGCATTATAGAATCGGATAAAAATTGTTTTCGAAAAATTAGATTCAAAGCTTTCTGAGGATACGAGAAAAATGAAGAATTTAGAATTTAGAGTACACCAAAAAGTGTCGACACTTTCCAGCTCAAAGTACACCAAAAGCTCTGTAAATTTGAAAGTATTAGCACGATTTTGTGTTTCAAAGGCATTTCAAAACACTTGCAAAAGATCTAGCTATGACTAGCACTCAAACGCACTCAAACTCTAACTCAAGAAAATTTCCAAACTAATTGAAAAGCTAGAGCTAATTGAAATCGTTTTTGTTTCAAAAAACTGCAACTTTTATCTAATTTTACAGCTGTTTCTAAACCAGCAGATAAACAAAACGTGAAAAAGCACAAAAAAAACGAATTTTATTTGGAGAAAGGGATGGAAGAGGTCTTTTGCGAGAATCGATACTCGGTGGGGAGCTGTGGCAAAAAACGAATGAAAAGAAGAAAAAAAAGGTTGGAAAAAGGGATAAAATGAGGAAAATAGAGAAAAGGAGTAGATCGAAGGGGAATTTCGAGAGAGATTTTGATGGAAAGGAGAGGGGAACACCCGTTCCGACATCAATTTTGTTGCCCTTTTTGGGTTTGGATTTGGAGGGGTGAGGCCAGTAAACAAGCTGTATCATGAGGCAATCGATGAATTGTGCAGTAGTTACTGAGTTGTTGCTTAGCTTTTTATGTAATACTAGTAGCAATTTAAGCCCATTCTACATTACCAGTTCCAAGCTTATCCACAACTCCGAAATGCAATTAGGTTCAATAGCCTTCGTTCCATTTTCAGCTCCAACAAAATGAGCTCGGATTTCTGGTCAATAGAAATTCATAAAATTCAAATTTACAATTAGTCTAATATTCTTAGAATTAGCTAAAATCTATGCAAAACAATAAATCCAACTTTGGACTAGAAACTCGAAAGTTTAGATCAAAAATTTCATTCCACAAACTCTGTCGAAAAGAAAGATAAGTGGTTGGAAAAGTTTGTGTTTGAAAAAAAGAATTTCGATGAATCATTTTGTGAACAAAATGAAAAACGCAGAAAGCAGAAAGAAAACAAAAAAAATGGAAAGAAAAGCCGAATGGGTCGGAGAGGAAAATCAAGAAAAAGGGGTGGAAAAAAAACGAGAGGAACACCGACAGGAAAAGGTTGAGAAGAAAATGGAATGAAGGAAGAGTTGAGACGAGGAATTTCGGGATCAGTTCTTGCTTCTTTTGACGGTGATTTTTTGTGTTTTCCTTTTGTAACCGTTAAGTGGGGTTAAAAGCTTAAAACTATAGGGTTGAAGAGTTTAAATTTAGTGAATAACTTAATCAGAGGCCCATCAGGGTCACATGCCTTGAATCATTGTAAACATGCTTAGTTATTTTAAGCAGATTTAGGGTAAAAATGGATCCGAACGATTTGGGCATATGGAGGCTTAAAAACTGGGAAACCCGGCTCGGTCGCCGCGCTTTCTCCTTTCGAATTACAAAAGGGAAACACCTTATACCAAAATGGTATGCCAGATAGCGAGCGATTACGTGGCCGCTAGAGGCCGCTAGACGAGACTCTTTTTTGATTTGTAAATGGCCGTAAATGAAGATATTCAGCTGTAAATTTGTACCCAGGGGTTTTCGGGGTCGGGGAATTGATTGAAAGTATTCGTTTTATTGAGTCTATGACAAAATTGGGTAAAAAGGGCAAAATGCAAAATTACATGAATCGATGAGCGCTTTTCTTCTTCTTTTTGCTTCTTTGGGGACGATATTTCAGGCGGTTGTTTATTGGTAAAATATGAAGAGAAAGAGAAAATAGAGAAGAAAAGAAAGAAAAGGGCACAGATACTATGAAATGAAGAGGGGACATTGGAGGGGATGATGGGATGGGGAATGGAGAGCAAAGAGGAAAGACTTAGACAAATGCCATCAACGGATGGGTAAGAAAATGAAAGAGAAAGGGAAATGGATTGTCATCAATAAATGCATCGATCAAAAACAAATCTAGCAATCTAGTGGAAAGATCTGGGGATTGTGGAATTTAGAAGGTTCAATGGGAAATGTGATATATTGGGTTGGTGAATTGAAAACTGCCGGACTTTGAGCTAAAATTTATCCAACATAAAATCATCAATTCATTCCAAATAATTTCCATTATTATTGACGGCTTCTGCCCATTTTACAGGCAATTTGCGGATTCCTCTTTCGTAGTAGGATTTTGGTTTGTGTGTGAGACAAGTGTGAGACTCAAAAATGGAGGACTGGAGATGTCCCAGTTTGAGCACTTTCTTCAAAAGAAACCCATTTTGGTGTCAATAGAAAAGTTGTAGAGAATCAAAAATTAGGCTTATAGCCAAATTTCCAAAAAGATACACTTAGGAGTTTCGCTTAAAATGCAAATTTTGTGTAAATTCGTTAATTTGGCATTCCTTGAAAACCAGGTTTTGAATCGTTCTGAAAATTTGGATATAAGCTTGATTTTTGATTCTCTACAACTTTTCCATTAACACTAAATGGGTTCCTTTTGAAGAAAGTACTCAAACTGTCACATATGACAATAGCCCGCAGTTTTCAATTCACCAACCCAATAACTTTAAAAGTTTAATAAATATTCAATTTAAACTTTATTTACTCTTATCCAATTCCAGGTTTAATCATCGGCATGATTTTGGGTCCCTCATTGGCCGGTTCGCTAAGCGCTTCCTCATTGAGATGGCCGGCTATTTTCACCAACCCAATATTTCTCATCAAGATGTTTCATTAGCAGGTAACTATCCAAATTTTATCTTATTTTTGACATTTTACATTTAAAATCTCTCATTCATTGAATATTTCGGGATTTCATTTTTGAGAGCTTATTTGGGAGAGATTGAGAATGGTTGAAGGCAGACGTTTCATGCATGAATAATCAACAAGCCTTACAGATTGCAATAGAGTCAAGATTTAGGAGAATATTGAACATTCAAACAATTAGAATTCACAATTTGAGTCCTAATTCTACAGTTTCTAAACTTTGACGAAAGTTTATCTATAATTTCGAGCATATTGTACATTTTGATCAATGAAAAGAAGACTTGAATCAATCTAATTGATTACAAATCATCCAATAATTGATTATAGATAATCTATCAGATTATCTCAAACGATGAAATCAAGAAAAACTTATAAAATCAATGTTTTTACTTAGAAAGTGTCAAGAGACAAGTCAAAAAATTCCAATGGATTGACCTTGAAGGAGTCCAAATTTGAGTGGAGAAGAAACTCTCAAAAAAAAATGCAAAAAACGGTTCGATACGAAAAAAATTACTCTAAAGAGAGAAAAACAGAGAGTTAATGGATTTTTAGAAAGAGATTGATGAGAAAAAACGGGGGGTTTTGAAAAGGTGAAAGGTTTTTTCTTTGATCAAAATCATTGAAAAAGTTACGGTGATCGATTATAACCATAAAATCGTTTGAATTGTCTGCTGGAAATTTCGTAATTTTGCTGAAAATTCCTTGAAGAAAGACCGGAAATAGGACGAGAATCGCCGTTTTTTTTTTGCGGCGATTTTTTTTGAAATGGAGAAAATTACGAAATCATAGGGAAACGTCAAACATTTGCAAGAAAAAAACCAAGAAATCTTGTTGTCTACCAAAACTGATTATTAAGCAAAAGATATACTCAAACTTTTAACTACTACTTGAGCTAAAGAACTTACTATACTCAAGGTTTTTCTTTGACGCTTTTCATTTCCCAAGAAAGCAACTCGACAAATGGAAAAAGAAGGAAATTCAAAGTGTTTCTGGTATTCATTGGCATTCTGGTACCTAATCTTCATGGATTCTTGCATAGTATCAACGATTTGGTGCAAAATTTGCAAAATGACT